CACTGTCTGGAGCACCTGGCCCTGCCTTTGAGCCTGCTTCTCTTGTCTGCCTACTCCCAGTGGCCCTTGCGGTGTCACCTAGGGTGAGCCCGGAAGCCATCTCCTCCCTTGGCCCATGAACTCTGTAGGAACAAGGTCTGCTCACCTTTCGTCTTTATTCCCAGTGCCGTCCAGGTACTAAGGAATGTGTTTGATGTCTGCCAGGCACGAAAACCCTTGCTTGCTTTCCTTCAGCATTGTGTTATGTGTTCACAAATGTTGCCATGTTTTACTGGATTTAAGATGCTAATGGTAAGATACACAATTGTTTTATATATAAGATAAAACAAAACAAAACTAAAGAGTCAAGCTTGGTGGTGCATTTCTGTAATCCTAGCACTTGGGAGGCTGAGGCAGGAGAACTGCTTAGAGTTTGAGGCCAGCCAGGGCTACTAGTGACTTTAAGGACAGCCTAAACTTCATAGCAAGACCCTGTCTCTAACAAACAAACCCCCCCCCCCCAAAAAAAAAAAAGACAGGAAAAAGCCCTGGCCAATTAAACTCAGGCATCAGTGTTTTTTTGTACCTTAGAATTTTTACTATACTTTTGTTTTCTTTCTTTTTTCTTTCTTTCTTTTGGTCTTTCATGATTTTGTTTTCTTTTCTTTTTCTCCTTATGGCAATCCTCTTGCCGCAGCTTCTGGAGTGCAGGGATTATAGGCCTGTGATACTACACTTGGCTTATTTTACCATTTTTATATATGCAAGAAAGGAGAAATGTGAGTGAAAATTAGAAATGACTAAAATGTCTTCACTGTAAGAGTCTGATTTCCTTAGAATCTCTTCTGACCAGAGTCGGGATGGTGGTGGTGCCCCTCTGGTGTCACTCTCAGCACTGTCAGGCACGGTGTGGCTGATGGTTCTTTGGGGAGCTGTGGTGCTGGTTTTGAGTCCGGAGCCTCACCCAGGGTAGGTAGGTCCTCCAGCCCTAGCAAGCCCCCAGTCCCGGCATGGCGTTGTTGAAAGAGGGTGGCAGCTGTGTGCGTCTGATATTTCAAGGCTGGGCTTTCTCTCTGGCTTGAGGTGCAGGGAACCTCAGCAATGATAACTTACTGTGCAGCTTTCCCCACTAAGGCTGTCTTTATTCCCGGTTCACACAAGGGTTTGAGTGTTAAGGTCTTTACTCCAGTGATGGATATTTGTTTCTTTAACCAGATTGGTGCCCTTCTGCTGTGTCCATGCCTTTCAATTTCAGTGTGCGGTTCTAGTGAGGTCTTCCTGAGGACGTTCATTGTGTTCTGTGCGGGCCACGTACCTGACGTAGTTGACATGAGGCCAGACACAGCAGTGAATGCTAGTGAGCAGGGTCACACGCGATGTCCCTGTGGCGGCTGGATGGTGGGGACTGTAAGAGCCCGCTCGGTGTTGTATAGCTGCTTAGTGGGCAGTGTTCAAATAAATGTGGGGCTTGATGAAGCACATACAGGTTATTAAATTTACTACCACCACCGATACTTTGGACTTTTCCAGTGAGGCTACTGAGGATCAGACTGTGTGATTACTAACATCACAGTTACAGTTACTAGGTACACAGTAATTTGGGGGCTTACAACTCAGATCTGTCAGATTCTAAAGTTCCCAGTTTTCTGCTCTACAGCACTGTTCTAGAAAAAAGTAACTAGACTGTCGTGGTGGTCCATGTCATAAGATGTACTAATAAATTTTCAGGCTTGTAAAGGCTGTGAGATATTTTGAAAATATATATAGCTCATGTATAGAATTTGAAGGTTGATGCATTTAAGCATCAGCTATGTGCCACACTGTGGCTAGAATTGTCACCTGTGTCATTTAGTGCTCACGGTAACTCCAGGAAGTCGCTGTTATCTCCCATTTTGCATGCGATGATGACCTGCCTTGGAGAACATGAGTGATCTGGCCACCGTCGTGAGACATGAGTGAGTGGTGGAGCCCACCTGGAAGCCAGGATGTGCTACTCAGACCCTGCCGGTTTCCCACATACTCTTCTGCTTCCTGTTCCAGCTGAAGTCTAGAATATGCTTCATTTCTACCCCCGCCACCTTTAGGTGTGTGTGGTGTCCACCTGTAATCCCAGCAAGCTGGGAGGCTGAGGCAGAAATATCACAAGTTCAAGCCCAGCCAACACAGCTTGGTCACTTAGTGAGGCCTTGCTCAAAATAAAAAACAAAATAAGACAAACAGTGGGATTGTAGCTCAGTGTGCAGGCCCCGGGTTCCATCTCCAGTACCACCACACACCCCAAAACAAACTAAAAGTCGCAAAGTGAAAATGCACGCTGGATCTCCTGTATCGCAGCTTTGGCTTTTCCAGACCCCCTTTTCCTCCGTGGAGGAGGCGCTGAGGGTGAAACGCAGGGCCTTGTGCATGCTAAGGTTAGTATTCTACCTTTGAGCTACAGCCCAGCACAGACACTTTTTAAATTACTGTAAAGTGTTTTCATTATCTTGGGGGAGTAGGGGTGGTAAACTTCCGCTTTCCTGCTATACTCTGGCTCAGTCATGAACACAGAAATCGCCTGGGTCACCCCCCTCACCCCCAGCTGGTGGTTAGTTCTGCAGCACCTGACAGCTACTGGGCAGCCTCCAACCCCTTTGGCTTTGGCACTCTTGCCCTGGAGAGAGCTCAGGTCCCATAGGTTTGTCCTTGGTTCCCAAGGTGAAGTCCCACTCTGGAATGGAAATCAGGGGCCCCATTGCACCCCAGAGTATGTTCAGGTTTCAGGCAGTCAGAGAGCCAAGCTGGGGCAAAGCCATCCCCAATTCCTGTGCCAGAGGGACTCCGAATCTCTTTCTTGGGTGTTCCCGCTAAAAATGCATATCCCGAATCTAACTACAAAGAGACATCAGACACTAAAATTGAAGGGCATTCTGGACAACAAATGATCTATATATTTAAAAGGCGTCAAGGTCACAGGATACCATGGAACTGAAGGGGGTTGAAGGCACACTGCAATTGGACACGCTGTGTGCAACACCAACTGATCTGGGCTGGAATAAAAAGTTTATTTAGCTATAAAGGACTTCAATTACGCAATTTTCTATTTATTTATTTATTTATTTATTTAGTGGGCCGTTTTTATTGGTACCGGGGATCGAACTCACGACTGCCTGATTGCAAGGCAGGCGCTTATGCCGCTGAGCTAAGTCCCCAGCTCCTATGCCTAGGTTTTAAAGTTTTTTTGCTTTTCGAAATAACTTTGTTGTTGTATAGTCTGTATACTATATGCACTGTATACTGTATACTATATATCACCCTGAATGTCTTTTATACATTTTAAAAATAAGGGAGAATTATTCTAGAAATCAACTTTATTAAGTTATAATTTACACATGACAAAATTCACATATTTTGATTGATGACTGATACATACATTGAGGTTGGTGACTTTTGACATGTATAGTCTTCTGGTTACCACCATTCCCAGCTAGTTTCAAGGTAGACTGTTCTCACTTTTCCAGAGGATTCCCTCATTCCCCTTTGCTCAAACGTTTAGCTGCTTGTGAACACAGCAGTGTTTGAGGGCTTGAATGAGGACAGGAAGTCTAGGGCCATGCCAGGTGAGTGAACGTGGGGTTGGGGTGCTGTGAGGTGGGGCGAGGATGGCAGATGGGAAAGGCAGGCCTGCACAACTGGTGGGGGGGGTGCTCCTGCTGTGGCAGCAGCAGCGAGGCTGTGCCGATCTCTGCCTCTCCCCTGGGCTTCCTGGAGATTAGAGCACATGTGTCTAAGCGTGTGTGGGTGAATGCTGGGGAACACTCTGCCCAGAGGCTGGCAGCTGTCTGATTCCCCCCAATCCTGACCCATCTTACCTTTTCCTGTTTGACGGGAGGTTAGGAGGAAGTGTTGCAGGCAGTCTGCTTTTTTTTTTTTTTTTGTCTTTTTCTTTTTTTATCGGTACCGGGGTTCAAACTCATGACCACAGACTTGCAAGGCAGGCGCTTATGCCGCTGAGCTAAATTCCCAGCCCCAGTCTGCTTACTTTTAATGTGGCAAATCTCCTGTGATGTTTAAAGTGTCAGCGTAGTATCGTCATCGTGGAAAGGGAAGGTCTTTCCCTTAAGTCTGTTTTGTAAAGGAACCAGGTTTTGAGATAGAGATTTTCTGCATGTTGGTGTTCAGTAAAGCCTTTGATTTGGTCACTCATCAGTCTTGTGTTGACCAAGCAAAGAGCAGCCTATATTTGTATTCACCAAATTGTGGCCAAGCAAGCTGTGTCCCTTCACCTTCGGTTTTCCCCTTACTTTGTGATTTTTCGTTATTGAACTGTTCATCCGGCACAGCAGAGGTGCAGGTTATCAGCATCTACCAAGAAAGAACTTGGGCTGCGCAGCACTCAGGCCTGGGCATGACCTTGCCCCTGGCCTACATTTTAGCATCTGAGGACCTGGTGCCTCTTTTTTTCTTTTTTTTTTTTTTTTGGGTCTTTTCTCTTTTTATCGGTACCGGGGATCGAACTTACGACTGCCTGCTTGCAAGGCAGGCGCTTATGCCGCTGAGCTAAATCTCCAGCCCCTGACCTGGTGCCTCTTAAAAGGACTAAGAGCGCCTTTCTGTAATGTGTGTGTGTGTGTGTGTGTGTGTGTATAGACAGTGTATACAATATGTGTACACACCCACCCAGAATGCCTGGCACATGTCGATACATCATATTATTACAAGTGATTTCGTCATTTTTACCTTTCTGCCAGGTTTTTTTTTTTTTTTTTTTTTTTTTTTTTTTTTTTTTTTTTTTTTTTTTAGACAGGGTCTCTATGCAGGTTAGGCCCTTGAGCTTACTTTGAAGCCCCAGCTGATCTCGAATTTATGACGATCTTCCTGCTTCAGCCTCTGGAGTGCTGGGATTACAGGTGCACACCACCATGCCCAGCTCGCTATGTTGCTTTGTAACAAAACTTCCCCCTCTCCTTCTTTGAGGTTGAAACAGTAATTTATTGAAATGTATTCACCCACTTCAAATCTTGGCTCCTGTTCTGTCTCCCCAGGCACACTGCAGACGGACCCTTCTGTCCTTCATGAACACACGCGTGCTGGGCAGATGACTGTCCTCCCCGCTGTGCTGCTATAGGGGGCCCAGACGCAGAGCCAGCCTGCAGGGGAAGATGGATTCCAAAGACGAAGGCGCGCACGTCTGGGCCCCATCCGCGGAGCACGAGCAGGGTACCACACAGGTGAGGGGCGCACTCCCTGCCCGCTGCTGCTGGCATTGCCTTGGTTGGGTACAGTTTGCCACCAGATAAAGAGGGAGCAGCTGTGGTGTTGAGTGGTTGGGAGGAGGCGAGGTGAAGGACCTGAGGTGAGGAGGAGGGGCTCCTGCTGAGCACGCCTCCCACGCCAGCCCCCGCCAGCCCCCACGCCAGCCGCAGGGCTGTGAGCCTCATGCTCACCCCACCCCCAGGCTCGCAGCTGTCTCTGCTCTCACTGCCCCAGTCACTGCACTGCCCGTGCACCAGGTGAAGTTGGTGGCAGAGCCCTCCAACGTGTGTCTCCTGTTACCCGTGCGGTGCTGTGATTCTTTGTAAGGTATGTTGGAGGTGTAAGGTATGTTGGTAAAGCCAGAGGCCTCTTCTTTTTCAGTTCAGGATGGTTCCGCCTGAGTCACAGTCCAGGTGGCTCCTCTCTGCTGCTGCCATTGATCTCTGCCTTTTAAGTCGCTGTCAGCCAACCGTGTGTGTTTTATTTTTAGCGGTTTTTTTTTGAGGAGGTGAGGGTTGAACCCACCGCCTTTGTAGTAAGTGACATTCACAGCCCTTTTTAATTTTTGTTTTGAGGCACGGCCTTGCCAAGTTACTAATTTGTCCAATCTGGGCTGGAACTTGTGATCCTCCTGCCTCAGCCTCCCACAGTAGTGGGATTACTGTAGGTGTACCTCTATGCCCATCTGACTGGGTGTTCTTTCGACTCTTCTACCAAAGGCAAATCTCTGCATTTTTGGCATGGATTTGAATTTGGAGATGGATCAGTAGTCATGGCTAAAGTATTAAATTTAAATTTTTATTTAATTTTTAATTAAATTATATAACTGAAATTCTGTCTTCAAAATTAGGAACATTAGGTAGGCGTGATGACAAATACCTGTCATGTCAGTACTTGAGAGGCCAAGGCAAGAGGATCACCACAAGTTGAAGGCCAGCCTGGGCTGCATAGTGAGTCCAGGCCAGTTGGAACTACATAGTGACACCCTGTCTCAAAAAAAGAAAAAAAGGACCATTAAAATACATAAGTAAGAGAATCTTAATTTAAGCAATACATATTACAATAAGCAAAATTGATCTTCTGGTATGATTTAAAAATCTCAGTCCATAAACTTTAAAAAAGCAGTTCCAGAGATGTTTCCAGCAGAGTAACAGAACAGTGCTCTGTTTCTCATGGCAACCAGTTTGAAAGCTGAGACGTATTATTTCAGTATATTTTACTAATCAAAAAGCAGAACACAGGAAAATCTGGTTGTGATGCTGAGCCCTGGGTCTCCATCTGGTAGCCAGACAGCAGATAGCAGAGCTCAGGAGTCCCACTGTACCCCCTTTCCCAGTCACCCCTGTCCTGACCAGGAAATCTGGGGAGTAAGGAGAACAAGCAGAAAGGTTTATGTCTAAACCTTTTCAGGAAATGGGTTTTCCATTTCTTAGCCCTAAACTAGTCTTTACTGTCAGCAAATAAATCTAAAGTTAAAACATTATAAATCTGAAGTTACAAAGTTACCGTACATTAGCTAAAACTGTGCAAATGCCCTAGCAGCCTAAACTTTCCAGTGCATAAACTCCACCTGCTTGGATGTCAGCCTTCACAGACGTTTTCTGTAACTGGCTATATTTGATTGTATTTGTAGGTTTCTTCCGAGGGATTGTTAACTTTATATTATCTCTGGAGTCTGTTATTCCCCGCTGCAGAAAACTTACATAAACAAGTTAGATCTAGTGCTAAGGCAGTAGGAGAATACGGAGTCCAAGCTGGGAGCGCTCGACTTTAACGTGACTGGTCTCCCCCAAATGCACGTGTGGGCCCTCTGCTCCAGACCCTGAGTATCAGGCATCAGACTGCGTCCCAGCTGTGGCCTCATAGACTCGGTGCTCCACAGCTGGCCACTCAGAAAGGATTGTGCAAAACTCAGTTTCTACTTTTAGTTCTTGAGGTCCTGGGAGACAGAAAGTTACTTACCCTCGTGACAGCTGACAGAGTTGCTCCAATTTCCTTCCAAGTACGTTATGAAGGTTTTCTGTCTCCCGCCTCCTGGCAGAGGACTTGTGTCACAGTCATTCACTCAGCAGATGTTTCCTGCACTGCTTCCACTGTGTCCTTAGGGTAGGAAAGGACAGAAGGAAGAGAAAGTGACCTTGTTTACTGTCTGCTGAAAAGTACAGTTTGTTATAAAATAGAATTTTTATGAAATGCTGACAGCAATTAGTTTTTGAATCTTGACTTTTTATTTTTCACATTGCAGAATAATTTCTATTTGGGTGGCATTTTTAAGTAGGAATTTGTAATCACTTTTCCATGATCACTTAACCACTCCTCACAGCTCCCCAGAAGAGTCACCTGCCTTGAGCATTTGAGGCAAAAGAATTTAAGTCATTGCCTAACATAAAGCAGTAAAGCAGTAGCAAGGTCCTTACCTCTAGCCTCCTGGTCTCTAACTCGGTGCAGGTGAAGGTGCATCCACCTCCATTCTTCTTTCATGGGTATGTTTGAGAAGCGCAGGTGTGCTCAGCTGGCCACGTACCTTTGTGAGATTGAGCTTGTTCATACTGTACACTTGTCTGCTTTTCACCCCAGGTCCACTTTGTTCCGGATGCTGGAACCGTGGCTCAGATTGTTTACACTGATGAGCAGGTCCGCCCGCCCCAGCAGGTGGTGTATACAGCAGATGGTGCCTCCTACACCTCAGTGGACGGTCCAGAGCACACACTGGTATACATCCATCCCGTGGAAGCTGCGCAGGCATGTGAAGGATTGTTTTTAATCTGCTAATTAATGAATTCACCAATTGCTTGTGTTTATTTTCCATCAGTCACTGTGAAATGTGCTAGTGGTACAGAAGCCATTTAGGTAACATTTGTGCCCTCTGGGAGCTTATAACCAACTTGGCCTAGCTAGCACTAGATGGTTGATTTATTTAAGTGCAGTAACGAGTTAAGAGCACTGGCTTTGTTTCAGGGCTTCTCATTACTAGATTATCAATTTGTTAGTTTTGCTGAGTATCAAGAACCATGTACTTAATTCTGCATAGTTTAATCAAATGTGCTCAGTGAAAGAAAATATTCAGATTATTTTAGTTAATGTATAAGCAAAAAGATCCTAGTAGCTTACTGACTACTGATTCTTACAACTGTAATGAAAGCCAGGATATTTACTCTGTATAATTTTAGTTATTTTTATTTTTTGCCAGGGACTTGGGTTTTCCAAACATGCAATGCAACTATTCTCCAATATGCAAATATGATTTTATGTTCTTGTTTAAAACGTATGTTTTAAATTTGTTTATTTTTAGGTGCCAGATATAGAACCTAGGGGCTCACGTGTGTTAAGCACACATTTTTTTTTTATGTTTTTGGTACTGGGGATTGAATTCATGAGTTCACGCTTGCCAGGCAGGTGCTTATGCCACTGAACTAAATCCCCAGCCATAAGCATGCATTTTGCCCCTGAGCCATACCTCCAACATGTGTTTTTAAAAATCACTTTTCATGCTTTGTAGTAGGGTCCTGGTAATAAAAAATTTGATATATTATTTAATCAAGAGGCTCAGATGACTTCTAAGAAGAAGTATGGTTCACTTAACCAATACTTTTATAATTTATGTCAAGATGAAATTGACAAACACATTTTTGTGAGTGCCACTGCTTAGCTTTTGTTCTCTGTATTAAAATAAGAATACATAGCTCCTGCAAAAAAATCTTCAATGCCAAACTTTAGTTAATTATGATGTTACTGTTTGAATTTTGATAGTTTTTTTAAAATGTAGAATATCTGTTATTGCCTGAAACTTGCCTTTACATTGTTCCAGAAGCTAAAGCACAACCTTAGTTCTTGCTAAAGTCTGAAGCAAATTGAAGTCCTTTAGAAGCTTCAGAAGAAAGAATATTTTTCTGGCTACAATATGTTAACTGTGGTATTTTGGCTATGATAGTTTGAAAGATTTTCCTTAATTAGTTTGCCTGCGTTATCCATTTGTAATGATGATGATAACTTTACTGAATTTATCCAAAAAATCCCCTATAGACTAGTAAGTTCAGTCTATGTCCTTTCTCTCTCTGAGAATAAATGCATGCATATATTGAAGGAGCTGTAAACTTTGTGTTTATAGTTCTTTTCTGTATGTCTGTATATCTGCATTCATTTTCATTAAATCACAGATCTATTCCTGTGTGTGGCCTTACACGTGCATATCCTTGTTCATGTCATGTCTTTTGTGTTTTCACGATGTGCCTTTCTCATTAGCTGTGACACTGAACCTCAGGAGACGCTTTTCTTTTAGGGTGAAATAGTGAAATACTGTTAGCTGTTCGGGGTGGTTCATTTATACAGTCTCACTGGAGTCATCTGAATGAAAGGCTTTAGATGAAGGTTGTAATCTTTATCTTCTTTAATATTGAAGGATTAGTAGTCTTAAGGGGAGATAACTCTCCCCAGAGTTGGGAGTTGGTGTTTAGTAATAGAATAATTTTTTCTGGGTAGGCAAGCTGTCTAAAGATCTATTGATAATTTTTTTCTTTTTGGTCTAGACTCTGTTTACAGACCCAGGCCAGGTAGCTTATGTCCAACAGGATACCACAACTCAACAGGTAATAGTTTCCTTTTTACCATTTGTTGTTTGGGAATAATACTGTGAATGTCATGGTTCCCTGAAATGTCCCTGTACCCCTCTATCTGTGCCATCTCTGGATATTTATACTAAAAGCATTCTGTAGGTTTTTGGTAGAAAAAAACAAAACAAAACATAACATAAATACTGTTTCATTCCACACAGGATATATTAACCTGGTAAAAAGTGATTTTTCAAAGAACTTTGAAAAATAAGAATGTACTCTTTCTGCTTGAGTAGTCTACCAGCTTGGAGGGAACTTAGGGCCTGTCTTCAGAACCAAAACAAACTAACGAACTGTCTAAACAATGCAGATAAGTACAATGTTGATTTATATTCCAAAGAATGATCATGAGTCTTGCCTTTAAAAAAATACATTTAGAGGGCTGGGGATTTAGCTCAGTGGCTCATGTGCATGTCTGGCAAGCGCGAGGTCATGAGTTCAATGCTTGGTACAAAAAAAAAAAAAATTTAGAAATGTTTTTATGCTGGTTCTGTTTTTATATGTTGAAGAAACACTGCTTAAATTTTATGCGAATCTGGTGGCAACCTTCCTCATTCTGTCTTCTGAAACACTGGGATTTTCCTTTATAGCATGTCTTTCTTCTGCCAATGTTTCTAATATGTACTGTTTGACTTTGTGGGACTTTTTGTTTCTCACAAGGATATGGAAAGCATAAAAAAGGGGCAAAATTTGACATTATCTGTCTTGCCCACAGGGAGTGTGAATTCAGAGAGGTTTATTTTCATGTCCACTGGTGTGACTTTTATTAATGTGTACACCTGAGCGCTGTGAATGATAAAGTATTATTGGGATGCACTATCTGCAGCTTAGTTTATAATTCTTACTTGGACATGTGTGTAGTGAAAGAGTGAATTCTGAGGAGCCTTTGTTTTACGTTGGGTTGAATTTATTCCTGACCAGCTGTGAAATATAGTATTGTGGGGGTCTGTGAGCATGAATGTCCATTTATTGATTCTATCAAGTAACAATGGACTATTATTATTATGGATGTATATTTATTGGGGATGTGCTATTATTTATATTCTTTGTGTCCTGTTTTACTGTAGGTTCTGTCTTGCTGTTTATTACGATAGAGAACAGGATATCATATCATATCATATCATGTACTATTTCCTTAGGATAAATTCTTTGAAGAGAAAGGCTGAAAGCAAAGATTACTGACATTCTAAGTTAAGAACCAAATATTTGTGTGAAAATGGAAAAAAGATGCAGGGATAAAAATGCAGCAAGTTAGATAAAACCCCTGAACCCTAAACATGAGCTGGAATGTCAGTATGAATTCATGGTACATTTCTCTTAAAAAACGTGTTTTCAGGCTGGGATGTGGCTAAGTGGCAGAGCACTAGCCAGAACGTGTGAAGCCCTGGGTCCTCAGCATTGCAAATATGACATTGACAACAACATAAAAGGTTTCTAGCTCTGTCCACTGAGGGGAGATAGACACGTTGTCCAGGGGTGATGACTGGATAGACTTCTCCACTCCGAGGTATCCAGGCTCCTTGGAGGAGTGGCGGGTTCCAGCACTGGGGAGGAGGGCAGTGTCCAAGGTGAACATGGAGCGCCTTTTCTGCCATGCGAGGAGCTGTTGGAAACTTTGGGTATCTTGTGGAAGGAACTCAAGATGTAACTTGAAGGGGTCAAAATGGGACAACTTTACCATCGGAAAAGGATAATATTTATAGTAAATTTAAGTAATTATAACAGTATTTCAGGTCAATAAATTCATAACTGATACTGAAAAAAGTAGCTCAAAGGTCACTTTTTGAGAACAACCAGGGCCACCATCACATTATTCTAAAAGCTGGTAAATGAAAGGGAGTCCATCCTTTCTCTCTGGAGGTATCCAGTAAGCAGTTGCTGGAGGAAGAATATTTCTGTACAGCAGCATTCCAGCTACAAATGTAACACTATTTGCCTCTCCCAGTGAAATATGGATTGCAGTAGTGATCAGCCACAGCGGTCTGAAACCCTCGGGAACGGCTGATGAGGACTTTATGGTGGACAGAGTAGAATCCTCTGACCATTGTTATTATCACTAAAAGACACATAAGCATCCATCACGCACTTCTGGTATTACATACTTCCTCGAATTGTAACATATTTAAAGTATTCATCTCTTCTCATCAAACTGGGATCTAATTGCGTCTCTGGATTTAACTATCAGCTTCTAGGAAGTATCACAGACAAATGGAACAAATTAAAAGACATATAAGAGTGCAATCTTCAAAATCTACCCTATGAGAAGCTCTGGGACAAATTGCCAGGGTTTTTTTCTTTTTCCTTTTTCTGTTTGGTATGTGTATGCATGTGTGCATGCGTGCGTGTGTGTGAGCACTGGTCCTGGAGACTCAAGTCAAGTGTTTCCTGCATGCTGAACAAGCATGCTACCACTGAACTGTACCTTCAGCCCCACATTTTTCCTGTAAATAAATTGTAAGGGAAAAGAAGGGAGAGCAAACAGATTGAAGCAGACTTCAGGCACATGGCAGGCAGTGCAAGGTGTGGTGTGTGTGGTAAAACAAATTTACTGACAGTCAAGACTGTGGAAAAGCTAATCGTTTATCGATGTGTGACAGGAGAGCGGCAGGTGAACCTGGGAGGACTGTCCTGTGCAGTGGAAGGCTGAGCTTTTGTATTTGCTTTTAACATAAGAAGGCTATGGAAACATCATCCCAGGGACGCTTTCACCTGCTCATGGTGGCTCCATGTCCATTTGTCTCACTTCTGAGGATAGCCAGGTGTTGTTTGGAGACGGAGTAATGTTTCCTTTCATGGTGTCCAATGCCCTTGGCATTGCTAGACAGTCCTTACAAGTAAAATTAATTAATAAACAAGTAGAGACTAACAGAGGTTAGTGATCAAGAGGATCAGAATAAAATATATGTTTGTACTTGAAAGGGACTTTTAACATTATATTGGGATAGGGAGAAATGGTGTCAAGACAGGACAAGCGATTGGATCACCTAGCGATATACACAGCTCCTGTGCGATTGTTTGCAAGGTGGAAAGTTTGACCACAGACTCTTCGGTCAGCTGCAGAAACAATGGTAAAATAATCATGATTCTCCACCTACCAGTGAGGTGCACCTGCGTTTAGATCCTAAGTAAAACAAACCAAATGTAAAAAATATTATGAAACAGTTGGAAAATGTAGCACTGTCTGGATATATAATAACAATTAGGGATGGGTTACTTTTAAGTATAAGATATAAAATATAAAAGTCAAGTTAGGATATGTATTATACTATTTGTAGATGAAAATGTGTAGCATGTCGGTATTGCTTTAAAGCAATCTGATGAGGGAGAGGGGGAGATTAGTGGAAGTAAGAGTAGTTGAGCCTTGTTGAAGCTGAGTGCTGAGTACTTGAGATTTATTACGCTGTTTCCTCTCTATATCTTTGAAATTTGTCTTTTTAAACTAGGAAGCTATTTTAATAAGATTTTCTAAATTGTATTTTTGGATACTGAAAAAAATTTATATTCCCACCAACAATATATGGGAACGCTCATTTCCACACAGACTTGCCACACTGATAATTTGTATTCTTTTTCAAATTTTGCCAATCTGATAGGTGAAGTGGTATTTTGTTGTTTTAGTAATTAAGGCATTGTTTTAATTAAAGGTCTTGTTGCTGTTTGCAACTCAAAGGGCTCATCTCCAATCTCCAGAAACAATCTGCTTGTTTCATGTTTTGTGCACGAGGAAAGTTGTACTCATGCTGCTCTGTGAACCCTAGCATTACAAGATAATATAACCACCGGCTCAGTATCTTTATTGTATTTTCATTTTTTCCTCTTTTGTTGCTTAAGATTGAACCCGGGCCTTAAGTGTGCTACACATGCGCTTTACCAGTGAGTGACACCTTGAGTCCCAGCGTCTTTCTTTACTGTAATTTCCTTTCAACCAGCACAGCTTTTATTTCTGGCTGTCACACCTCAGCGGTTGTCAGTTTATTCAGTGACCTGGATAAATTCTGGGTGGAAAGTTGGGCGAGGGTTTAACATAGGTGATGGTTATATTTATTTTTTTCTTTTTGCCTTAGAGGTTTGTTTTCAGTTGTTTTAAGTGCTGATGTACTCTGTTTGAAGCCTTTTTTATATAAGCGTTCCCTCGTCGTTAAGAAAGGCTCCAGACACAGAAGCAAAGCTCCTCTGTGTGATTCCTGCACACTGAGAGGAGGTGTACTGCCCTGATAATTGGTCTCAGCAGGGGTGAGGAAGCATTCTGTCATGTTTGCGGCTGTCCAGGGGCGTTCATATTTTTCTTCTCAGATAAATTGCATCCCAAAATGCTTTGTCTAGTTCAGAAATAATTACAGGGTGACGTTAGGTGGGAAGGAGTAGTAGACTGCAAGGGTAACAAATTCTTTTTGTATATGGCAAAATGCATGGACTGGAATCATTTCATTTCTTCTTCTTTTGTTCTAAGTAAAATAGTCACATGTTACTGATCACCCCTGCCTGGCTGCACCTTAGGAGCTTGTGTGTGTTAGCTTGTCTGGCTCGGTACTCAAGGCGTGGGGGATGTTTACTTATCTGGCTACTCTCCTTGAAAGACCAAATTCTGTAGGAGTCATAGTGAATTGGAGAAAGAAACAAGGCAGAGGCAAATTTTGGATTTCATCTTTCACCTTAGAAGCTGTGTGGTAACACCTGGCCTCAAAAGAATTCAAATAGCACTCAGTAAATGTCAGCTGAATATGAATTAGGTAACCGAGTTGCAAAGCATCCTACTGTACGTATGTGGTCAGGTCTATGCTATCTAAAAATACACGGTTTTTACCTGGAAGTGACCATTACCACCCCTCTTTTCTGCCTTTTTAACAATTTTCACCATGCTGACATATATTCAACCCTGCTTCAGTGTCAGTCCTTGAAGATAATGTGGAAGCGTTTAGATCTTTTCTCTGACGGTCTTCTAGGAGCATTCTAGCACTGGGGAGCAGGCAGAGGTATTGATACTGTTTTGATGTCACTTTCTCAGAGGTGGTGAGAAGCCATCGACAACCCTGCTGAACTAGAGTCCTTTCACAGCATCTGTTGGGGGAAAATACGTCACTGTAGCCTCACTAGAGTAACTGAGCTGCGGCATTCATTCTTTCAGGTCGACTCTACAGAGAGAAAGAATTTATGAGGCACAGAGATGCATGTATGCTTTGGTTTGTTCAGTGTGATAACTTTCATCACTAATGGTATAAAATTTAAGTGACTGAATAAAGCACAGTATCGTAACCTATGCTGGAATGCTGAGTGGGAATGAAGTCATTTCCTTCCAGGATGTGGCGAGGGGCCAGAGCCACTGTATTGCCAGAAGCCCTCTAACCCTTTCCTTGTGGGATCCTCACCTTCACTAGGCATTTTATTCTGTCCTTATTGAAGTTAACATAGAGCCTCTCCCATGCAGAATTTCCTGAAGACTGTAGTTAGAGAAGTAAAATGTCATGCAGAAGTCTGGGTGTCTGGCTCAAATAACAGCTTAGAACATATGCACGCGGGGCTAGGGATTTAGCTCAGCGGCATAAGCACCTGCCTTGCAAGCAGGTAGTCGTGAGTTTGATCCCCGGTGCCGATAAAAAAGAAAAAGACAAAAACAAAACAAAACAAAACAAAAAACACACATATGCATGCAAGTTGACTGTAGTGAGCTAGGAGTTCAAGGCCAGCCTGGGTGATACAACGAGACCCTATCTGTTAACTTAAAAAATTAAAATTAGTAAAAGTAACATGTGTGCCTGCTATTTGAGATAGCTGATTTTATGTGCCCCTCGCAGTTTGAGCTTTTAAAATGTTGTGTGGTGGTCTTAAGCTGCTGCAGCAGGTCAGGCTCTATGGGCACATTCAGAGTATTTCCTTTTAGAGGCTGAGAAGTGCTTAGATTTCAGTGCACACTAGAAAATGGATGTTTCTGTGAACAGCAGCAAGGAATCCCTTTAAATGTAGGATCCTTCTCAATGCCTGAAGGGGTTGATATTATTTCCCAAAGGGCCAAGTGTATTTCCACAAACTCTTCTTTGATGAACACCTACTACATGCGCAAGAGTCTTGTCTTTTGGTACTGCAGAGGAAGTACACAATGTCTCCTCCTTCCTTACAGGATTTATGAGAGCAATAGTTGTCTGTTATTAATACTGAACATTTACTAAATGCCAGACATTCTGTTACTGTCCTCATGAACATCTTGTTTCATTTAATCCTACAACCAGTGCAATATGTACTCTTCAATCCTTACAGATAAAGAAACTGAACTTCAGAGATGAAGTTCAGAGACGTTTAGCCTAACTCTGTCTGAGTCTAGTGCCCATGCCAGGGGGTGCGGGTAGAGAGAACAGGTGGAGACATTCTCCGGGGCAAAGCAGATGGTGTTTGGTGATGGACACAGAGCTATGCGGGGTGGAGACTGAGGTGCAAGGTCAGAATCACAATTCTAAATGACCTTGGCAGACCAGTAGAGCAGATTAAAGCAATCAAATGAAATTTATCAGAGATAGGTGCAAAATCCTCATTTAAAACAAGTTATTTAAGTCCCAGGGAAGAGGAAGACAGTTTAATAAAGTGCTCTGAGAGGAGACAATCTTGGTGATTTTAGTTATCTGTGAGCCCAGGTCAGGGCTGCAGTAGAGCAGTGACCGTTACAGACACTAATATGCTCGGATGCTGTATTTGTGAAATCTGGAACCCACTGAAGAATGAAGAAGACAAGCGAATCAGGGAGACGGAAGTTCACCCACATAAGAAAGGCTGAACGAATTCGAGGTGTTTGGTTCTCAGGTATTTGACTCATGTGGCAGGAGGTTTAGACTGTTTTTTTTTGTTTGTTTGTTTTTGGGGTTTTTTTTTTTTTTTGTACTGAGAATAGAACCAATGACCTCATGCTTGTCAGGCAGGCTCCGTGCTGCTGAGTTGTGGCCCTAGGCTTTTCTGATTTAACTCCAGAAGGAAATCACAAGCCTTGACCTCTACATAAAGACGTGCACAGAGAGGGGCTGGGGATTTAGCTCAGCGACATAAGCGCTGCCTTGGGGTCGTGAGTTCGAACTCTGGGACCAAAAAAAAAGACATGCACAGAGGATGTGGGCTCTGGAGAACTGGGCAAGACTGTTCCAGGCCCTGCGGCATCAGACACAGCTCACTGAGAGATGAGGTCCTGATTGGATTAGGAGGCTAGGGGAGGAAGGCAGCATGTGGGGAGATGTGGGGAGTGGGCCAAATAGAGGGATGCATGACTTGAGTGTGACCCATAGGTGACTGGGTGGGAGAGACAGGAGGAGTGTAGAGTGGTATATGATGCCTAAGTCTCATGTTACAGGCATGAGAACTTTTGTAAGGTGCTGCTTATTTTCTGCCCATATATTTGTAAGATGATATTAACCAGAACATCATCCAAATCTTACCTTATTTGCAAAAGACTGATTCAGCAAGAAAGCAATAGGCACTTTGTCTTTCCTGAAAACCTGAGTTTCTCTGCAGTGTTTGAAAGGAGAGCTGCTATCTGTGGAGCTGTGTCGGCTACTCATGGTACCATGTGTTCAGTGTTAAAAGTGAAATGGGCTGAGAGTGTGGCTGAGTGGTGAAGCACTTCCCCAGCATGTGTGAGGCTCTGGGTTCACCCTGCAGCACCGCACCTGCACGGGAAGAAGATGATGTGGGCTAGGTGCAAAGGCCTGTACCTGTAGTCCTAGCTACCTGAGAGGCTGAGGCATGAGGATCACTTCACTCCAGGAGTTTGGCACTAGCCTGTACCATGTAGTGAGTCCCTGTCTCTTAAAATTAAAAAAAGAAAAAATTAAAGTTATTGAAGAGAGGCCAGATTTTCCCTCTGCTGTGTGGAGCCCACCCTAAAAGGGCTGGAGGGACCCTCAATGCCAGCTTTAGTTCAGATGTGCGGGCTTAAGGTCCCACGCCTATTCCACGTCGGTGAATTAGTTAGTGAGTGCATTGTGCTGAGTCTCTGGGGAAGCAGGGCAGGCATCTCCAGCAGGTGTAATGGTCTACAGGAGCAGGGAGAGGAGCCTGGCTTCATGGGTGAAAGGGTGGGGTCAGACACTCAAGGTCAGAGCCTTGTGGGGCTTGAACCTCCTGCAGCCTCAAAGGAGAGAGATCTAGCTTCCTCTTAGCCTGCTGGGATAAGAGGCACAGGGAGGAGGGAAGCAGGAACTTAAAAACTGTGCGCATCATCCAGAATGAAGTCAATCTCTTATTTACAGCTTACGTGGAAACAGGTTTCCCAGGGTCTTGCAGGGATCTTGGAGCTTGCGGCCCAGCAGCCTTGTCCTTGCTGCTTATACTGGGTCCCAGCTAACTAAGAGCAGCTCTCTGCTCGCTTCATACCTAAACTTCTGCCCAGACCCCATTTCCTGTGCCTAACCAGGTGCTGCCTTCCATTGAGAGTGTGGATGGTTCCGATCCTCTGGCCACTCTACAGAACCCCATGGCCAGGCTGGAGGCGAAAGAGGAAGAGGAGGAAGAAGAGGAGGATACTGAGGAGGAGGAGGAAGATGATGGTGAAGACACAGATCTAGATGACTGGGAGCCAGACCCGCCCCGGCCCTTTGACCCCCATGACTTGTGTAAGTGCAGGCGCTGGGCTCTTTCTCATGCATGTGCGTCACATGTGCTGAGCCCTTCCCACATCCCCCATGCTGTGCCACCCGCTCTGCATCTGTCATCCCACTCAATCTTCCCCACCACCCTCGGAGGGAGGCTCTGGCACTGGTGTTTGCTTTCCAGATTTACTAAGGAGGAAAATGAAGTCCAGAAGGTGACAGGCTGCCTGCTCGGAGCTGTGTAAAGATGATTAGGGTTTCAGGGGTCTGATCCTGGGTCTTTCTTTACCAGACTGCTCCAGTGTGTTGGTCCAGGCATGGACTGTTTATTTCTAACAAGTTTGCTTTGTTGCCTTCTTTGTTGCATAAAACCTTTTCAAAACACTTACATGTTCCCTGCTTAGTGAACCACACTAATGTGTTTGACCCCTTCTACCTTCTTAGCAGGTGGGACACTTTCCCAAGGTCCTACACATGTGCTGAGGGCCTGAATTCCAGGTCAGGATGCCTGGCTGCACTGCAGTGGCTTTGGTCAGCCACCTTACCCACGGCCTCTGGTCCCTCCCGCCTGCTCTAAGCTCAGCTCCCACCTCCCAGACCATTATGCTGTTGGTGGATGCCCATGCTCCTGTGGCAAAGTGCTTGCTCCATTCCTTTGTGTCACTTAGGTCCAGTTAGACTTCCTCAGCCTCAAGCTATTTCTCCTGGGCCTCCCTGCATAGGGCCATGCTCAGCCTCAGCTCTCATCCTTGTCCAGTAGAGAACTTCTTTTAGTTTCTCCTGGAAGTCAGAATTTCTGAAGGTCAACTCCTAAGTCAAGTGCACAGAGGTCCACTTGGTTTCATAAATGTCAATACAGAGTCACTCTCTGTTTGAAAGTTGTAGAAATTGAAAAGATTGTTCTGTTCCTGAACCATGTTACCACACAGCCAGAGTGGGTAAAATGGGATGAGCATGACGCCTCCATTCTGTCACTGTCCCTGTTTGGTGGGTTTGCATTTTTCTTTCTGGCAACTAACTAATCTTTCTGGATGCTACCGGAAAGGACGTGAATGTGGCAGGCTTGGTGCAATTTGAGTTCTTTTAGAGTGAGTGAAGGTGGGGCTGATTGTGTGGTCCAAGTGAAGGAAGGGGATGCTGAATTTGCTCATCTTAGCATGATCAGACAGTCTGTGTTGAAATTTCAAACTGTGTAGTACTTTCCCTGCTTGAGTTAGATATGCCCTCTGGTAAGGCTTCACTAGCTCCCTTTGAGGAAATCGATTGTGTTGTGAAGGTTTTCTTTTTCCCCCTAGCAGCTTTATTGAAATAACTTTGTCTCATTAGATGCTGCAATATCTAGCTAAAGACTGCCTTCTTTTTCCTTCCCCAAGTGTTGTAATGGATTTGTAAATTGTGACAGCCAGGGTTTGAATTATTGTCCATCAGAGAGCTAAGTCATGGCCCGCACATTACTTTTGGTAGGCATAAGCAACTTCTGCCTGCTTTAGGAGGAAATGACAACACTTTTATGACCGGCCTATGAAAACTAATGTGTCGCAGTGGAACGAGTAGTGCTCTTGTGAAATGTAATTGAATTCTGGCCCGGAACCTTGCTTTTGGGGATTTCTCAGGTCAGCACTTCTTCCCTGAGAGCAAATCCTGCCCAGGAACTGGACTTTCCTTCAAAGCTGTCTCCCTTTCGCAGGGTGCGAGGAGTGCAACAATGCACATTCTTCAGTGTGCCCGAAGCATGGCCCCCTGCACCCCATCCCCAACCGGCCTGTGCTCACTCGGGCCCGGGCCAGCCTGCCCCTGGTGCTCTACATAGACAGGTTCCTTGGCGGGGTGTTCTCCAAGCGACGCATCCCCAAGCGCACGCAGTTTGGCCCCGTGGAGGGACCGCTGGTCCGGGGGTCTGAGCTGAAAGACTGCTACATCCACCTGAAGGTAACTTCCGCTTTCCCCTCCTCCACTCTGGCCCTACCCTCCTCCCCGGGCACTCATTTTTCTAATTAGCCACATATTCCTTGTGTTTTTCTTGTATGATTAATTTATTGCAAAGAAACTTTTCTGTCTTTGTAAAAAATGGAGATTGTAATCTCAGCCCCTGAAGGCGTTAGATGACTAATTCTAACAGGAATAGTTCTTTTTTATTTATTTATTTATTTTTTTTGTCTTTTTCCTTTTTATCGGTACCAGGGGTCGAACTCACGACTGCCTGCTTGCAAGGCAGGTGTTTATGCCGCTGAGCTAAACCTCCAGCCCCAGGAATAGTTCTTAGGGGCAAGCAGTTTGCTCAAGCTGCCCTCATTAAATGCTAGACCAGGTGGTTTAAACTGAAATTGGGAAGCAAAGGCCCAAGATCAAGGCAAGGGGCAGGGCAGGTTTCTCCTCTGGTTGCTCTCCTGGGCTGTGTTCTGGCAAGGTCTTACTCTGTGCATGCCCTTGTCTGTTCTGATCTCCTCTCCTTATCTGAACTGCTCACTGGGTCAGGGCCCAGCCTAGAGAGGTGATGTTAACATAATGACCCACTACAGGCCGTTTGCACATGCAGTCAACAGTCAACGTCCTGAGGTTCTGGGCTTACAGGACCCCCATGTGGATTTGGGGGTGAGGAGAACACAAAATTCAACAGGTAGCAGAGGCATCGGCAGTCTTTATTTTCTTTTTCTGTGCTTAAAATTAATTTGGAATATAAAGAGAATTACACAGATGTATGTATCTACTGTGTGCTAGTAATCTGCGAGAAAACCACTTTTCAATTTTGAAACAGCTTTTTACTGCTGATTTTTTTTTAAATTCAAGAATAGTTCACTGAGGTAGCTTTATTTTGATCTGCGTTCTTCACATTTAGTGCTTTTGCTTCTGTGCATCTCTCTTTGCTGTCTGTTGTTGGAGTAGCCACCCTGGAGAGCTAAGAGCAGCAGGGAGGGGATGAATAGCTAGGATATATATTTTTTTAAAGAAATTAGCTACTTGGAAAGTTTTCTTTGGTGAGTAGACAAGATCTCCAGGTGAGAATATGATTCTGTAAAGAGAAGTATGTATCCTTGTGCTACATATTATAAATGAGTTGAATCTCCAGAGGAGACAAGTCATAATGAACTAGAGAGCGTTGTGCTTACATTTTTGACTTATTTATAGCATTTTTTTTGTTGTGTTGCTTTTATGAAATGTTAACGAAAGCCATGTAGCAGCTTATGGACTCATAGGTTTTGCCAGCTAATTCTCCTCTAGGTGAAGCTGCAGTATGTAAACTTTCCCTCTAGGTTTGACAAATCCCAACTTCTGTATCTTGCTAAATGCATGGGGAAGGTTCAAGATGTATGGTTGGTTGAGGATGCACTATTTCCTATATGAATGTGTATTTTAGGCAAGGGTTGGGGATTGTTTTGTTTTTGTGTTTTGGTGCAATTCTTAACCTTTTCTCTGGTTGCAGGTGTCTCTTGAAAAGGGGGACAGAAAAGACAGGGATTTGCACGAGGACCTGTGGTTTGAGTTGTCTGATGAGAGCCTCTGTAACTGGATGATGTTTGTGCGTCCCGCCCAGAACCACCTGGAGCAGAACCTAGTGGCGTATCAGTATGGCCACCACGTGTATTACACGACCATAAAGAATGTGGAACCCAAGCAGGAGCTGAAGGTACCGTGCTGCATCCCAGGTGCCGTCTCGTCTAGGACTTTTCCTCAGGTTGAAGTCTTAACTTACTGCCTATTGAGCAGCTGTAGCCTGTCCTTGGAGAATGCTCCACAGATAACAAAATTACTTAAAGTGGCATAGTACGGACTTAGAACCTATGTGCTCCTCCCATGCAGCTGGAATCATCTCCAGATTACTTATAATATCTGATACAGTGTAAATGATAGGGGAATAATTGTTACTGGATTGCTGAGGGGATAATAACAAGGAAAACATTCTGTATGGACATAGCTTTTTCCCTCAAATACGTTTCGTGTATGGTTGATGGAACCTGTGGTATAGATAAGGACTGTGCTGTGTATCATACACACATAATAATCCTTATATAAAATGAAATCAAGGGCCTATTCCGAAAGCCAGGTGTGGTGGTACACACATATAATCCTGGCTACCTGGGAAGCTGAATCAGGAGGATAGCAAGTTCAAACCCAGCCTGGACAACTTAGTAGCACAGTAAAACTGTGACCCAAAATGAAAAATAAAAAAAGGGCTGGAGTTGGAGTTCAGTGGCAGGGCCCTGGTTCAATCCTCAACACCCAGGTGGGTGGGGGGAATCTTGTAAATAAAAGAGAATGAAGAAGAAATGGCTTTTATGCTTATTAAGGGCCTGTACTCGGGCACAGTGCACATATCACTTGAGTTACTTCGGATACTAACGGAGGAGGATTACAAGTTTAAGGCTGGTCTCAAACTTGACCTTTGAAGCCAGATGTGGTGGTGCATACTTATAATCTCAGCACTCTAGAGGTTGAGGGAGGAGGGTTGTTGCTAGTTCAAGACCAGCCTGGGTTGCAAAGCCAGCCTGAATTACATAGTGTGAGTCTCTGTCGCAAAAACAAAACAAAACAAACCCGACCCTTTGAGATGCTGGCTCAAAATTAAAACATAAAAAGGATGGGATATTGTATTGCATTTTTGGGGGGTTCGTTCCCCAGTCCTACAAAAGAAAAGAAAAACAAAGAATCCAAAAAATCACCAACCCAAATGAACAAAAACTGTGTGCCTACGGGTGGGCATCAGGTCCATCTGTAAGGAAGAAATTGCTTTGGGGGACAGACAGGTATTTGAGCTGGGGGGTTATGGATGGTATCACTTAGTATAACATATACTGAAGCAGAACTCAGTTGTGAACTTACTTTGAAAAATGGAATTCATATATATGCTGACTTTAGGTTGCAGAAACTTATTTTCAGGCTAACTGTTAGAATTTCTCTAAGTATTAACTTTTTTTTTTTTTTTTGGTACTAGGGATTGAACTCACGACTGCCTGCTTGCAAGGCAGGTGCTTATGCCACTGAGCTAAATCCCCAGCCCAAAGTATTAACTCTTGATGACATTAAAAATCTGCTATTATTCTAAGTCCAGCCCACCCCTTCCTTTTTGCAGTGTTGCAGTGTTGAGCTCAGGATCTTGTACAGTAGCCAGGTGCTTTATCACACAGCTGTGTCCCCGGCCCAAGATTCCCTCTACTTTTGAAAAAGCTTAATGGATCAGAAACATGGTCAAAAGAAGGGCTCAAAGTACTCTTTAGCTTCCTGAGATAAATAAAATATTGTCAAGAAATAATCATGTCAGTGATGTGTATCAGATGTGGCCGTGGGTGCTTCCTTGGGATGGTACATTGGAGATTGGATACTCCCTTTTTAGGGGGAGGCCTAAGTCCTGAATGTCGAAGTAAGTGTGCAAACAGAGAATTGCACCTCACACCATCTATCCTGGTACTTTTGTTTTTTTTGTGGCATTGGAGACCACTCCTAGGGCCTTGTGCAGACTTAACTGTGCTGCGCCACTGAGCTACACCCTGATCGCCTCAACCATTTTTGGTAAGAAGAACACTTTTTTGTGTGTTTTGTTGCTTTTAGAGATAGGGTCTTGCTGTGTAGTTCAGGCTGGCCTTGAACTCACACTATCCTCTTGCCTCAGCCTCCCAATCAGAAGAAAGCTTTTTATAAATCTGTGAGTTTTACTGGTGTTTTTACATGTTTATCGTGACATGGAATGTGTGATGGATTATGGCTGCTTTCCCTTCTCACCCTGTCTCTCTCCCCTTCCTGTGGACCCCCTTCTTTTCCCAAATAGTCGCTTTTCGTTCTACTTCTTCTTCTTCCTGATTTGTATTTTGTATTAGTTCATGTTTGCAGCATGTCATGATTACATCTCTCATGGGGAGTTGGAGCATGTATGTATCTTTTTTTTTTGAGACAAGGTCTCCCTATGCAGTTCAGGCTGGCCTTGAACTCACTTTATAGCCCAGACTGGTCTTGAACTAGCAGTGATCCTCCTGCCTCAGCCTTCTGAGTGCTGGGATTTCAGGTGTGCACTACCATGCCTGGCAATATATCTTAATTCCTTTTTCATCACCCTCTGCCTCCCACGCCCACTTCCTACTGTTCTTGGTCCTGTTCCCATTTGCAGAGGAGCTGTCTCCCTGTTTCCTATTATCTGTCTTTTATTTTGCTCTTTATTTGTGTAGCAATATAGTTCACGATAGCTGACTCTGGATGCAGCCTATGTCCATCAGCAGATAAACGGATAAAAAAATACGGTATTTGTCCACCACAGAGAACTGCTCTGCCCAAATAGTCCCTGGAAATGGATACTTCTTAACTTTAAAGCAATTATTTTCTTTTTTGTTGTGCTGGATATTGAACTCAGGGCCTTAGGCATGTTAAACACATGCTCTTCCATGAATAAAACCCCTCGTCATGTAGTGGCAAAGTTAGAATTAAATAAAAATATAATAGTTCAATGTAATGGACAATCAGAGGATGGAGAAAATATTTGTAATGCGAGAGAAGAAGTTATGTACATCCAGCCTCACTATCTTCAAAAGCATAACTGAACAAATACCAGCAATAGATTTTATTGGGAAGAGAAAACAAATAGTAAAAAACTGTCTTTTTCCTTTTTATCAGTACCGGGGATTGAACTCATGACTGCCTGCTTGCAAGGCAGGCGCTTATGCTGCTGAGCTAAATCCCCAGCCCCTAAAAAACTGTCTTTTAAAGATAGCTCAATATTTGTGAGTGCTGGGAGGGTAACTCAGTGCTAGAGCACTGGCCTAAGGATTTGGGACCCCAGGATTTGGGTTTTATTGTAGTGTGGGCACTGGGTGGTGAATAAATGGGTTTGGGGTTGCCATGGGCACAGGTTTGCTGTCAGGGCACTGGAGAAGTTGTGTGTTCAGGGTACCCGTGCCCCAGAGAGCAGGGGAAGGGAAAGCAGGGACCGATCAAGCAGGAGCAGTGAGCACACACCAACGCAGGCAGGACTGTTAGGGACGTAAGTGGTGAATCGTAGGCAGGGACTGGCGAAGACTTGCCGGCTGGACACTTGCCCAGAGCGACCGGCTGAGGGCTGGAGTGAGTGAGGTGCAGCCGCCCTGCTGAGGCTGAGGGCCAGGCAGCAGGGAGAAGCCTGCAGGCCTCCGGCGAGGCAGCAAGGGCAGAGGCGTGGGCTGGGGCGGCCTGGCACAGCTGAGGAGCTGCCAGAGCACACAGTGGGTGCGGGGATAAGCCAAGCACGCTTAGCACTGGAGGGGACCTCCGCAGTCCTTTGGGGACTGTCACGGAGCATTTCAGGGCCTGCGTAACATGAGAAGACCGAATCCCCACTTTGGCTTCTGCGTGGATCATAGAGTAGTGGCGGGGCGCAAGTTAGAAGGCCAGGTGGAGCTGTAATCCCAGCTCTGTGGCAGGCTGAGGCAGGGAGGTTGTGAGTCCAAGCCCATTCTGGCAACTTAGTGACTTAGTGAGACTCTGTCTCAAAATAACGAAAAAGGGGTAGGGTATAGCTCAGTGTGTCATGGTGTTGGCGTATCCCAGGCGGTACATGGAGACACCTTTTAGGCTTCAAGTCTGAACACCAAGGGGGAGGTAAGGCAGTAACTGAGGAGGAAGAGGAGACAGGCAGAGACAAGGGCCGTGGGTGGGGAGCATGAGGAATTCCAGTTAGTGTGAGCTGTTGAGATGCCCAGGTAGTGAGTGGATCAGCAGGACCTGAGTTACTCATCTGGGGGCGTTAGCAAAGAGTTGGTAGACATGGGTCTGATCATCAGACGCCCTGGACTCAGCTTTGAGGAGCACTGGTATTCAGGAGTTAGGTGGAGGAAGAGTGGGGAGCAGCAGCCAGGAGCAGAGAAGGGAGGGCAGAAGTGCCCCAGGAAACAGAGTCCTCCTGGTGATTCCACTGTGAGCTGTTCACGGCAGCCACTGTGATCACCGAGTTACTAAAACCTGTGAAGGGACTGAACATCATTCTTACGGAGTCGTGGTTTCTTTGAGACTGGGTCTCACCATGTAGTTCAGGCTGGCCTTGAACTTATACAGCCCAGGCTGGCCTGAAACTTGTGGCAATCCTCCTGCTTCAGCTTCCCCAGTGCTGGGGTTTTAGGCAGCATCGCATGCCCAGCCAAAACTTTTTTTTTAAAAAAAGGAGAAAAAAGCAGGCAGTGTATTGTAAAAGGACTTCTGATAGAAAACCTGCCAGGTACATGTTACAAGGAAAGGCTCACGGGGTGCATTTTCTCTTTTTTATTTTTTTTTAGTGGGCTATGGAAAAGCCAGAGTTATTTAATGTAAGCAGGGGAAATAATTTAAGCATGTAAAGCACATCTGGCAGTATCTCTTTGTTCTTAATGAAGCCCTTGGTTCTTGCAGGTGTGGTATGCTGCATCCTACGCTGAGTTCGTGAACCGGAAAATCCATGACATTTCCGAGGAGGAAAGGAAAGGTGGTTGGACTCCTACACTGTCCATTTTCTAAATTGTTTATATCGCATCTAAGTTGTGATGTTACATCGTCAGGCAGCCTCTGATTTTTCCATCTTAATATATTTTAGAAGATATTCCAGTAGATTTCTTGGCACTACCCATCTCCACCCAATTCTAAGATCGAATCACAATGACATATTTACATTTCTTTTCTGGGCACTAGAAAATAGTATTTAATGTAATGAAAACCTCCAAATACCAAATTAGAACATAGATCAGAGGATGACTCCTATCTGGCCTTAGTTATCTCTAGGACACAGCAAGGCAGGTGATGGCTTTGTTTGTAATGTAAATGTTTCTGAGGTAGTCTGCATACAGGAAGGCACAGAGGTCATTAAGTGTGCAGTGATCACACCTGTGTGAATTCCTGAGCATGCGCACTCTCTCGACACCCACCAGCACACATGGATTTGTTTGTTACTGAATTGGACATGAACAGAATGACATGGTGCATACACTTTTTGTGCCTGGGCCTGTTTTACTCAGTATCATGTTCCGTATATAATTGTAATTTGTTCATGCTCACATCTGTTTGCTTTTCTGTTGTCTGAATCTTGAACCGCCCGTTTGTCTACCTTCCTGTGCATTTGATTGTGCAGTGCAGTTATATTAGTGACTGTCCCAAGTCAGATCAGATTTCACAGACTCTTCAGATGGCAGGGACATGATCTGTGAGTCCCAGGGCCTCTGTACTCCTGACCAACTCAAGGGTTGATAACTTTCTCAGGGTTGATGACTTTCTAGAGTGACTCACGTAAGAGGAAAACGTTTTACATAATGATGACGGTTTATTACAAAGAATGCGTATCAGGATCAGCCAGATGAAGAAATGCATGAGGTGAGGTCTGCAGGGCCCCCAGATAAAACTTCCATGCTTTCCAAATGCACCCCATTCCTGGCATGCTGATGTCTCATTACCTACCACAAACACTCACCTGGGCTTTACTGTTCAGCTTTTTACTGTGGCATCATCACATTGCCATGATTGATTCAATCCCTGTCATAGGATTAAACTCAATACCTCCTGTCTTGGAGGAGTATCACCCGTTAAAGCATCAGCTTTCCGGTCACAGAGTGAGGCTTTCTGGTGCGGCCGTTGCGCTCACTGAGTCATCACCTCTACACGAAGGTTGGTAGGATGAGGAGCCCATGAGTAACAGACACTCCTGTCTCTGTGGAAATGCCGCTGATAGCAGGTTACCTCCCAGGAACCAGCAACAAAGGCCAGCCATGTTCTTAACATAACGGGGTCACTGGTAGTGTTTGGCCATTGTGAAGAGTGCCACCATGACCATTGTAGTACATGTCTTTTAACCAATGCTGGCATGGCCTTCATACACCGCTGGAGGTGGTTGCCAGGTCCTAGGACATGCATGTATTTTGCCTTGGGTGATATTTTGAAATATTTTGCTAAGGTGATTATATTGTGTGTTGACTTTTAAGTTATTTGTGATTTAATATAACCTTAAATGGTGAAATGTGGTCTGAATCACTAGGTTTCTGCTGTAGCATTTTCTGTCTTTCCATTGCAGTGGTAAGGCTTCTGAGCGTGTTTCAGAACGAGAGGGAGTGATGTAAGGGTATTATTCCTTTGATGTCTTGCATGAATGTTTTAGAAATAAGGTCCTAAAAGCATTTCTCTGTCAAAATTTAGCCTTTGATTTACAACAGAAAAGTAATACAAATAACAGATCCTGTCCGCAGTGAGATAATCAATAGTGAGCCTCTGAATTTCACTGGTGCCTGTTGGTCATCAGCCTTTATGATGATTTCTCTCTTGTGACTGTAGTTCTTCGTGAGCAAGAGAAGAACTGGCCGTGCTACGAATGTAACCGCCGTTTTATAAGCTCAGAACAGTTGCAACAGCATCTCAATTCTCATGACGAAAAACTGGACGTGTTTAGCAGGTATGTGTGAGGGACAAGGACTCATAAACCAGTTCTTACAGGTTCAGATTATTTCTGTATGTTTATAAACAAACAACTATTTCGTGTGTGTGTGTGTGTGTGTGTGTGTGTGTGTGTGTGTGTTTAGACTGGTAGGACACCAGGTAGGCTGGTAAGAGAGACTACTTTTACCTTGTTTAAGACTCTTTCAACTAGAGATTCTGAAATAAGAATCTCTGAGATAGCATATACCCTTGAAATCCTGAGCTCTGATTTACAGACTTTTCCAAGTAGTGTAATTCCTTCATCAAACTAAATCATATGACCCAAGGTATACAAAACACAGACGAGGAGAGAATTGTATAGGATGGGGTAGCAGGTGCTGGGATATTAAGGATGATGGTAAAAAATTTCGATTTTAGGGATATAGCTCGGTGGCACAGCACCTGTCTCACCCCAAGTGAGAGGTCATGAGTTCAATTCCTAGTACACACACACACAAAAGGATTTTATTCTAAGTGTGATAGGCAGTGTTTACAGGATTTTGGCTAGTTACTTACATCAATTGCAGTTTTAAAGGTTGGTTCTGGATAAAAATGAAAACAACAGGTTTGTTTATATGGGTGTAAAGTGAAATAGGGGATCCAGTTAGAAGCTATTGCGATAGTTCAAGTGAGGAAGGATGGTTTTTTGGAACAGGGACAAATGTAGGGGTGTCTACTTCTAGGAACTGGAAAGACAGGTGTGTTAGCTGCCTGGCACTGACAGAACACCTGAGGAAAAAGTCTGAAAGAGAAAAGGTTTGTTTGGGCTTATGTTTCCAGAGGTTTTGGTCTATGGTAGGCTGATCTGTGGTGAGACAGAGCGCCATGGCGGCAGGAGCCCATGGCAGAGGAGGCTGCTGGCTGGAAAGAGCAGAGAAGCCAGCGTGCGCACGGACCTCCAAAGGCGCCCAGTGACCTGCTTCTCCCCACCTCCTGAAGATGCCACCATTTCCTAGTAGCACCACCAGTTGGGGACCTGGCTTTCAGCATAGGTGCCTTTGGGGGATATTTAAGAGCCAAACCCGGCTGGGTGTGGAGGCAGCTGCCTGCAGTTCCAGCACTCTGAAGGGCGGACACAGAAGGAGCATAAAGTCAAGCCTAGCTCTAGTTATTTAGTGAGACTGTATCCAAAAAAAAGAAGTGGGAAAGGGAGAGTCCTAGGCAAATGTCCTGCAGTGGCCCGTAACACTGAGCGCCCACTGGAGGTTCCTGCTTGTGAAATAAGAGTGAGTGAGGGCAGGAGAATGGGGTGAGTGGGCAGGGGACTGGGTTGCGCATGGCTGTGGTTTTGCTGAGTGTGTCTGACGCAGGGAGATGAAGCAACAGCGGCAGGGGTGAGAGTTGAGAGCGAGGAGGAGGGAGTGATTACAGCGAATTGGCCTAGAGGATGTGCTATGGAGGAAGGAAGGGCTGGGTACGCACGCTGCTCATGGTATGGGACGCTGGGCCCAGGGGCTAAAGGTGTGAGCTGGAGAGCAAGGAAATGGTACCATGGTGGGCAGCACGTGGAATCGGTCCCAGGCTTTATTTAGGACAGCGGGTCTGTGATGTGACCACCAGATGAAGTGTCTGCGTGGGGAGGACATGGTGAGGTCTAAGTCACTCACTCCTGAGTGTCCCTGATGTTTTCTTATACTGTGACTTTGGATTTATGTCTCCTGCCTATGCTACATTTTATATCTTTAGTGCCTAGTACAGGATGTGGTACATAGTAGATAATATGATTTTAGCCACCTGTTAAAAGAAATTTGAAAGCCTTGCATAGTGGTTCACGCCTATAATCCTAGCATTCAGGAGGCGGAGGCAGGAGGATCGTTGCAAATTCAAGGCCAGCCTGGGCTACAAAGTGAGCTCAAGACCAGCCTGAAATGCATAGTGAGACTCTGTCTCAAAAAGACCAAAAACCCCAACAAAAACAAAAAACCCCAGCAACAACAAAAAAAGAAATTTGAGACAGACTTGAAGTTTGACTAGATAGTATAATAATACTGAGGGTCTAGCAGGAGTATTTTTAGGTGCCAGAGTATTTTCTTTTTTGGTACCAGGGATCAAACTTGCGACCCTCACGCTTGCCAGGCAGGCACTTACACAGCTGAGCTAAATCCCCAGCCCCGTGGCCAGAGTATTATGGTGTGGCATACACATAGAGTCTGTGATTTAGAGACACATACTGATGTGTCTGTAGATGAAAGGGTGTCTGGGATGGATATGTGTGGAGCCATGGTGCAGGTATAGATAGAAAATGTATCATATATGACCATAAGATAAGTGTTAAGTGTTGTGGGTGCCTTGGGCTTATTAGTACCGTTTTCTATATTTGCCTGTGTTCAGAATTTTCCATAGTGAAGAATGTGTAGAGTTCCCAGAGGCCAGGCACAGTGGCAGGTGCCTCTAATTCGGCTGCTTAGGAGGCTGAGTCAGAATTCCGTGACCTCAGGAGTTGAAGACCAGCTTGGGTGACACAGCAAGCCCGATCTCAGAAACGAACACAAAACAAGATCCTAAAAAATCGTGTATTTGTTAAATAGATGCATGGAAAAGCAAAACATGATCTGGCTAATGTAATACACCACATCTTCTGAAAGACAATTTCATGATGTCTCTCTGTTTCTAAAAATGTTATTTTGAGGTCGGGTTGGTCTCGCTAAGTGGCCTTGGCTGGCTTCAAACCTGTGCCCTTCTTTCCTCACCTCCTCAGCAGCTGGGACGACATGTGCATGCTTCAAAGTCTCTTTTAATAGGGAAACTTCACATTTTAGAAACCATTACAGGGGGTAAGATTTGTTCACAGTATACAGGACAATTGAGCTAGAAATGTTTTTTGACCTTTGGAAGGTCCTGATAAAACAAGAAGATTCTTCGAATTCAGCCATGTTTCTCGGGAGGAAGATGAGCCTTGACGAGGGGGAAAGACGGCACGGAACCTTGTCTGGGTGACACCTGCCTCACACATCTGGAAGCTTGGCATATTCTGTCCTGTGTCCGATTCTTACCTCCTTTCAGAGCAGAATACTGTCTGTGCTTTTGATGGCTCTTTTTTTCCTCCTCAGAGTAATTTTAAGATATCTCTGGGCTGTAGAGAGGGCAACCGTGAGAAATTCAGTAAGTAATAGTTTCCATGAGAGAAAGAAATCAGGGAAAGTCGTAAAATGAAAGGAACCCAAAGGCTGGCGTTAGTGAGCACTGTGCAGCGAAGGCTGGGAAGGCTGATGTCGTGGGCTGTTCTGAACGCTATCTCTCATCCCCAGAACAAGAGGCAGAGGAAGAGGACGAGGCAAGAGGCGATTCGGCCCAGGTCGGCGGCCAGGGCGTCCCCCGAAGTTCATCCGCTTGGAAATAACCAGTGAAAACGGGGAGAAGAGCGATGAGGGGACACAGGTACTGGAGGAAGGAAAAGAGCTCTTGGACGCTCGTTTAGAGGCCTCAGAGCCCATGTTAGGTTAAACAGGAACCCACGTGTGCAGTCCTTCCTGAAACAGCTTGCTGTCTGTGAATAATCAAAGCGTGATTGGAGAAAGGAAAAAAGGCTGTATTTCCTTTTAATTTTTTTTTTAATCTTTTTATCGGTACCAGGGATCGAACTCATGACCACCTGCTTGCAAGGCAGGTGCTTATGCCGCTGAGCTAAATCTCCAGTCCCAAAAGGCTGTATTTTCTTTCTTTTTTTTTCTTTATTGTTTTTGAGACAGGGTCTTGCTCTATAGCCCAGGCTGGCCTTGAACTCACAGTGATCCTCCCGTGTCAGCCTTTCAAACTGCTGGGATTGCAGGAATGTGCCACCATGCCCAGCTAAAAAAAGAATGTATTTTCAAGTGTTACTTACAACAAAAACTTAGCTTTGCTGCCCTAAAGATTTGAAATTGACCAGAGCTATTAGAGGGGGATTTTTGTTTAATTTGTTTAAACTGTTAAAATTACTAATATTCCAGAAGAGTTGTACATGGTTTTCTCCTTTTTCAGTGCTCAGGAATATCTCATGGGTTTTGCATTCTGTATGTATTTACTTATCTAACTTTTCCACAGGGAGAATTTTTTTTCCTGAGCACCGTGTACCCAGTCACTTGAAAATAAGCAGTAGTCGATTAAGGTGGCACAGACACGCCAAGCTGCTCTGAAGTTGGGGTGGGAGAATCACTTGAGCGAGGGAGCCCAGGAACAGCCTGGGCTATATCAAGAGATCCCATCTCTCTATAGAAATATATATATATATATATATATATATATATATATATATATATGTTGTGGTGGTGGTGGTTTTAAAGCAACAACTCTGAAACTGAGCTAACAGTCATTGCAACACTGATCTGTAGGTAGGGAAATAATCTCTGGTTGTTACAAATTTCAGGACTTGCTGCATTTTCCAGCAAAGGAGCAGTTTGATGAGGCTGAACCAGCTCCCCTGAATGGGCTGGACCCCCCGGAGCAGACTGCTATCTCCGTCCCTCAGCTCCCACAGGAGGCCCAGGCTTCTTTGGAGCACGAACCGGAAACCCATACCTTGCACCTGCAGCCGCAGCACGAAGAGAGCGTGGTGCCCGCCCAGAGCACGCTGACAGCCGATGACATGCGCAGGGCCAAACGCATCCGAGTAAGTGGGAGAGCACGCCCCCTACCGGCCGACCAGGAGCTCCCTTCCCTGGCTTTTGCGGCTCTTTGTGTTCCAGGCTGTTCCTGTCCACTTGGAAACCTTGCATCTGGCCAATCCATGTTCAATCTCCTTGTTTTGCAAAGAAGTATTAACAATTTCTGCATATCTTACTGTCTTTATGTCCCTTGGCAGGCTGGCATGGCTGGTCTTAGATCGAATCAATTGAGTAATAGCACCCAGAAGCCTGGATGTTGGCAGCCCCTGCACCGTTGTCATTAACATAGCATAGCTGTCCACATCTCTGAGCTCCGAGAGTGGAAATGGAGAAAAAACCATACTTCACTCTAATAACATTACTTACCTGTGCCGTGGATTGAGCTCATGGCCTGCTGTACACTTAGGAGGTGCTCTGCTGCTGAGTGCCAGCTCAGGTGTAATTCTTTATCTTTAATCCAGGCTTATCAGGGCCTGATTACAGTTCTCAGGTGAATAGTGGGTGACTAAATTTGGCTGTGTACAGTGTCTAAGGGGAGACTGGCAAGGTCAGTACCCACCAGTGTGCTGGACCTGTGCCCAAGCTGGTTGGCAGATGTAGTCTGCACACCCGAGGAGAGCTCACAGTAAAGCTGTGGGCTGGTCAAGGTCTCACGTATGTGACCCGTGTCTTGGCTTCCAAGCATGTAGCTGCAGGGCTTCCCTTCAGACGTGTGTCTGTGCATTAGCACACAGGCAGCGTGGAGTCTGAGTCAGGAACCACAGGGGACACACGTGTGCAACCTTGGGGTTGTAGGCAGCGCTAGTGTGGACAAAAAACTGACCTGAAACCCGTGTCTGTGGCAGCCAGATGTAAAAGACTGACCTGTAGATGGAAGAGCGTTTTCATTACCTTTGGAGACTTTTCAGTTTCTAGATGGGTGATTGCTTTAGCTTACTGTTTCTCTTGGTCATTTTAAAGATGATAAGGGAGATAGTACTCAGGGAAGGGGTAGATGCTAGGTGTCCTGCACAGGACCCTGCTTGCTGTGGGTGAGAGCTCTTGGGTTTGCCTCTCACTTTTGGTTTGTTTGCCTGGAAGGGACCTTGAAAAGCAGTCTAGTCCATGCCTTCATGTAAAAGCACCCTGAAGCACTCCTTGCCCCGTGGCTGCTCTGAAGGCATCTGGGAACCCTATGCATTTTCTGTGAGGTTCTCTAATCTACACATATGCAATGTTCAGCTCACTCTATATTCTTTCAATAGGACTCGTAAGCACCCTAACTATAGACCAGAAACTTTAAATCTATGCATTAACATCTTCCTGTCTACCCTCCTACTGTATTTCCTAATCTGTACATTTGCACAGTTATCTTTTCTGCTTTGGCCATTCCAATATTTTACTAGGTCCAGAAAAATGCTTTCCAGATTTAAAATTTTTTTGAAGGCAAAAAAGCCCTAAAACTCACGCATGTAGTGAAGATGTGCAGGCATGTTCTAGCTGTAAGTGCACTTGGACTCTTGAAGGCTTGGGGTCCTGGTTTCTGTAGAAGATTCCTTGTCAAAGTACAGGCCACCTGTCTGTGGCTTTTGGAGGTCTGCTTTAGTTGAGCTGTCTTGTTTTTTCCTATTACACATTCTAAAATGTAGGGCTATGTATTTTTTTCGTCTTTTTTTTTTTTTTAATCCAGATGGGTAATGACCAACTGAAGGGAAGTCTTCCAATCCAATTGGTAATGTAACTATTTTTCTCTCCTCTAATGCTGCCTGCTCAGTTGGAGCTGCAGGTAGGTTTGTTTCCTGTGTTTCACGTAACAGAATGTTAAAGTGCTTGCCTGCCCTGCTATTCTTTGCAACCTGTACTTACTAAATCCTGGTGGAAACCACAATTTGGTTGCTACAGTAGATACAAATTAATGAATAGTGGTAATTTACTTGTGAATAAGTCAGTGAGTAAGTTGAGGGTACAAGCTTCCTCTATACAAAATGAAGGGTAGGACTAAGTGATCTCCAAGGTCCCTTCCAGCTATAAAAGAATGCGAGTGACTTATGGAAAGGTGATGAGTTCTAACTGTGTCTTAAGCACTGTCTAGTCACCCAAGAGAACTGTCCATTGGGCTGTGTCTCTAAGAGCTTACAGCCTGAGTACAGAGTCAGTATTAATGTAAGGTGATGTACAGTTATATAATAAAATTGCTCTATGACAGTGATGGCAAACCTGTCAGTGACCAAGTGTGAAAATTGCAACCCAGAACCCACTTATCTGTGGGCAACACTGCAATCAGAGTGTGGAGGTTTTAGTGTGGAAAACAGAGTATTAGCCATGCTCGGCGGCTGGTGCAGCTTGGCTCGTTTGCCATCAGAGAGGCCTCAGTGTGTCTTCTGTGACACATGTGCCATAGGTTCACCGTTACTGCTCAAGGAAGTGGAAGAAAGACCAAAGAAAGATGGAGGAAGCAGGAAGTAATTGTGGGAGAAAGGAGGAAAGACAGTCTCTTGAAGGGGACCATTCCAGCGGAGCGTGGACAGAGGATCAGAGGCCCGACGCTTAGGAGTGAGTTGGTGGTGACGGAGCAGAGCACACACTGGCTTACTGCAGCCTTGGGGGCAGGCAAAGGAGAGTGGGGGGTGAGGTGTGTTGGCCAGGGCTGAGCTGCCTACGATTTTGAAAGTTGGGCAGAAAATAGGACAAAGAAAAGTTGCTTTTTAAAAATTAACGATAACCCCAAACCAACAAACAAGCACTGATTGTTTTATTTCCTGTTAGTCTCAGGATCAAAAAAGTATGAAAATTGATCGATTGTGTAGGTACCTTTAGCTCAAGCTTTAGAAACATTTCAGAAATAGCAAGTCATCGCAGGGTGAGTCACAGAACCCCGTGATCATACCGCTTGGTCATACTTGGAGCAGCAGTGTACCAGGTGGTGTGGCGGGCTGGCTGGCTGACTGCACTCAGGAGACCAGGAGAGCTGGGCTGGCTCTCGGTCATGCACCCCACTTGTCATGACTCCTCTTAGCGAGTGGACCCGATGTGACTGCACCACAGAAGCTGTCTTAGAATTGGTCTGCACTTGGGCCAAGGAGTGGGGACAGATCTAGCACTTTTACTACATCGTATATGAGTATCATTAGCTCAGAGAAATACGGGCTGCTTCTTGAGCACTTAGGCAATGTTCAGGGCTCCATGGAAATTAAAGAGATAAGAATTGTCAGTAGAACTAAGGAAGTGGAGCCAGGTGGCTGCTTGGTTTAAATCAAGTGTCTGAAAATTCTCATGCTAATCAGAAATGACAGACAACTGATTTACATAGTGAGCCAAAGCAACGCTGAATCCTAGATTGGGCACTCGATGAGAACTGGAATCCTCACTGGGGTCATCATCAACTGTTGTGTACTATGTCCGTCCTTGGGAATATGACTGAAGTCAGACACAGGAAGTGACCCTGACATGGCAGGCTCGCTCTAAACTTGAGTCATCTCTGAACCTCAGAATAGCATCTGTTTTTCTGGCATCTTTCCATAAAGTTTGAAAAAAGGCTGAAGACTAAAGAGCTCCTGTGTCAAATAAAAAAATATGTGTCCACTCTGAGTGAAAAAGATTTGGTGACCACTAAGGAGTGTGAGGATTGTGGGTGATTTGGAAAAGGTTTATTCTTTAAAATGTTTCTGGTTGCCATAGGAAAGAACCTAGACATTTGTGAACTATATTAATTTTCAATCTTGTATTGGACACTTCAATCAATTTTAAAGGATCTAGACACAAAAGAGAATGAAATATGATACCCACATCCCCTACCCTCCCGTGACCCTTAGTCAACTTGAGAGGACATCAGAATTAATCTTACCCTACTCAAGATAAGCAAGTTGGCAGCATCATAAAAGAATCTCCTATCCCTGTTGCCTGAGAAAGAAGTTTTCTGTTGTATCAAATGAATTATTTATAGTAAAAAAATAAATATTTTACATTACATTGAAGTCAGAAGTTGCTGCTAAGTAATTAAGGGTTAAAGAGTGGACTGGACTGGACTTTCTTCATTGCAAGTATAATGCATTAAGATCCCCCTTAAGGCTTCAATTACAGTGATTTTCTAGTCACATGAGAGCACATTCACAGGTATACTTTTTGAAGGGTTTTTTTTCCCTCAGAGCTAACTAGAATCTTCCTTTGGTGTTTCAACAACTGATGAATGAGTCATTATAGCCTAACTAAATATTGATCTCTGTATTCTTCGTGTGAAGTTGATTCTGTAGATTGGCTCTCCATGGAGCATGGGGTGTTTTTCCTGTGGTTGTGACTGATTTGCCTTGAGCCATCTTTTCTCACTTGGATTCCCTCTCACACTTGCATGAATTCACAGGAGAGCTGGTCAGCATTAGAAGTGTGATCTGTGATTTAAAAAAAAAAAAAGCAAACTTTCTTAGCATGGCATCCTAACCAGCAGAACTAACTGGCTTCCTTGGGAACTCGTCCTCCAGATTTCTAAGTAGAAAGCGCTGCAGTGCATAAATTTCATTTTTGATATGTACTCGTGTCGTGTCTCAAGAACAAACACATTCACATAAAGGAAGCAAGTTCATTTCATTTTCATTCCTTACATTGAGATCTTTAATTCATACAGTGAAAAATTCACCTTGTGTGCGCTTGAGTGTGTGTGTAGGGGTTTACTGGGGATTGGACCCAGGGCCTTTTGTATGATGGGCACACCCCCAAGCTTTTTAAGCATCGCTTTCATAATTCCCAGAAGTTGTGCTGCTGTCATCACTACCGAGATATTACTATGTGTATATTCTATGCATACATTTGTGTTACGATTCCAGAATATTTTGATTTCCCCTCGGAGAAACCCCATGTCCATTTTCTTCTCCAACCCCACTCCTGGGAAGGACTAACTGTACTTCACTTCCTTTAGGACTCTTTTTTGTCAAATGTTTTAATGAAGCTTTTTTATTTTAATCAAGGACTTCGGGGAGTAATACGTGGCCAGCGTGCCGCCGCCTTCCATGCCCGAGTGGCTTCCCCACCTTTCCTTCCAATCTCCAGCTTTAGCATTGCTTCCCTCTGGGGTCTGGTTTTCCATCCCAGTCTTCCGCGGAAAACGCCCTCTTCAAAGTTATATTCTTCGGAAGAAAAACACACAGACATCAACATGAAATGACACACGCGCACAGTGTGACATTTCAAGACCCACTTGGGGATGACTGCATTTTCCGCCTTTGCCAGCCGAGTCTCCTCGCCCCGCTTGCGTCCTGGAACGGGCCTTCTGGGGTGTCTGCGATTGCAGGGAGTACCCCCTTCCCCCTGGCAGCGGAGCCCCTGAGCTCTCCGTGTCCTCACCCCAGCGCCGTATTTGTGTATGTCTTTCAGAATGCAGCTCTTCAGCATCTGTTTATTCGGAAGTCCTTCCGGCCTTTTAAATGTTTGCAGTGTGGGAAGGCCTTCCGGGAAAAGGACAAACTGGACCAACACTTGCGCTTCCATGGGCGGGAGGGAAACTGCCCGTTGACCTGTGATCTCTGTAACAAGGGCTTCATCAGCAGCGCCTCCTTGGAGAGCCACATGAAGCTCCACTCGGACCAGAAGACTTACTCTTGCATTTTTTGCCCAGAATCCTTTGACCGCCTTGATTTGTTGAAAGATCATGTGGCCATTCATATCAATGATGGCTATTTCACCTGCCCAACTTGTAAGAAACGGTTCCCAGATTTTATTCAGGTGAGTGTCGCTACTGAGACTCCTGTCTGTTCCCTTCTGTTGGTGAAAGAAACAGGTTTTTAGAAAGTCAAAAGTGCGTAGCACCTACATTTTCAACTCTTCTTTGAAATGACTTTATAATTGAGAAACTATGTTTTTTCTTAATTAAATTACTTTTGGAAGACAGGGGGAGTATTATGACCCTTCATTGTCCAGATCAGATATTGATATTTAAACATTTAAGTTACATAACAAGTAATGTACACCCAGATTTGGTTATAATTTTTAAAAGTCTGTCAAGAGAAAGGTCTATCAAAATCTTTATCAGTATCCATTAGCACTAAAACTTAGAGCCTGTAGAAGACATACTCCTGCTTCGGTGGCTGAAAACATCTCCCTGTCTCTGGTTTTCTGTTTTGCTTTACTAAGGTCATGCATTTTGGAAGGAAACATAAAAAGTTGGTATATAATACATTTTGAATCAAGCACTGACTGTCTCCCTGATTGTATGCTGTTGGTTGGAGCAAACTGGGTGAAGTTTAATTCTAAAATATTCATAATTTCATTAGACATTAAGTGTTAATAATTTTATATGCTAGTTAGTGAATAATTAAATGTCTTATAAAATACTTTAAATTTTTCTTTTCCTTTTTTTTTCTTTATTTTTTGGTCTTTTTCAAGACAAGATTTTCTATACAGTTCAGGTTGGTCTTGAACTCACTTTATAGCCCAGGCTAAACTCACCATGATCCTCCTGCCTCACCTTCTGAGTGCTGGGATTACAGGTATATGCCACAATTTTTAATAAAACATTATTAAAGGGAAAGAAACTAGGAGTTAATAATAATTTGCTAGTGTTGTGAGCCCTGTAAATTTTCTTGCTTCACACAGACAAAAAGAAAGGCTGCTAAGGCAGAATTTAATGATGAAAGAACTCCAAAAACAGTGACGCAAACTGTAATTTGATGTAACTCACTGCTTAGCTTCCATCCACAGTTCCTTTTCAGTTCTTTTTGGATTTTTATAGCTAAAAAGAGTTCAGAGCAATATTCTTTTTATTTATGGGGTTAGGAATTGACCTCAGGATGAATCTTAATTTTTTTATTCGTTACCTAAACGTAAAGGAAACAGTCCCAGTTAAGGGGAAATGACGTCACCGTGTTGTCTCATCACCACATTTGGGTAATGTTTTCTACATTGTTTGGCTCATGTCTTTGATTCTTCAAAACCTGCTTCTTCTGTTCTGGTTTTGGTGCTGGGGATCAAACCCAGGACCCTGCAGCTGCTAGGTGAGGTCTCTGCTACTTGGGCTGCCCCCATCCTGCTTTCATTAGAAGAAGTAAAGTGATTGGTTATTACAAGGGGATGAGTTGCTTCTGTACTTGCTGAAGGCAGAAAGAAGTGTGGAAGAATTTTTTTGTCTTCTCATAGATAATATTTAGCAAGATTCATTTAAATTCATAGAATCCTTTTTTTTAAGATAAAGAGACACTTGAGTAGCAAGTGGTCTGGCCTTTGATGAAGATGACATTGCTTCGCCCTCTGTCCCCAGGGAGGCTGAGATTTGCAGGGCTTTCTGGCAGCTTGTGTGGTTTCCTTGTGACCGGGACAGTTTTGGAGGCCATCGTCAGACCTGCCTGGGTGGCTCGCCCGGGTTTTCGCGGATCCTCGGTGGCGCGCGGGCGCCCCCTAGCGGAGGCAGCGCCCCCCCGCCCCCCCCCCCCCTCGGGCGGCTCCTTCTGTGCCCCAGTGCCTGAGTTTTTCTCCTGTCTTCCTGCCAGGTAAAAAAGCACGTGCGCAGCTTCCACTCGGAGAAGATTTACCAGTGCACGGAGTGTGACAAGGCCTTCTGCCGCCCCGACAAGCTGCGGCTGCACATGCTGCGGCATTCGGACCGCAAGGACTTCCTGTGCTCCACCTGTGGGAAGCAGTTCAAGGTAGGTGGCCTGGGCACAGCCTGGGCACGGCCCACCCTGCGGTGCTTAGCGCCCTGGGAATCCAGCTGCGAGGCGACAGTGTCCCTGCATTTCATCCGCTTAGCACCTCTGACCAAGAACTGAGATTGGAATATACTTTGGCTCTCCTATTTGGCTTAGTTATAAAATGAAGGGGACAAACTTAATGTCCCAAACAAATTCAGATTCCCAAATATACCAGTAGTGCATGTTCTGCAAGAACCCAAGCGTGCCAAGTGTGCAATGACCAGCGGAGCTCACTGCCCTGAGTAATTCCTGGGAGACCCATACATTTTCCTGCCTTCCAAGCCAGGCAATTTTCCTGAGAACTTAAAGAGTGTCACAGGGGAAGCAGGGCTGTCAGCTGGGAAGCATGAGCATGAGAGGCTTAGATCCCTTTGCAGACTGTTAACGATGTCAGGATTAAAATAAAAAATTGTGCATGTGAGTAACCTTCCTGGAATGTAGGGGAAACCAAAGAAAATCCTGCAGGAGACTCAGCGGTAAGAACAGCTTAGACAGATGTGAGAGGCCGGGCCTAGTGGTGCACGCCTGTACTCCCAGCACTCGGGAGGCGGAGCAGGAGAATCACTGTGAGTTCAAGGCCAGCCCCAACCCTGTCTCAAAAAAGAAAAACAAAAATGTGAGAATAATCATATAGCATCACTGGGAAATGGTGTGATTTTACACAGACGTCACTGAGGGACATGGCTGAGCAAGCTTATAGGTCACACTGTCATAGAAACTGGAAAGAATCAGAAGCAGATTCTCATGCGGGGAAAACTTGTGTAGAACATGAAGACACTGAAGAAAAATAGAAAGTGATTTTCAGAGCGTGAGTATTGTGGTATGTGTATTGTGAAACATGATTGCAATGGCTTTCAATGTGTAGCAGCATGATTTTAGAACTGTATAGAGGACTCTAGGATGGATAAACGTTCATTGGTTTTTTTTCTGTTCTTTATTTTGGGTGGCATTGAACCCAGAGCTCTGTCTGTGCCAAGCATGCGCTGTAGCACTATAGGTGACCTATACCCAAAGCCCCATGAACTGATTTATATTAAAAGTTCTCTCTTTGATGTTCACATTTGACCATCTGTCCACCCTATCCATTCAGCATCTTTGTATTATTTTATGCCTGATACCATTTTATCACTTAGGATTTTTTAAAAGCCAAAATAACAAACTTTCTGTTTCCATTTTCACCCAATATATCAGACACGGATCAGTCAGAGAAGCAAAACTTTTGTGAATACTTTAGAATGAGGAATTTTTTCCTAGAACTAAGAACATAAGTATGGAAGCTCATGCGGAAGTGAGGGTCTGAAGGGAACACTTAGGGGATCAAAGCAGGTATCAGAGCTCTTTCTGAAGCACTGGGCAGGTGGCCAAACAAAAGCTTGACTAAGGACCTGGGAACCCAGGCACTCCAGGCGGTGGACGCCGTGGAGCTGCAGTTAGCATTGCTCCTGGGTTTGGCCAGTGGGGCTGGCACTCAGGAAGGAGTCTGCCGTCTGAGTGGGAGGGAGGGTTAGTGGGGAGCCCCTGGCACCTCCATACCTGCTGCTACAGTGGCACTTTGAGCTGCTGGGGTATGCCTGCTTTGTTCCTGCCTTCCCATCTGGTGTGCGTTTCTCTCTTGGAATCATATGGGGAAGTGCTTCTTTTTAAACACAGGCTGAGTTAGCTGAGTTGACATACCATCAGTGCATATTTTTATTTGGTTGGTTTTTTGTGCATATTTTTAAAGATGGTAGCCAGAGTGAGTTTTCTGGAGAATAGGTGTGACACCATGACCCTTCTGAAAAAGCTTTTATCTCTCCACTCCTGTAGGCGTAGTTCTTATCACATAGAAGACACCATGGGACAGTGGTGGTAAACCTTTTAGAGCTTCCAGTGATATGATCAGCCCGCTGCAGCCCGGGTGCCCTAGGTTCCTGCCATTGCTATCTGACCTGGTGCCTGATGGCCTCTCTAGTTCTCACTACTGCTTTGCATCTGGCTGTACAGAGTCACATGGATCCACTTCCGTGTCTCCTGGGGCCCGTTCATTTGATTTCACTCCTTCCTATCCTTGGTTAGAAATGAATTTCCAGACTCTTGCATCATTTCACCTGTCTTTTCTATTTTATTTTATTTTTTTTTAAATTTTATTTAAGGAGAAAAAAAAGCAGAGAAAGGGTACAAGTTATACAGATTTACAGAAAAAAAAAATAAACAGTAGGAAATCACTAGTTAATGGATTACATATTGTCATCTTAGAAATAATTGTTCAAGTTAAAAAATTAAAGCTTGTAAAGTGGACATTCCAACAATGATACTGCAAACAGTTCTGTTCAATGATCCAATAAAACTCAGTGATATCCTTTTCTATCTTATACACTTAAATATACATGCAGTTATATAGTTTAGAGCACTTTCTTTTCCTCTCTTTTGTACAATGACTATTACACATTTTGGGTTTCATTGCTCCCATGGTTCTTACTACTTTTTTGGAAGAGAGTAAAACCAAATGTGACATAACAGAACAGAGTCGGTCAAATCAAAAGGGTGGACATAATAGATAATGTAAAAACATAATACAAGGTTTTCACCTGTCTTTTCCCTGGGGCATCGCTCGGTCCCTGGGTTAAGCACTGCTCCTGGGAATCCCCATAGCACCTTTTGTTGGTGATCCCATCGTGTGGTAACAACTTAGAGTTGCAGTTGTCTGTCCTGATAACTAAATTTTACAGTGTATATAAAAAATAAGGCAGGACCTTCTAGCGTTAGGGAATGCACACTTCAATTGGTTAATCAGACATCAACTATATTATGGATATTATAACAGAGGAAAGGATCGGGGCTGGGGATTTAGCTCAGCAGCGTAAGTGCCTGCCTTGCAAGCAGGCAGTCATGAGTTCGATTCCTGGTACCGATAAAAATGAAAAAGACCAAAAAAAAAATTGAGGAAAAGATGATTTGTTAAGAGAGAGATTAACTCTGATTTGGGGTAAAGGAGTGACTTCATAAGTAATAGATAAGATGACACAGTGATACTTTTTTTTTTCTTGCGGGGAGTTGAACCCAGGGCCTTGTTGTGCTAGGGAAGCATTCTACTGCTTAAACAAAGCCTCTGTATGAAAAGGTGGGAAGAACTAGTTGTGTAGAAGGATTCCCAGTGTTTACCAAGTTAGTAGCAGTTTAATAGTATTTCTAAGAGCAGTGATCTCCCCAGTGGATGGTGTCCAGGGCCTGGTGCATGCCAGGCAAGCACTGTACCACTGAGCCACACACCTTTTGAGTTTATTTAATGCGGGATGGGTTCTGCCGAATGTTCTAAGGACTCACATCAGCATGGATTATTGTATTACCAAAGTAGGACACAGCTGGACATAGGGGCACATGGTGCCATGCTCCATCTTGTAGTGGACAATACGAGTGCTTAAATATCTAAATCCATGATGTGGGAGACTTGAAAGAGATTCCTGCTGGAGTTCACTTGGGATTTTGGAGGACATCATTATGTTTATTGTAAGGTCTAAGAATCGAGCACACAGGGCTCTGTAAATCCAATATTACCTGTCACTCGTTATCTGTGTGTCTTACACAGATACACCAAATTTATTCTGGGTGCCCTTGGTTCTTGTCCACATAAATGCAGAGTCTTTCTTTAAAGGAGGAATCAGTGCCCTTCATATTTAAACCCAGGCTCACAGGAAGGGGGCTGTGATTCCGCCCCTCTGCACACGTCCTTCAGTCTCAGTGCTCCGGAAACTTGAGCGCCTCTCCCTAGGCTATGGTGACTGCTACTTTGTATTGATTTTTAAACATTATCCCTTGGGTTAAAATTTTCTATCCCCTTTGCAAACATTGTCTCCAAACAGCGAAAAGACAAACTTCGGGAACACATGCAGAGGATGCACAATCCTGAGAGGGAGGCCAAGAAAGCCGACCGCATCAGCCGCTCCAAGACCTTCAAGCCTCGGATCACGTCCACTGACTACGATAGCTTCACGTTCAAGTGCCGCCTGTGCATGATGGGCTTCCGGCGCCGGGGCATGCTGGTCAGTGCCTCCGCTCCCCCGCTTCTGTCATGCTGGTCAGTGCCTCTGCTCCCCAGCCTCTGCCGCTGCAGTGCACTCTGCTCATTACGTGTGTCAGTAGGTTTGCTCCGTGTCTGGAGGAGCATCCAGCAAACAGCCCCCATTTGGAGCCTCTCTTTTCCAATCTACCTTTGCCCTCCTGTATCGCTTTTCAGGTAACCTCTGGAAGGAGATCATTTCCTGCCCCTGTTTTGTTTGTTTGTTTGGTTTTGATGCTAGAGATTAAATCCAGGGCCTTGCATATCCTAAGCATGTTCTTTTAAGCTGCAACCCCAGCCCTCGGCCACTTTTCATTCTTGCTTTTGTTTTTCTTTACTCTTATTTTAAGTCTTTCTGCTCCTGTCCTGTTTTACTTCCCTCCTCTCTTTTGTATCCCCACATATACTTTCTGGTAAGGTCTACCTACATCTTCTCTCTGTTAATGATTCTTTGCCTCAGTTAGGAAATAGCAGTAGAAGAGAGCTTTCCCTAGGAACCAGGCGTGTGGTTCCAGGTCAGTGGAAGCCTCAGAGCACCCAGGTCACCGCTCTCAACCTATTCAGACCTTGTTACAATTGTAAAGTGTGTGTCTTCTAGGAACTAGAAAGTCACAGGACAAGATTTAAAATTCAGGACCTTACTTTGTGTCTCATTCAGTGCTGTCAGTCAGGCCCAGGCACTAAATAATGAAGGACAGTTTAAGTCAGGAGAACTCACCCAAGCAATTCCGTTGAGTGTGGTTTTCCTTTTTCCAACTGTTGATGGGAAGACTGTTGATGGGATCCACTGGGACCTGAATCCCCTTTGCTTCTGTGCCAACTCCCTTCCAGCGCCGGCTCCCGGCAGACGCCTCCGCCCCTGGGGATGCTGGGGCTTCATCTTCCGGCACTCCTTGTCGGAGGCGTGCGTCTCTGATGGGATCTCTTCTTTTCATTCATTTCTTTTCCCACGGTAGGTAAATCACTTATCCAAGAGGCATCCAGACATGAAGATAGAGGAGGTGCCGGAGTTGACTCTGCCCATCATAAAGCCCAACCGGGACTACTTCTGTCAGTACTGCGATAAGGTAAGAGCACCGGCCTGGGCACCGCCTGGGAAGCCTGGCTGGAGCCAGTTCCTGCGCAAAAGTGGGTGAGCACCTGCTCCCTGCCTTGCTGTACATTAACACACAGGCACGGAGGGAGTAGAAATGCAGCTCATTTCAATGTTTTGTCTTTTTAATTTGTTGCTGTTGTTTTTCATATTATCCCTTCTTCATGCAAGGTTTTTAAAAGAGATGTATTACCAAGAGCCTCGTATATGAATTTATTTTAAATTCCTAAGCTGTAAAATGAATGTTTATCACTTTACTTGTAAAGTATGGTAGATTTGGAGTTTCTAGAGGATTGAGCAGACTGTAAAAAAGCTTTATCGTGGTGGAGTACGCTATTTGTATTATTCCATTCTTTTTTTGTGTGCAGCTACAAGAAAGACAGAAAATAATGTATTATTCCCATGTGGGAATGCTCCTTATGTAAGACATCAATGTCGGCTTAAAAGTAAGAAAGATATTTTTAACATAGAATCCTCACTAAAGCCACTAGTGGCTATTTACCTTATCACTTGGAAGATTTTGGGTTCCTAGAACTGTATTATGTGTATCATGTAAGAGCTTTTACAGACAGATAAAAGGATAAACTGGCCTTACAAACAATTCTTTTTCTATATATGTTTCCCTTTTAAAATTTTGGGGAAAAGGTATGTTTGAAGTTACTGTCTTAGTTATATGCACAAACTTGAAGAGAGATACTTGGCATTATCTGTATTATCTTCGACTTTATTCTGATTTGTAGGTAATCCATACTGTTCTTCAATAAATTGGTTAATATCTTTTTCCTCCCTTTGGCTACATCAGTATTTTCTCCTCATTTTCTTAGAATGAAGTTGTTAGTTGCCTTAAGCAAGAAAGTGGGACAGTCCATGTACTGTTTCCATGGCGCAGTGTTTGTACTTGCAGGTTTACAAAAGTGCCAGCAAGAGGAAAGCCCATATTCTGAAGAACCATCCAGGAGCTGAGCTCCCACCAAGCATCCGGAAACTCCGCCCTGCAGGCCCCGGGGAGCCAGACCCCATGCTCAGCACCCACACCCAGCTGACGGGCACCATCGCCACCCCACCCGTGTGCTGCCCACACTGCTCCAAGCAATACAGCAGCAAGGTGAGGCCCAGTCTCCCGACCACTGCCCGCAGCAGGCCTCCGTGTGGAGCATCTTGAGAGCAGACAGCTTCTCATCCACATGGCTGGGTGACTTCTCTGAATTGATGGGGGGCTAAAAGAGATACCCCAGCCCCTCTAAGTAGGGACGATGGCAAAGAATTTGAAGAGAATATTGTGGATTCCTCAGAATGAGGGCTACCTACCCGTGACTTCTCCTTTGCCATTGGCTTGGTGAGGGTAGGAACTAAAATGGTCATCCCCGAAACAGGGTGGTCATTGCTGTGTGACTGCTTATCAACGGTATTACTGGGTGGGGGTGCCATAAGGTTTTGGACCTTACCTGGTAGGAGCAGGTGAGACTTTACTGCCCCACCTATGATACCCTTGTGTTACTTTGGGGAATGTAGGTATATGTTTGGGATCGCTCTAATTTTTAATTAATTAACTTAAGAGATGGAGTCTTGCTGCGTTGCTCAATTTGGCCCGAACTCCTGGGCTCAAACAGGTCTGTTGCCTCAGCCTCCCAAGTAACTGAGAATACAGGTATATACCACCCTGTCCAGCAGATCTGCCTGAGTATTTATTTAGCAGTGCTGGATCCAGCTCAGGACTTTTCACATGCCAGGCAAACACTTTACCACTGAGCTACATCCCCAGCACTGATTTCTTATTTTTTTGAAAGACACAAAATAAAGAGCCGGGCATGTAATCCCAATGCTTGGGAGGCTGATGTAGGAGGGTTGCAAGTTTGAGATCAGTCTGGGCTACAAAGTGAGCTCAAGGCCAGCCTGAACTGCATAGCGAGACCCTGTCTCAAAGAGACAAAAAAAACCCACATAAAATAAACAACCTTCTCATCTTTGGGAGGTTGAAAATAATTTCAGTTACTATTCCTGGTCTTGTCTTAACTTTTCAGACCAAGATGGTCCAGCATATTCGAAAGAAGCACCCCGAGTACGCCCAGCTTCCCAACAGCATCCACACCCCGCTAACGACTGCTGTGATCAGTGCCACCCCAGCTGTGTTAACGACAGACAGTGCCACTGGAGAGACTGTGGTGGTGAGCACGTGAGGAGGAAGAGGGTTTGTTCCCCATTCCCACTGTCCCCCTGTCTGTGCCCCCCGGATCTGTGCACCCCGAAGCCCTGTCAGCCTTGGGATTTAACTGGCTGCAGAGGGAGCCCACTTTCCTTCAGTTTGTCACACAGGTGTTATGGCGTGACTGGTCCCCTGGTCAGTGCTTTCCAAATTCTCTGTCAAAGGCATAGCAAGAGATTTTCGGTGTTGCCTCTGTGCTGCGATACTGTCAGGACCTCTAGGGAGGCTCCATGGAGTCAGGCAGCCACTCAGTGCTGATGTGCAGTTCCATGATCCACTGGCCTGATGTGTTAAATCAGCTACCTATGGCAGTGCCACCAGCTAATCACGTATCCTGCATGACTTTTCTAGACAACAGACCTGCTGACCCAAGCAATGACAGAGCTCTCTCAGACCTTAACAACAGACTACCGGACACCACAAGGAGACTACCAGAGGATTCAGTACATCCCCGTGTCTCAGTCCACGTCCGGCCTCCAGCAGCCTCAGCATATACAGCTTCAAGTGGTGCAAGTGGCCCCGGTATGGCGTGATATTCCTTCCTCTTTACCTTTGTGCATGTCCTTCGCTCGAGATGGGTACGGGCTCTGCATGGTAGGCTCCTGCGCGGAGACTCTGAGGGCCCAGTGTCTGTGAGTGCCACCTCCGCCTCCCTTGCCAAGCTGACGCGTCTCTTCAGCCCAGGCTCCAGGGCGTGCAGTCGTCCTGCGCTGCTGCACAAGTACCAGCAGCACCTCGTTCGGAGCCTCGACCGCACCCTCACCGTTTGGTAGCTTGATTACTGGATGATGAGCCATTCTGATAAACCTTTAGCCGGGCATCAAACGACCTGTATCAGTGAAAAGTTATAAAGAATAATTTTGATTTATTTCATGAGTATCAGTACCCTTTTAGTACAGAGGTACAATAACTATGTTCTTTTGCCAGATTATGAATATTCTCAATGATGAGGGACCTATGAAAAGGAATGCTCCCAGGACTGTCTTTCATTTAATTATGCTCTGGAGAAGTATATTAAAGACATAAATGAACAAACCTGTTGCTTTGGAATAATTTTGCCTTAAAAAAATGCATTTGTGAAAAAAACCATTAATTTAAACTAACATGATTTTAAACTGACAGAAAGTGTGAGTCATCCATCTCACTGACAGTTGTTCATTCTGTCTTATTTTCTGTTTCCTTTTTTTTTGGTGCTGGGGATTGAACTCACAACCTTGCGCTTGCCGAACAGGTGCTTACTCACTGGGCTGAAACCCCGGCCTTCTGTCGTTTTCTTATGAGAAGATTCTTAGCTTTCGGCTTTGTGGGGAGCCACAGGCTCTGAAGGTGCCTAGAAGCATGATAAAAGTGCACATTGCTCTAGAGGAAGAGCCCAGGTTGACCAGTGTTTCAGGGGTCTCTGGGATATGGACGAGATTAGAGACTGCTGCCGAGTGGGTCACCAGTGACAAACTAAAAACAGGTTCTCTGCTCTGATCTCGCAGACAAGGTGGAGTGCCATTCAGTCTCCTTGAAATCTGGGGGATTTCAACCAAATCTGTTGATTCTGAGGGCTTGTGCAGTTTACGTGTACTAGCAACCATTTTCCTTGTCCCTCTTCAGAAGGCTGCAAGCCTCTGCTTGAGAAGCACGCTTCTTCAGACTGTCTTTGTCTCTGCTCTTGGCCAGTTTGGCCTTGGTGTGAGTCTTCTGGGAGTGCAGCACTGGGTTTGAAGTTTCCTCCGTGCTTCTCTTGCTCTCAGGATATTGGATTTTTTTTTTTTTTTTTTTTTTGATATTGGATTTTTTAAAGTACTCAGAATGATCCTCCTGCTCTAGAGGAGGGTTGGCACACTTTCTATAAGTAGATCAGAGCGTAAATAACTTGCACTTGGCTGGTTTCACATCTGGGACGGCAACCTGATACCTTCCAGAGGGTATGGCCTGGGAGGGAGGTGGCAGGGGACGGGGTGACCTGCCCTGCTGGACTACCAGTCTCCTGTTTTCTTGCCTGGGGATCCCGGCGGCAGCGAGGGAGCACCTGAGGTTCCTGGGCCTTGTACAATTGCTATTTGCTGGCCAGGGATTTTTGGCGGGGATCTGAAGGGTTTAAGGCCTTCACACTGAGCTACATCTGCAGTCCTTTTTAATGTTGCTAAATTGCCCAAGCTGGATTTGAACTTTGAGTTCTCCTGCCTCAGCGCCCCTCGCCAGTGCCGGGATTACAGCCCTGCGCCTCCACAGCCCTTTTAAGGATGTTGCTTTCCTCTGATCTCTCTCTTCGGAAGGATTTCCCTTAACCTCAGTCAGCACAGTTTTGGTTTCTGAGTCTGTTTTTCTCCCTCCAGGCCACGTCCCCTCACCAGTCTCAGCAGTCCACTGTGGACGTGGGCCAGCTCCATGACCCTCAGACCTACACGCAGCACGCCATCCAGGTGCAGCACATCCAGGTGACCGAGTCTGCGGCCCCTGCCCCTGCGTCGTCCCAGGTACGCTGCACAGAAGTGCCCACGACGGTCATCCCTGCACGTCATCCCTGACCATTGAGGTGATGCCGTTCGTGGTAGACACACTGCATTGTCATTAGAGTCCCCTGTCCCAGTGGAACCCTGTGACTCCATAACCTGGAGACAGCGTTAGCCTTGATTCTTATTGCAGCAGCTACACTGGAATCCTGACATTACTGGAGTATTATCGTGTGTTATTGTGTTCGTAAGATGGAAGCCATCTTTGAAATACATAGGGAAGAGTGGGAATTCAGAAGAGGGAGAGAATATGTGTGGTTAGGAAATCTAAAATCACCTGTGAAGATGTGATCTTTGCATTAGGTCTTAACACAAGAATAGGGTGCTGACCTAACGTGCGGGGAGGCACTGTGATCCAAATAAACGCTCAGTGTGATAAAAGAGGGAGATGGAAACTGCGGAATATTTATAGGAAATCGTAGTGGATTCTGCGGGGAACAGAAAGCGGTGCTCGGAAGGAAAGCTGGCAGGCAGCGTGGAGTAGGAGTGTGGAGAGCTTTGAATGGCCAGCGAGGAGCAAGCCACTCCACCAGGCGCCTGCCGTGTCCCCTGACCCGCTCACCACTCGGTGGGGGTGTCCGAGGCAGTCTGGAAGAAACGGTGACACGGGGATGGTTTCCCTTTGGGTTGCAGATTAGCCCTTTGACACTGGCAAGTTGGTTCACCTCTCACTTTTAAAACTTTTATATGATGTAAGCAATTATACTTTCACTCATTGTGTTTCAAACAACTTCATGGAAGTTAATTTTTTGAGTACTCTTGCAGCTAATCCTTAGAAACAAATGAGAATTTCAGAGTTACGATTGGGTTTCACTAATTTGATTCTTATTTAAATATTTCTACTCTAGCACTAATACTTTCAGTCATAATTCACAGCAGTCTGCTTTCTTCTTTCTGTTATTTGTGAGTCCTAAATCCATTGGAATTTCTCAATTTCCTGCCCTTGTGCCCTTCTTCTCCCTAGGTGGCCGGGCAGCCCTTGAGTCCCTCTGCCCAACAGGTGCAGCAGGGGCTCAGCCCCTCGCATATTCCAGGCAATTCCTCGTCACAAGGGCAGGCCCTGCAGCAGCAGCAGCAGCAGCAGCAGCAGCAGCAACAGCAACAGCAGCAGCAGCAGCAGCAGAGCTCCTCGGTACAACACACTTACCTCCCCAATGCCTGGAACTCCTTCCGCGGCTACTGTGAGTAAGGAGAGGGGGCCACGCCGGGCAGTCAGCTTTCTGATAGGCTTTTGGGATTAAAATGTCAATTACCCATTTTCTTTTTGTTGTTTTGTCTTTGAGACAAGGTTTCACTGTGTAGCCAGACTGGCCTTGAACTCACGGGGTTCCTCCTGTCTCAGTATCCCAAATGCTGGGATTGCAGGTGTGCACCACCACGCCTGGCAGCTGGCCATTTCTTGCACACTATGGTTGCATGTATTTGAGTGAGTTTCACGACACACCTCAAGGCCTTGTTTTGATCTCAGAGGGCCGATATTTTCAGAGACATTAGCTAATTTTCTAGAGGAAGTGCAGGCAGGCAATTTAAGTAGAATAGATGAATAGAGGGTATGTTGATGTTAATGACTTGTTTCTTCTACCAGTATTTATTGAATGTTTTTGTATTCCTCACTGGCTCGACCCAAAGGATTCAAAGATTAATATTGATATTAATATCCAGCGTACCACAAAATAGTAATGTCAGCCAACTTTCATTGTGCTCTTACATATTCCAGGAATGATTCTAAATCCATGCATCACCTTCAGCATTTACAAAACCCTACAAGAGAAACACAGTGTTATTTGCAATTACAGATAAGGCACTTTAGGTATTCACAGCTTGACATAGCCAGTCAGTGGTCTGTGGGGCTGGAACCTAGGAAATCTGGCTTCCAAGTTCACCTCCCCATGCTACCTCTCTTGGCTGAAAAGGATCATCATCTAGCAGAGGAGGTGCATCAATTTGATTCTAAAGCCCTCGGTCACTGCTGTGGTTTTAGCATGCAGCTGGCTGTCAAGCAAGTGGAAATCTTGGCTGGAACCGCAGTCTGGGGTATGGACTGGAAGCCGTGAGCCGTTTATCATGGAAGATGTGGGAGGGACAGGAATAGAAGTAACAGTCTTTAGCAGTGGCAAGAGAGGAAGAAGGTGCCGAGAGAGGAAGAAGTAGTATTGATTTTTCTTCTAGTATTGATTTATTTTGGGGGAAGATCTGTCTGTGTTCTGACTGACCTTGGTTCTCATGTAGGTTTGCTATGGAGCCAGGCTGAAGTTCCACCGTTTAGTTATTTGTGTGACCTGTTCACCTAAGTATTGGTGGCTTCAATACTAGCCAGGGTCTAGCCAAGAAAAGACCCTCTTACTCGCCCTGGACACCGCAGAATTTATGCTCAGTTTAATCCCTAAGAAAAAAAGTGGAGTCATGAAGATACTGGTGGTAGCAATAGTTGCCACCAGTTAGCATTCCAAAATGAAGATTCTGGAACTGAAACTTTTCTCTTAGGAAAAAAATGCCAAAGTTATATAAAAATAGAGAGAATGAAGAATAGTATAAGAACCCTCTATTCTCATCATCCAATTTCAGCAATGAACTCATAGCCACCTTGTCTGAATTCTATCCTGACGTTCTCTCCCATCCTCCAGCTGGATAAGAATCCACTGTATCATGTTCATCCATACATTTTTTGTATGTGTCTTTAAGACTATTGGGGGATGCTTCTGGGGGTCAAGCCTTGGGCCTGGGGCATGCTGGGCAGTTCTCTGCCATTGAGCTGCATCTCCAGCCCAAGACTTATTTTTTAAAAATATACCATTATCACAACACAATATCACACCTAAAAATAAATGACAATTGTTTACCCACAAATATACTTCAAAAATTAGTGAGCGTTCATATTTCTGTGATTGTTTCAAAGTTTTAAAAATAGTTGGCTCTGAGTTTGGGGTTCTTTTTTTTTTTTTAATACACTCATTCTGGATATGGAGGGGTTCTTTTTAATATGTGTTCACTTTCTCTTTATTTTGTGTTGCCATTTCCACATTGAAGAAAATGAGCCACTTGTTCTAGAGTTGGTTTCCATATCCTGGATTTTGCTGGGGCATCCTCATGTCATTTAACATACATTTTGCTTCCCATGGCCTCATAGTTAGGTCTGCAGGTTTGGACCTGGCAGGATCAGGTTCAGTTTCTTCCCATAAACTACCTCAGAGCTGACCAGGCAACACGTCACTTTGGTTGTCTGTCTTTTTTATGTTTATTCCTAAGCTCAGTTATTTTATCAGAGAGCTCTTCCATAAGGAAACATTGCTTTTCAACTTAGATGACTTTATAGTCTATCTTAATTCTTTGCCTGCATCGATGAAGGTCTGTGTTTACAGTTGGTTAATGTATTGAATAAGCACAGTAGGTGAAGCTTCATCGGTAACCAGGGTGATTATGGATAGGCCACAGTCATTTTAAATTTCAGTTTAAATAGTCTTGCTTTGGTGGCAAGTTAATGGTCCCACTAACATAGAATGAATAAATTTTAAGTGGATAGTAAAGAAATGGCTATCCTGATTTCTGTGTCTTTTCACAATGACCTACAGGATTATATATAAATTTCTGCAAAAAATATGTGATGTAAAACCTATTAGCAGGCAAGATGCTTCCCGCTCATCTTGTTCGGCGTCTGCTCAGTCAAACGAGTGTTTTGCCGGGGCCTCTTGGAATTGGCTGAATCTCAGTCTTTTTAATCCCAAGGGCCATTTAGAGACCACGAAGAGGATATTAGGGTGAACTTTGTTTTTAGTCTGGTTTAATAAACTGGTGATGAAATAACATTCATGTTGGACCCAGTTGTGATTGCTAAGAACCAGTGGATACATCTGTGCCACGAAGTCATACCTGAGTATAAAAGATAAAAATATTAGGCCAGGTAGATAAATATGACTTACTTTAACATTTTTTAAAAAGTGTTAAATATTTGCGTTGGTAGATATTCAGAAGCCACATTGAGTGGGGATGCATTGTTTCTGACCTTTGGCAGCCTCTCTACTCAGCCAATTTATCCTCATGAGAGTCCCTTTCACCCTGCCAAAAAATCACATCACCGGATGACTATCACAGCAAGTAAACCCACAGGAAATGTCCAGTGGGGAGCATGGCACGAGTTAGGTGCACTGTCCTCAGCCTACACTGGTTTGACTTAGGATTTTTTTTTTTAACTTTACATTGGTACAAAAGCAAACCCATTTTGGATTCATTTTTTTCTCTAGCTCTATTTTTTTTTGGTCTTTTTGAGACAGGGTCTCACTATGTAGTTCAGGATGGCCTTGAGCTCATTTTGTAGCCTAGGCTGGTCTTGCACTCACAAGGATCCTCCTGCCTCAGCCTCCCTAGTGCTAGGATTATAGGCATGAGCCACCATGCCTAGCTTTTTCTCATTATTTTGAGACAAGGCTTATTTATGTTGTCCAGCCTGGTCTTAAACTCCCAGGCTCAAGGGATTTCCCTGCCTCAGCCTCTTGAGAAAACTACAGGAGTTCTTCACCACTCAGTTCTTTCTTGATTTTGGCTTTCAATACATTGTCGATTAACGTGACCTATTGAATACTTTATTATAAAGTAGAATTTGTTTTAGATTATTTTTCCCAACTATAGGCTAATGCAAGTGTTTTGAGCACATTCAGGTAGGTTAGGTGTATTAAATGCACTATGATATTTCAATTTAACAATGGATGTGTTGGGCTGTCACACCATTATATGAGTAGAGGAGCGTCTGTGTTTGTTTCTAGAACTTACATTAAGTCTTGGGTCACTGAACTTCATAATTTCCTTTTTTCCAGCATCTGAGATTCAAATGATGACCCTTCCCCCAGGTCAGTTTGTGATCACCGACAGTGGAGTGGCAGCACCGGTCACCGCGGGCCAGGTGAAGACGGTGGCTCCGGTAAGCGCCTTGCCCACGCGGTGCCCCCGTGGGGCCCCCATCCCAGTTTGGTTTTGGTGAGAGGTCTGTTTTCTGGTGTCTCTCACCAAAGTTCCACGAAAGCTGGGTCTTTATCCTGTTTTGGGAGACTGGGCTTTGGCAAATGCTCGGTAAATACCCACTCAGCTGGTAACTGTGAGCAGGCCCCAGATCCATCTGTGTGTGATCACATTTTTATGTGCTTCTTGGAGGCATTAGAGTCCTCACCATTACTTGTCCTCAGCTGGTCTGGGAAAGAATAATGCAGTGGTGATAGAGCTGTTTAAATTCATCGTCTCCCATGTGTGAAACATTGTTGTAAATTATCTCTAGTATTTAACTTGGGAAGATACAATGTTGACTCTATCTACTGCTTATATTTTTATCTTCACAGGTTTATTGTTACCTGCCTCTAAGTTTTTAGAAGACAGTATATAAATTTCAATTAAAAAATATTCTTGGAAAATCCTGTCTCAAAAAGACAAAAAAGAAAAGAAAAGAAACATACTCTTGGGGCAGGGAGCGTGTGCTTAGCATGCAGGAGGCTCTGGGTTCCATCCCCAGTAGCAAAAAAAGAAAATAAAAATTGTCTTGGATGAATGAGCTCTGGAGATCTCATGTACTGCACCATGACTGTAGCTAATAATGAATGATGTACACGAAAATTGCTAAGAGAATAGATCTTAAATATTCTTACCACAAAAAACAGTAAGTATGTGAGGTGATGGAGTTATTATCTTGATTTAATTACTTTACAGTGCATCGCCTATCACATCACCATGTTGCGCACCGTAAATGCATATACCTTTTGTCGATTATACATTAGTCATGCAGGGGGATAACAGAACAGTACCAGGGATTTTGTAGCTAGGGATTTTGGGATATTCCCAGCGGATCGTTATTTCCCAGGAGGCCCTAGAGAGAAGCAGCATAGCCAAATGACTGCAAAAACCTGATTTTCAAAAAACACATATGAAGAAAGCACTCCTTTCTCAGCATCCCACGTTGTATGAACAAGAGGTAGGGGAGATTATGCGAATCCACAGTGACATTGTTAAGTTGGTAACGAACACGGTAACTGATATAAAGTGGAACTGTCCCATTGGCATGGATGGTGCCTTCTCTGCTGGCAGATGTACTATGTGTGTGTGTGTTTGATTGGGGACTCATTTTAGAACCCCATTATGGCCCAGGATATTTCCTGTCCCCTGCACAATGCACATAAGTATATTTCCTGTATATTTTGGGGAGCTCATGGATTTTCTGCAGCATGCCTGCAGGGCCCCTAGGGGTTGGTGGATGCTAGACTGAGAACCCCCTCCCTACTACAGGAAGAGCTACATGGGGATTAAATCAGAATCAGGATCACTGCTTGGTGGGGGCCCAGGTGAATCAAATGAGTGCTTGGCTATGGCCTTTTTTCTGGACAGTGCTTGGAAAGGCCACTGTCTGAGTTTCTCTTGTGACTGCTTTTTCTCCCTGTGTATTAGGCAGTTTTGTGTTACTGTAACAATATAACAATTGTAAGAGGTCTATCTAGCTTGCGGTTTTGCTAGTTCCCGTTCACAGTCCAGCAGCCCTGTTGCTTTGGGCGTCGGACAAGGTGCATGCACATCACAGCAGAGCTCACAGCAGAGCTGTCTGTTCACCTCGTCCACCAGGAGGTGCAGAGAGGAAGTGAGAGGGCTCCACTGAAACACTACCATCCCTTGATAGGACCCTGCAGGGACCAAGCCTTCAACCCAGGGCCCTGGGGACAGTTACTCAATCCATAGGATTCTGCTTCTGCAGATGACCAGCCCCCCTTTGGACAGACATATCTTTTCTTTTGAAATGTTCACATGATGAAATGGCCAGCTTTCAGGTCTGTGATGCTTTTATGCTCAGAGGAAAAATAAAGAAAACAAAGACAACATGAGAATCCCCTTAAATTTACTCATACAAGAACTTCCTCTGGAGACATGGTCTCCTTGTGCCTTTTTAACCCTCTTGTGTGGTGTTGGGACAAAGGCCTCATATATGCCAGATGGTCATCCACCACTGAGCGACACTTCATTTCCTGTCCTGTGCTTTTCAGTAAAGTGCATATTTGATGGTAGCATATTTTGAATAACTTTACTTGACAAAATAAAACTTTTGGACCCAGTTAGTATTTTTTAGTTTTTCTGGTCTGACAAATTCTAAATCTGGGGCTCTTTGATCTTGATTACCTGTTTGGGGGCCAGATTGACTCTTTAAGGAAACTTTGGTCTTTTGATCCATTTTGTATTAATCTAAACATGTGGTTGACAGATTTCTGAATTTAGGTAGAATTTCTGAATTCTTTTTTTTTTTTTTTTTTGGTGTGTGTGGTGAGATTGAGGTCTCACTATGTTCTTCAGGCTGGCCTTAAACTCTCTGTATAGTTCACGCTGGTCATGAACTCTTGGCAACCCTCTTGCCTCAGCTTCCTGAGTGCTGGGATTGCAGGGGTATGCCACCATGACCAGCTGTTAAATTCTTAGGGACATTATAGAAGCGCATACTGTATTGTTGGCTGGTAGATTACATGGCGCAAACTTCTGCACCTAAAGTTCACGGTATGATTTGGTGATACCGCTAATGTGCTCCTTTGAATTAACCTTTGTAGCCAGTTATTGCGGCTGACCCACGTTCTGTACAGGAGAGAGCAGAAGTACCTGTCTCGGTCCCAGCGTAGCATGTCTTTGGTTTTCCGTCCTTCCCTTTTAGGCCCCAGATATTACAGATTCTTCTTTCCCTGCTCTAGGGTCATTATGTGTTGTCAGAAAGTCAACCAGAATTGGAAGAAAAGCAAACTTCTGCCCTCCCCAGTGGGGTCCAGGTCCAGCCGCCCACACACAGTGACGCCCTGGAGCCCCCGCCCAGCAGCCAGCAGCAGCCCACGCAGTACATCATCACGGCCACCGCCAACGGGAGCGGGAGCAGCGAAGTCCACATCAGTAAACCATAGCTGTCTGTTCTCCTGGAGCTATAGTCAGCGCGCGGGTCCCGTCTTTTTTTCGTTTACAAGTCTAAAGCTTCTAACACTTAGACCTCTTTTTAAAATTTGTTATTCACTCAAGAGATTGGAAACTGCAGTTTTGACACCCACACAGCCAGCGGGGTGGGCTTTGCCGAGGTCATCTTTACCAAATGGACTCCTCAGCCCCAGGGTTTCTGCCACAGGATGGAAATCTTTCAGGGGAAGGTAGATATCAGGATGGAGAAGCTTTGCTTTGCTCTTGGGTTGGTTTTTTAACTCACTAATAAGCCTTACTTTCCCTGTGTGGAAATACTGAGCGGTATACTATGTTCATACCAAAGGTGGAGACGGGACGCGTGGTCGCTGGACTCCAGAGTTCTGGCCCTGGCACCAGTGCGGAAGGGGTGTTTCAGAGGTGTGAATTAGGTCAGCGCTGCTTTTTCTTGCGAGTTTGAGTTTACTGGGTAAGAAAATAAAAATGATGAGACAAAGTTTGACAGAGGTATTCGGAAGGAAAAGCTGGCATTTAAAAATTTCAGATTGTTGTTTTTCGTTTTTTTTTGAGATAGAAGTTTTGCTATGTTGCCCAGGTTGGCCCGGAACTTTTGAGCTCAAGGGATCCTTTTGCCTCAGCCTCCCAAGCAGCTGGCACTATAGAGGTGCCACCATGATTTTCAAAACTTTTCTGTGTTGGAAAACTTGCTGGGCGGTCAGCAGTGTTTGCACAGGTGCTGGCCTTCAGCAGATCCGGGCAGATCCTAATATTCTGACAGTTCTCCCTTTGTTACTCCACAAGGGTGGATTCCTCCAAAAGAGGTGATGTCAGCAGAATTTAAACACGAAAGCTTTTCCTCCCATTCTCTGTTTGTGGTTGTATTCAGAAGGAAATATTAGTGTATACACACACGCATCGATAGTACTGAAACTATGACCTATTTGTGCTTTCAACTGTACCTTTACCTTCTCTTCCTCCTCCCCTCTGTGTGTGTGTGTGTGTGTGTGTGTGTGTGTGTACGTGAGACCATGGGGCTCAAAACCAAGCCTCACTCCTGCTCCAACCCTGAGCAGGGACTCCAGCACCTACATTAATTCTTGTTAGTGTTCAGTGTATTTTATTTTAGTACTTTTAATGCTGTCTTAAAATGAACATTCTTTACAGTTGGATGGAAAGGCGGCCTTCCTCCTCATTTCCAGACACTTCAACTTTAAACATATTGTAACTCATCTGGACCTTTTTGTAAGATGACCAACTTCACACTGGTGGGGGAAAATGTGGGGACCATTTATAGTCCACAGAAGGGTCTGGAAGCTGTCTGAGTCTGTACGATGCTACGGTTGTAAGCTGGGAGGCAGAACATCTGCTGTGACGCTAGTTCGTCCTGTATGTGTTCCTGGTTGGGAGTCTTGTTTACTATGAATCCAGTGGGGAAAATGCTTCCCTTCTTTTTATTGTACATTCCAATTGTATAAATTGTACACACAGAAAACATTTCAAAAGTCAGTACACATTTGAAAGCTTTTGTGACATGCATTTTTAGAATAATGTATAGTGAATGTATAGTGAATTTATTACTCCATATCAGAAAGACTTAAATCCCTTTCAAATGAAGGTAACTCATTTACTTTGTTACCTTTCTGAGTAGAAACTGGTTCTATGAATTAAGAAGTGTACTAGCTCATGTCTGATGAAAATGCCATTCTGAAAAGGAAACAATTCTTTTAGAATAACTTTACTAATATGTAGATCTTGCACTTTATTTTTGAGACCTCATTTATATAGTTATCTCTGGAAATTTGGGCACTAAGAGAACTTGAAACAGTTACTTCAGAAGTGCAGAAACTCAACATGGATCCTGTATCTTTGGTGACATAAAGGATACCAATATTTTCAGCAAAATACTGTCCTGAGTCACAGAATGCAGATGGTGGTTCCAAAGTTTTCACAAATTGCTGATTATAAATAACCTGGTGTCCAGCTGAGAAAGACTTACTAGGGTGAAGGACAAAAGATTTTCCCAAAGGACCAGTTTTTGTTTTTGTAACTTAAATTTGGCCCAATTATGTTCTTTTTAATTTGAACCAGCAAGAATTCTTCCTCTCTTCTCAGGAATAACTTATTGATTAAAATCAAAATCTATCACTGAGTAGAATGTTCATTTTATGTCAGTTATTTCAAGGATTCCCTTAGAATCCACCAAGGGAAATACTGAGGAGGAGCGTCCCGTTCCCGAAGTGTTTTCCTTTCGTGGTCTCGGTGCAGACCTGGAAGCTAACTTAGCATTCCCAGAGAGCTGCGCCCTGGTTCTGCCTCAGTAACGTCACGTTAGGATCAGGGGTCCTGCACGTAGGTGCCAAGGCAAAGGATTTTCGTAACGACTTGAATTGGTGCAGATGGCAGATTATCGCCCCTCTGAAGACCCAGTGTTGGAAGCACATAGCCGGTGTTTATGTTGTGGCCTCTCGCAGGACACATTGGCGCTGTGGACTTGGCACAGTGCAATGTGCATATTTTGGAGTGGGCTGGGTATAGACTCTGCATTTTTGTTTGATTTGTATCCAGAGAAACAGTTATTTCATCATGTAAAATCTCTGTTCTTCTGGAAAAACTTTCTTTGATGTTCTTGAATTCTTTTCTGACCTGGAATTATCCTTTCAGAAAACTCTTAGGATATCTAAGACTAAAATAAAAAGAAGCACTTCATGAGATGCTAAAGCTGACCCATTGGTTGAAAATGTCGACCCTATCCTTTATTTAAATGTGAACATTTATTGTACATTCAGTGAGTTACAGTGTTAATAGTCTTGTGCTACCCAGCAGGTGTAAAAATTAATAAATATTTTTTTTAATAAGCGTGTTTCTTGTTTGTGTGCTTGAAGCTACAAGATCTGCTGAAATGGTTAAACTTTTTTCTTTTAAAGATTACAACTTGAGGGCCAGGGATATAGCTCAGCAGCACAAGCACTTGCTTGGCAAGTGTGGGGTTATGAGTTTAATTCCTGTTACAAATAAATAAATAAGACCTTTTTTTTTTTTCTTGAAGTACTAGGGATTGAGCCCAGGGCCTTGGCACTAAGCTACATCCCCAGCCTTTTATATTTTGAGACAGGCTCTTGCTAAATTCCCCTGATGGAGGATCACCCGGACAGCTCCTCCTGCGAGAAGCTTGCCTCCATACTGGTTCCCATTGTCTTACTTCCATGTATTGGCAAAGAGCTGGCTAGGGAAATGCTCTCCCTCACTGACTGGCTTTATACAGTGCAGCTAGATCCAGCCAAGGTGCGGATGTGTGTAGCCTTTGAAGCAAAGCAACAGATCTTTATGCAGTCCTGTCTATCACTCCTTCCTACAGGAACTAGGCTGAGACAGTGTTGCAGGGTAAAATGTTAACATACAAAAGTGAATGGTTTTTAAATATCAGCAATGAATAAGAGGAAACAAGTTAAAAACAATGTCATTTATTGTAACTCTGACAATGAAATATTTGAATATACATTATCTGAAATATACAAAGGATACACAATAATAAAGCAATCAATTGTTCTAGAAAGTGGACTAGATACCTCAGGGAAAAGCATATAGGAATGACACGAAGCATATAAAAAGATTTTCCGCATTTTATGACATGTGCAAATTAAAACTATTAGATACCACTGCAGAGCTGTTAGAAGGTCTGCTATCTGGAACAATGATCACACAAAATGCTGGCAAGAATGTAGAGAAACAGGAACTCTCATTTGCTACTTACTAGTGGTGATGAAAATGGTACAGCTGCTTTGAAAGGCAGTCCGGCCCTTATTTAAAGGGAATAAAACAACAAAATGGAGTAAAACAAAACAGTGATAAGACAGAAAATCCACAATAGTTACTATACTGCATATTGTTAACCTCTAAATAGTAGCTCAGACTACTGGCTTTGGGCTTGCAAAGTCAGTCAAACAATACACTGGTTATTTCTTTATTTCAGTTGTTAACATCTCAGCCTGTGTTCCTCTGAATCAGCCGGTTGATTGCAAGGGGGGCATGGCCTCCTTCCTAGTTCTCCCTAGTCAGGAGTGCCGCTGGTGCCCAGGGAGCTACATAGCTGGCTGGCATGGCTGCTGCTGGTGCATGGAGGGCTGTGTAGCTCTGGCAGTTTCTTATATAACTAAACATACTTTGTATACATTCCAGGAATAACCCTTGTTGGTGTTTTAAACAAAAAAATTGAGAACTTACTATGTCCATACAAAACCCTGCACATGGACATTGGTAGCATCTTACCTGTAACTGCCAAATTGCTGGAAGCAATCAGCTGTCTTTCTAGTGCAGTTAGAAGGCCTTTCCAGGAAAGTTGAGGGAGCCACTCCCTTCCCTTCATTTAACATAAACACAGCACCACCCTAAAAGTTACCCACCTTTTAGGATAGGAGGTTGGGGTACCTGAAGTGGCAGATATGGACACCTGTGACAGAAGGCATGGGAAGGACCTGGAGTCACGGGTGTCTGACCACAGTGGATTAGAGGCATCTGACCCATTAAATCCTGGAGGCTGAGTTATCAAGGGTTCTTCCTCCTCCTCCTGAGCCCAGCACAGCTAGGAGCCCACAAGCCAACACAGCAGCCATGAGCTCGCCCATGAGACAATGTCAACATCAAACCACCACCAGCTCCTTCCCTGAGAACACCACCACAGCTTTGCCTGCTACCGCGAGTATCTCTTCCTCTTCTTCTCCACCCTTCTGCCTCCTGTTCTACCACTCCATGAGTTTAATAAGCGTAGCTACTTGCTGTATACTATGAGGTATACACTTGGCATTCTTTCGTTGTCCTGTACAAGAACCTGGGCTGTTTTCTGCTTATTCAACCCTACACTTCAAGGAGGAGAATGAACTGTGGTGCATCCAGAAAGTGGAGCGTTATTCAGGGCTACAAAGGGAATGCTCTATCCATGAAAAGGCACCGAGAAAACTTAAATGCATGCTACTAAGTGAAAGAAGCCAATTAACCTCCTATGTATCAGTTTAGAAAGCAGCTGGGAATAATGCATATTATATATGTAGAAAGTCGTCGAGCTCCCTTTGCCCTGCCCCAGATACTACAATAGAAAATGGAGTTAAATACATCCTTGACAAGTGCAAACCTAATGGTTATGAATGAAGCAAAGAAGGGTGTGTCCTTGCCAGAGGGAGGTGCATGGGTTTCCAAAAGGCTGCATATTAGCTGAGAACAGATGGAACCAGAGGAAAGAGGTTCTGAAAAAATGAGCTGACAGGTGCACTGAAGGTGGGTGAGAAGGGCGTGGAGCATCGAGGGAGCAGAGATCGGAGTTTCTCGCCATCTCTCGGTCACTTCATTTCAGCTTCCCCAGTATAGGGTAAGGCTTGGGACCAAGGATCGCTAAGGTTCTTACGTCTCTAATTCTATGAATCCATGGGCTGCAGTGGCCATTCTGGTGATTTCATCATCTCTAGAGTGAGGAAACTATGTTTTTGGGGTGGGACTCAGTAACTTTATGGACAATATCTGTGCAGAGATGGGTAAACTTCCTTGTGATGGAATTTTGGACTTTAGAGATGCTCTTGGGAAATTTCCAAGAGACTTTCCCCATGTTTTGTTAAAAAAAAAAAACAAAAGAGGCTGGGGATGTAGCTCAGTGATAGAGTGCTTGCCTAGCCCTGAGTTCAGTCTCCAGTACAACACACACACACACACACACACACACACACACACACACACACACAGGAAAAGAAAGAGGGGCTGAGGATTTAGCTCAGTGGCATAAGTGCCTTCCTTGCAAGTGTGCGGTCATGAGTTCGATCCCTGGTACCATAAAAACAAAAAACACAAAAAAAAAAAAAAAAAAGGAAAACTACATATGGAATGGTTCCAACTATTTCCTTCTGAGAAAGGCAAAACTAACAAAACTAGACAGGCATGGTGATACATGCCTGTAAATTCCAGCACTTGGGAGGCTGGGGCAGGACAATCACTGAGTTCAAGGCCAGCCTTAACTACATAGTAAGACCCTGTCTCAAAAAACACCTTCCTCACAAGGTAAAATTATGAAGACAGTAAAAAAGTAGCCAAGTGTTAGGGTGCAGGCTTGTAACCCCAGTACTCTGGGATGCTGAAGCAGTAGCACAGCAAGATCAAACTCAGGCTGGGCAATTTAGCAACTTACTGAGATCCTACCTCCACATAAAAATCAAAAAGGAGATGGGGTTGTAGTTCAATGTGAAGGCTTAGATTCAATCTTCAGTACCAAGATAAAACAAAGCAACACAACAAAACGGAGGTCCCCTGGGGTAGTGGAGAGACAGGATGAACAGGTGGAGCATGGACGTTTGTAGGGCAGTGAAACTAATTTGTAACATGGGTAATAAAGATGAAAAATAAAGATGAAAAGAGGCCATGTATGTGTGTGTGTGTGGGGGGGTAAAGTGGGACATGGTAAATCAGATTTAAAAATTTTTTTGAGACAAGGTCTTACAATATAAAAGGCCATCCTTGAACTTATATAGCCTGAGCTGGCCTTGAATTGAGGGTGATCCTGCTGCCTTGGCCTCCCCAGTGCTGGGATTACAAGCATGTGCTATCACTTCTGGCAAGAAATCTCTAATCAAGGGCTGGGGATGTAGCTCAGTGGTAGAGTGCTTGCCTAGCATACACAAAGCCCTGAGATAAATCGTTAGTACCACCAATAAATAAATAAATAAATACAATAAAATACCCCCCCCCAAAAAAAAACCCCACCCCTATTAGGGCTGGGGATTTAGCTCAGCGGCACAGGCGCCTGCCTGGCAGGCATGAGGTGGTGAGTTTGATCCCCGATTCCAAAAAATCAAAACAAAACAAAAGATAAAAGAAATCTTTAACCACTATACTAGGTTTTGCTATGAAGCAAAAATTGCTCTAAATAAAATTTTCTCTCAGTACTGAACCCAGAAACCGTTCATTAAGCTACACTCGAATTCTTTTTTTTTTTTCTTTTTCCTATTTTCACTTGGAAACAGGGTCTTGCTAAACTACTGGATTGCCTAGCCTGGAATTGAATTTGTGATAGTCCTGTCTCAGCCTCCCAGCGAGCTGGGATTACATGTGAGAAACAACACTCCTGGCTACCACTCATGTGGCACAGGGGCCACCGAACCTCAAGAAGCCGCGTTTCCTCCACAGTACAAGGGCACTATTCGTGCATAATGCCTGCGGACAGAAGGTGGTGAGCACAAGGCCTGAAGCAGGGATGCTCTCCGCAAATGTTTGCTTCCAGAGCCACGATTTGTGGCCTGGAAACAAAACCGAATCATTGTGTCCTCCGGAAGCTGCCATAACACTGCAAACAGTCAGCACTCAGAGGCCTCGGCGACTCACAGGCAGCCCAATCCGCGCAGCACCTTCTTCTGCCCCGCCCATCACCTCCCCACCACGCCCCGCCCCAAACATAGCCCCGCCCAAACACCCCCGCCCACCAACACCGCCCCGCCCCAGGCCCCGCCCCTTCCGCTGCCGGAGCTCCGAGCGTGCACGCACCCAGACGCCTTCGGGGGCGAGCGCGTCGCGGAGGCTAGGGTAGGGCAGACGGAGTGGGCCGGGAGCCCCTCTCCCGCGGCGCAGGTGAGGGCGGCCCCGGGGTGGTGAGAGTAGGACGCGCGGCGGTGGAGGGCGTAAGTGGGTGCCGGCGCTCGCCGCCCCGTGGGCGTGGGAGCGGGCGGCTGCGTGGGTAAGGTTAGGGACAGGCACGCGTGGAGGAGGGGCGGGCGTGGGCTGCGCGGGCCGACGCGTGGGGCCGGGCCAGGCCGCGCCGGGCCGCGGGCTTGTGGCCTCGGGCCGCGTTTGTGCTCCAGGAGGGTTCCGGTGGGAAGGTCAGCCCGCGGCAGAGGACAGGCCTCTGGGGAAGGGCTCTGTGGTCTTCGTGAGGAAGTCCAGGACTCTCCGAGGCTTGGAAACCCAGAGCTTCCGGAGCTCAGCTCCTGGCTGGCTGCTTGCTTTTTGCGTTTGGAGAGCCTATTCAGGACGGCACCCTTGGGCCGAGGGTGTCACTGAAATAAGTGAAATTTAGCTGCATACCGCGGTGGCTGTAGAAACTTGTAAACAGTTTGTGCACACTGTGTATATAGGTGTCAGAAAGGACACTCACTTTGGAGTTACTAGTCTCTTCCGTGCTAGTTCTGCTGAGAGGACTTTCTTCTAAGCATCAGATTACTTCTGTGTTGTTTTTTTCCCCCCACCTGTATTAAAGGTGGAATTCTGGTTCTCAGGCCTTATCTTCTTACCTGCCTAAGTTACTTAGGCGCCGGCCTTCTTCTGGGCACCCTCTTCGCTTCATGTGCTGCCAGCTGCGGGCCCACCGCTTGGGGACCGCCCAGATGCCTTGATCTGACCCTGATCTTACTGCGGCATCTTTACCTACACCAGAAACCTCTTCAAGAGAACTGGACATGGTTTTGTGGAAAGGTGTTCATTTTAGTTGTAGTGTTACAAGCGTGCTTTTTATGATTTAAAAGTTTGGGGAGAAGTACCTACATTAAATAAAATAAATTTAATGAAGATTATTCATTGCAGGATTTCAAGATTGGAATTAATAGTAGGGAGGACTTGGCCCCATAGCCTCTTTATTTTATGAAGAAGGAAATTGACACCCGGTGGGATAAGGTCTGTGTTTGGACCGACCGAAGTCTGTTTTTTCTTTCTGTTTTGGTGTGCGTTTTTCTTTCTGTTTAGCCCATTTAGTAGGTGTAGGAGCTAATGGGAAAGGATTTAGTAAGTGTTTGTAGAGGATCCAGTTCAGGCCTGTGAGTGGTGGTGTTGGGATTGTGCTGCTTCTTTGCCTGTACTGTACACCTGCTTCCAGCCATCAGCTTTGCCAGATGCACTCTGAAAATATTTTAGAATGTACTTTTCTAATGGAGATGAGCACTGTTCGATTTTTATAGGAAGGAGAAAAATAGCAATTTATGTGGTTACTAAGATCAGCCACTGACTTTACTGGTGGTTGTGGCCAGGTGCTTGGAGCCCCTGGAGCTTCAGAGATCAATAAAGCCATATTAAGAATCTTTCTTCTTATGATTTAAATTGAGAGTTTATGGAATAGGTGTTGTATATATAATGTTAAGGACATGGATTTGCAGGCAAGCAGCTCTGAGTTTCATTGCTGCCTCTGGGATTCAGCAAGTTATTTATATGTTTTGTTTTTTTGGAGGGAGGGGGCTTTGGTGTTTTGTAGTGCAAGCTGGCCTTTCTCAGTGTCCTGAGTGCTGGGATCACAGGCATGTATCTCAGCTACTTACCTGCTTCGACTCAATTTTATTATGTATAAAACCAGTATAGTAGGTACCTTTGTAAGAATTAGATGAGGTTTCTGAAAGGTCTGGGATTTAATAGGTCTTCATGAAGTAACTGAGTAACTGTTACTGTTATGTTCGAGCTTTACCACTATGTTGTGAATTTCTGACTTTCTAAGAAGAATTAATTGTTAAAACCAACTATTCAGTATGAAGTTGCTGTTGGAGAGATTGTTGACCTGGGAACTGTAAATTATGAACTGATTTGCTTATCATTTAGTTTCTCTTTCTTTTTATGCTTCTGTAAACTGAGAGTATGAAAAAAATTATGAATTTAGGAGTTACTATGGAAGCATTTTGAGAAAAGAACCACACTAGGGAAGACTTGAAAATTCTACTGGGAATGCAGTGTGGCAGTGAAGAGGAATGGCTTACCTTAGGGTTGAAGGATAAGATGTAAGGATAGAATGGAGGTTGAATAGTTTCTAGAAGAGTGTCAGTATCAACCCCATGCCTGAGATTTCTCCTTTCTGCCTCAAAATGAATTTGTCTAGGGTACTGTGGAGGAGCAGCAATGGATTCCTTGGACCATATGCTGACGGACCCTCTGGAGCTGGGTCCGTGTGGAGATGGCCAAGGCACCAGGATTATGGAGGACTGCCTGTTGGGAGGCACCAGAGTGAGCCTGCCTGAAGACCTGCTGGAGGATGTAAGTGGTAATGTTAGAGACATTGCTCCCATGTCAGCTGCCTTGAGGAAGAGATTTAGCTCAGCTGCATAAGCACCTGCCTTGTAAGCAGACAGTCGTGAGTTCGATCCCTGGTACCGATAAAAAGGAAAAAGACCAAAAAAAAAAAAAAAAAAAAAAACAACCATTCCCAGCCTGCAAGCTTTCAGTCTTTTGTGATTCTTGTCCTTAAAAAAAAAATATTTCGAAAGACTGGGCATGGTGGCCTGTGACTGTCATCCCAGCACTCTGGAGGCTGAAGCAGGAAGATTGCCACAAGTTTGAAGCCAGCCCAGGCTACTGTCTTGAAAAAAAAAATTCAGACAGTAATTTCTTATTTTTTTTTAATATAGTGTCTGCTTAGTATTCTGATTGAAGAGGAAAATGCAAGCTGCAGTCTACCTGTTTAATAACCTAGCAGAATAACTTGGTAGGATGATATAAGCTCTATTTTTAACAAGATAATTTTCATTAATTTAAAAGAATTGTGTTTTTTTTTTTTTTTTTTTTTTGTCTTTTTCGTTTTTATCGGTACCAGGGATAGAACTCAGGACTGCCTGCTTGCAAGGCAGGCGCTTATGCCACGGAGCTAAATCCCAGCCCCGAGAATTGTGTATTTTAAGAGAAGAAATATGTGTGTGTTTATTTTAAAATGGTTGTCCTGTGGTGAGTCATAAACAAAACCCTGACATACTGTGCTATCCACAAGGTAACCCTCTGGTCAAGTATTAGTACGTGTTCCGTGATGGGATTTCAAGGTACTTTTGACTCGTTTAGAAGCAAGATGTGATCATTGTTATTGTGGTGGCTTCCATTTATTAAGCATTTATGTGCAAGGCGCTGTGTATCTCGAAACATTGATTTAAGTATATATTTTCATTGACTTGCTATATTCGGAGCGTACAGATAGATGTAGAGTGTAATAAGCGATTACTGGTGCATCACCCTGCTTTAGGATATAGTTTCATTTGTCATACTTGTTTAGATTCTTCTTTAACAGTACATTTATAGGTAAAACAGAAGCCACCACTGTGTGCTTCTTTAACCCTCCCACCTACCTGTATGAGCAGTTGTACTGTATTGGTATGTATAGTTACTATTTTTTTTTTTTTGAGATGCGTCTAGCTGTGTTGCCCAGTCCTGTGTGTATTTTCTTACAAGAATACTCTTACAAGAAAATCTCTGTATGTAATTCATTTAGTCAGCATTTTAAAAAAGTATCTACTCTATGCCAGAAACTGAGTTAGATGCTAGAAGTAAAACGGGGTGCAAAAATAGGTTTGCAGCAGAGGCGTGTGGACATTGAGTCTGAGCTGCTTTTGATACATCCATGTTCAGATGCAGTTTGGATTTCCCATTATTTCCTCTTATGCCCTTCCTATGGCTTATTCTGTCCTTAGGACTAAGTTAGCAGTAGTTTAACAGTTTACAAGTCCAGTGCTTCTCCCTGATGTCTGCTGCCTCCCGCACCCTCTCTGCTGTTTCTCTAGCCAGACACTGCCTGAACTGTTTTCATTGAAACCTGTACACGTAAAAAGAGCTTACGAAATGCATATGCAATCTATCAAAAAATGTATACATTAAGAAAAGATAAACTTGATTAACTATTTTAATGCTAAATTAATGGTGACATGTGAGGTTAATACAAGTTACCTTTGGCCGCTACAATTACAAGAGGTGCTTATAGGGGCCGCCATTAAATTCCAGATATTAGTACAGCGAACTGCTGAAGTGTGTATACGTTTTTGGGATAGACTGTGTGTACACTTTAAGCACCAATGAAACATGGATACAAGCTGTACGTTATAGTCCATGCCTGTATTTTCAGCTACTTAGTAGGTGGGGCAGGAGCTCAAGTTCAAGACCAGCTGGAACAGTATAATGAGGTACTCATCTCAAAAACTACTCCCAAAACCAAAAAAACTGAACTCAGCAACAGAGATACACACAGACAAAACAAAAACAAGGGGAAAACATGCAATGTCCCCCGCCTAAGGTAACAGCACCAGCACCATCTGAGCCCTGTGTGTCCTTTCTCCGTCTTTTCCATTCTTCCGCTGGCCTGTTTACCCTTTCCTTTGTTTTTATGGTTTTTCTCAGTGAGTTTAACTCCCCCATCATTCTCCTTTCCTTAGCTTTTTGACTTACCTTAAATGTCTCGCTTTATTGACCTTTCCTGACTCTTGTACCCTTGTACACGCTCTTACTTCTTACACCGTGTGAAGGTGGCACGTTTGTTCGCTTTGCCTTCTCAGTGCACATGGCAATCTAGCTGGGAGTCCCTGGCATGTGGGTGGTATTGTGTAGCCGTGAGTTAAACTCGAACTCTGTCAGCTGCTCTCACCCTCAGCAGTGACCTCAGCTCGGGTCCTTTGCCCCAGCTCTCTTTACGTGCTGCTTAGCCTGAGGTGACTTCAGATGTTCACCGTCATACTCTTGTTGATAGATGTTTTCCCAATGGGATTCTTTGCACTGAGATAGTTTTCCTCTGGAGTAGTATTTACTGTTAGATGCAAGATTGTGGCTTATGTGTCATCTTTATAATTTCTAAGTTTGAGAATTGAGTAAAGATCATTGCAAATTTTAGTCTGTTTAAAAATCTAAAAAATCTTGACTGATAATCCCAGCACTTGGGAGGGTGAGGCAGAACGGTTGTGAGTTTGAGACCAGCCTGGGCTACAAAGGGAGCTCAAGGCCAGCTTGGACTGCGTAGTGAGAGCCTGTCTCAAAAAGACCCAAAAAAAAAAAAAAAAAAAAAAAAAATCTCGGCTGGAATGATGATTGCGCTGCAGTGTGAATGTCTTCAAAACCATTGTGCTGTGCACTTCAAGACATGAGAGGTAAGCTTTCTTTTATATCTTCCTACACACCTACAAACTGAAGTGCTTATTTTTCTGTCGTTTGCTTTTTCCCCAAACTCTCCTAGCCTGAGATATTCTTTGATGTTGTCAGCCTCTCGACGTGGCAAGAAGTACTAAGTGACTCCCAGCGTGAGCACCTCCAGCAGTTTCTGCCTCACTTCCCCTCAGACAGCACAGAGCAGCAGAACGAGCTCATCCTAGCGCTGTTCAGTGGGGAGAACTTCCGCTTTGGGAACCCTCTGCACATCGCCCAGAAGCTTTTCCGAGGTCTGTAGCTCAGCCTGCTGTTTGTGATAGGGTGGAGGGCGGGGACACGTTCTCTGACACTATGTGCCTTTTGTTTTATTTTATTCATTCTCGTGGACAGAAAGCTAAGTCAGCCCAGAATACTTCTGGGTAATTCTTCGCTGCTTACACTATTTCTTTTTAAATAAAATTTTATTGACATAAATAGAAAATACCTAATATAACCTGAGCTGTGTAACCACCACCCAGAACAAGAAATAAAACCGTCCAGCATCCCTTAATGAGAAGCATAAAATTAAACTAAAACCAGCTTGTCTTTTTTTTTTTTTTTTTTTTTACCCTATGGAAAGGTGATCTTTCAGCACCAATCTTTTGAGCATGTATATTGTTTTTTTTTTTTTTTTTTTTTTGGTACTGGGGCTCAAAGTCATGATCACGTGCTTGCAAGGCAGGCGCTTATGCCACTGAGCTAAATCCCCAACCCAGCATGTGTATCTTTTTTTTTTTTTTTTTTTTTGTCTTTTTGAGACAGGGTCTCGCTATGCAGTTCAGGCTGGCCTTGAGCTCACTTTGTAGCCCAGGCTGGTTTCACACTCACAACGATCCTCTTGCTTCTGCTTCCAGAGTGCTGGGATTACAGGCATGAGCCACCACGCCCGGCCAGCATGTGTGTCTTTTACCAAACATTTCTTCCAGATAATATACTCCTGTTACGTAGGCCAAGAAATGTATCACTGAACAAATATTATCATAGAATAGTCCACATTATAATTTTCTTAGTTGTTCTGGAAATATCCTTTGTAAGTTGCTGTTTAAATCCAGGGTTTGTTAAGGTTTTATGTGTTGCTTGGGTCTTAAGAGCTCTGTGAATTGAGGATCCTTGGCTTTTTAAATTTCTAGACACTGGCATATTTGCAGGGCCCAAGACACTTGAACTTTAAGATGTTCTGCTTTCTGGGAATTGGTCTTCTTGTGGCTCCAGGATTAGATTGGTATCCAGGACTTTTGGCAAGGGTGCCATCTGGGAAGAATCCTTCCAGCTGTGTCACTGCAGGAGGCACTTGGTGTCAGTTTTCCATTTCTGGTTATGGCCATGTGTGACTGCTTTGTTAAGTGATGTTTGCCACACCTCTGAGGGCAAAGGTGCTTCTATTCCTTTATTATTAAGCAATCTGTGGGGAGATATTTGGGGTCATATACTAATCATGATTCTTTAAAGCCCTCTGTTACCTACTAGTTTTGCTTCCATAAGTGATTCCTGCTTGAATGAACTATTACTTCAGGCATTGCAGAGGAATTTGGGACTATTCTTAAGTCATGGTCTGCCCTCTGTCTTGAGAGGAGTGGAAGAAGCCTGTACCTTTCCGTTTCTGGGTGACGGCCTAGTAAGACGCCCTGAAGTAGAACAATATAAGTGGTGTTAGAGTGGACAACTTGATGGTTGCTTGAGACTGGAGCAAGAAAGATTATTATTTCAAATTTCTCATTTTAAGGATTAAAAATCAGTACCCTCTCCTGCTTTGTGGTGCTGGGTATTGAACCCAAGGCCTCTTCCACGCTAGGCAAGTGCCTACCCCAACCCCACTTTTGTTCTTAAAGAAAAATTTTTAAGAGACAGGGTTTCGCTATGTTGCCCAGGCTGGCCCTGAACTCCTGGGCCCAGGTCATCCTCTTGCCTGAGTCTCACAAGTAGTTGAGACTACAGGCCTTCATTGTCTCTTTTAATGGATTATTAAAGAGGAATTCTCCTTCTTGGTTGGCACAGACCTCTTTCACCCAAGCTGAGGCCTCAGCTGGGAGCACCCTGTCCCCTCGCCTGTGGAGCAGAGTGAGGGAAAGAAGCCTCACTGGATTTAGGAGGGTTGTGTAAGGGCAGCATGCTTCCCCCAAATAACACGGTAGCCCGCTGAGGACGTGGACAAAGAATGAAGCTGAAGGCTGGAATTTCTGTGTGTTTCACTCTGGTTAGTGCTGTATTTGAGTTCTAGTTTTTGTTTCTGTTTGTTTGTTACTGTTTTTTCTGAGACAGGGTCTCACTGTGCAGTTCAGCTCACTTTGTAGCCCAGGCTGGTATCGAACTCACAGTGATCCTCCATCCTCAGCCTTCTGAGTGCTAGGATTATGGGCTTATGCTGCCCTGCCCAGCTAACAGTTTGTTTTATTTATTTGTTTACATTGATTTATTGGTACTGGGCGTTGAGCCCACGACCTTGTCCTACAGGTAGGCATTTATGCTGCTGAGCTAAATCCCTGGCCCAGTAGTGATAGTTTTAACATCGTTATTGTAATTATCAGAGTTAATTGAACTATCATTGCTGTTTTAAGCATTCTTTTAATTCTGGTTCTGTTTCCTGATTGTTATATTCACTTTTCTATTTTGTTCTTTACTATAATTTCATATTAAATATATGTTGATAGACACATATCTAGCTGTACCTCTTCTTTTAAAGATGGATACTTTAACCCTGAGGTGGTCAAATACCGGCAGCTATGCTTCAAGTCACAGTACAAGAGATACCTCAGCTCGCAGCAGCAGTATTTCCACCGGCTGCTGAAGCACATTCTTGCTTCCCGGAGTGTAAGTAGTGCTGGGAACTGGCTGTAAGATGGGAACTGGGCATAAGTGAACTCGTGGGTGTCAGGACTTCAGGTTAGATGCAAGACACAGAAGATACTACTAAGACAAACATGCTGCTAATTAAATTACATCTTTTGTTTTATGATCAATTTTCAAATGTACTCTGATTTCAGAGGTGTTAAAATGTGAAAAAAAGTGCTTCCTGAAAGCCTAGCATGTACAGGTTCTATCCCCAGCACCACAATAAGCAAATGAAAAAACATCAAATAATTTAGCCCCACAAAACTTACCAAGATAAACAGATGGATTAGAAATCCATTACCAAGTTACCGAGGAAAACTAGGATGCTCTGAGTTCGATGTGCAGGTGTGCACAGGCCTCCGAGTGCTGTGATGGCTCTGTAGACCATAGAGCTAAGTGGTCTCTGGGTTTTTCCAGCTTGCTAACTCTTAGAGCACAGTGTTCTGAGTTTTCAAAGCTTCAGTAGAGAAATAGAGCACTTGTTGTCTAGTATTTATTCTCTTTGAATAAGTCATCAGACATTGTGTTTTCACCACATGATACAGCTTGCGTATTCCTTATCTGAAATGCTTAGAGCCAGAAGTTTTCTAATTTCAGATTTTTTCAGAGTTTGGAATATTGCTTACACATGGTAAGATATCTTGGGGATGGGACCCATTGTAAACACAGAATTTATTTATATTTCACTTACATCTCATATACATAGCCTAAAAACAGTTCTACATACTTTTTGGTGTAGATGTATTTTGACTTTCACTTGCTAATTTGAGGTCAAGTGTGGAATTTTCCATTGTGGTGTTTTGTTGGTACTGTAAATCCCTGGCTTACGAACATTTGACTTGTGAACTTTGACAGCTACAAATGGACCTCACGTTACACACATTCACAGATGCCAAGAGGTGACAGAAGTAGCTCATGTGCCTGCTGGGCATCGTCAGAGCTGTGCTGCCATGCGCTCCCTGCGCAGTGCAGAGTGTGCAGCAGTGCAGTGCTCAGTGGAGCCCGAGCTGTCCAGGCACAGGAGGAAGAGCGGCGGTGCTGTGGAGGGGACTGCAGGAGGTGCAGAGCAGGCACCATGCGAACAAGTGCAGATCAGTGAGGGATTGTAGCTTACACACAGTTGTACTGTACTGCCACTTTGAGCTCACTGTGAAGGTAGAAATAGTTTATTTACAGTATTTTGTGTGTCTGTTTGGTTTTTAACGACTAACATTGTGTCTGGATGTCAGAAATGTGTGAGACTGTCAGACGTATGAATAAATCCACCTTAGGAAGATTTTCCCAGAGTGGAGCTTGTTTGGCAGTCGGGGCTTCATTGTACTCATAAAGTTGTGGGTTTTAGAACATCTCAGATTTCACATTTTTGGATAAAATACGCTTAATCTGTAACCTGTATAGGCCCTTTTTAGTTGTGCCTAGTCTGCTGCTTCCTTTGCGCTGGAGGGGAGGGAGTTGAGTTTGCCTGCACTGAAGGGGCTGGACCCTGGCCCTGCAAGTGTCCAAGTGTCCGTCCATCTTCCCAGAGTGAGCTTGGCGCTGACGCGTGCCCCCTCTATCCCTCCTAGGATCTGCTGGAGATGGCCCGCAGGAGTGGCCCGGCCCTGCCCTTCCGACACAAGCGCCCTTCACCGTCCCGCAGCCCCGAGGAGCGGGAGTGGCGCACCCAGCAGCGCTATCTGAAGGTTTTGAGGGAAGTGAAGGAGGAGTGTGGTGACACAGCTCTGTCGTCTGACGAAGAGGGTGAGTGTCCTGGGGTTCTTGGGGCAGCTGGGTTATTGGAGCCAGAGGTAGCCACTCGCCCCCCAGGGAGCACCTGAGTTGTCTTGTCTGGGGGCGGAGAGGGGGACCTGTCACCCGTCTCTGAGCTCCCGAGACGCTGCTGTGAGGCCGCACTGACTGTGCATCCTAGCTGTCCCTGTGTGCCTGCGGCACTGGAGTTAGACCGAGCAACTCCTGGACAAGTCCTTGCAGGCCAGGGTCTCTCCACAGTAGGCTGCGGCCCCACTGTACCACTTGAGAGAACTGCTTTTCCCCTTACAGGAGAGTAGTAGTGACTGTTGGCCTGCTGCAATGCGACCCCATCACTCTGTTGAAGTCTCTCTTCCTGGAAGAGCCGTTTAAGTGACCTAAGTGTGCTCCAGCTCGTCTGGGGAAGGGTCAGAAAGGATGTGGAACCCTGGCCTCCATGTTGTTGGCTTAGCCCTGTTGAACCTAAATGGCCACTTACCCAATCTCCCCTATTGGAGTCCACAGCCACGTTGGATTTACAAGAAAAATTTTCTTTTGAAGATCTCAGCTCATGGCTTCCGAGCTCTCCAGCACGTTCTCCTAGCCCCGCGGTACCCCTGAGGGTGGTGCCCACACTTTCCACCATGGACATGAAAACTGCAGGTGAGAACTGAGCTCGTGCCGGCCATCCTTGGAAGCTGCGGTGCAGAGGTGAAAGCTCCCTTAGAGGGAGCTGGGGACCAGGTTCTTACCTGATGGGAAGCCACGCAGTGTTCTTTAGAATTAGGTGATTCGGAGAAGTCTCTGTACCGTTCCACGTTCTTACATCTGCAGATAGGCCTGCCTCCTCTCCTTTGGTTTATTTTATTTTATTTTTTATTAGTACATGTTTACAGTATGAAAAGGTTATATTGTCAAGGGGCCTCACGTACAGAACACACATTAATGTTCTCATCTGTTTCCCCTACCTTAGCACCGATCATCTCTTGATCCCCTTCCAGTTTGAGAAAGTGACATCTCCTTACTTCCTATTAATCTGTCTTTTATTTTAGACTTTATTCATGGGTTGGGTTTCATATGTAAGAGAAGCCATGCAATATTTATACCTGTGTGTCCGATCTACTTTACTTGGTCTCACGGTATTCATTTCCCTACACATAACTTAAGTTTATCCTTCTCTGTGGCAGAGTAGTAGCACTCCATTGTGTTTCCATCCCATGTTTTTTTTGTCTTTTTCATTTTTATCGGTACTGGGGATCAAACTCACGACCGCCTGCTTGCAAGGCAGGTGCTTATGCCGCTGAGCTAAATCCCCAGCCCCATCCCATGTTTTTTTAATCCATTTACCTGTTGGTAGCCATAAAGACTGCTTCTAGCATTTAGTTATTATGAATTGTGCTCTTTGAATATGGGTATGCAGGTGTCATTGTAATATGGTATCTTTACTCTTTCAGGAAGATACATAGAAGGAGAATAGTGGAGTCAAAGGAATTTCTATTTCTAGTATTTGAGGTACTGATTGTACCTGCAGTTTGGACTCTTCATACATATTGTACCACCATTTTTCTCTGCAGTCTCTCCAGCATTTGTTATTTAACTTCTTCAAGATAGCCATTCTTGCTGGAGTTCTGGAATCCCAGTGTGGTTGTAATTTGTGTTTCTCTAATGGCCAGCAATGTTGAACATTTTTTATGTATTTATTGGCCATTTGCATTTCTTTATCTGAGAAGTGTATATTCATTTCAGATGTCTCCCACACCCCTTTTGTTTTTTTGAGGTAGGGTCTCACTGTGTAGTTCAGGGTGGCCATAAACTCACTGTGTAACTCAAATTGGCCTTGAACTCTCAGTGATTCTCCTGCCTCAGCCTCCCAAGTACCAGGATTACAGGCTTGCATAGCTGCACCTAGCCAGTTGCCCATTTTTTGACTGAGTCTTAAGTTTGAGAAGGTCTAATTTTTTTGAGTTCTTTATATATTGTAGATATTAGTCCTTTGATGAGTAGCTAGCTGAAATTTCTTCCCATTCTGGGGGTTGTCTCTGATTTGAAAATCGTCCTGAGGAACTGATCCGCTGGTATTTTGTACTAAAGAGCAGAATCTTAAAGTAGAAACCTCGGGGAGGATTCAGTAATAGAATAAAGGTCGTAACTAGAGCCATAATAATTCCTTTAGAATGCTTGTGAAACTGGAAAACTTGTATTTGGAGTGGACTGTGTCGGCAAATTACACTGTGTGTTTAGACCAGCTGAGTAACTGAAGTAATCTATCGGTCTGTAGAAGAGTGGAAGTCCTGATCCTGTGACTAAAGATTTCTGGTGCTTTTAGTACCCAGGACTTGGACTCTCAGGAGTATCTTGCCTAAGAATGTCACAGGTGACCAGGAAAATTTTAGTTAGAGCATTACTGTCGTGAATGACCTAGTCCATGTGGTTTGGTTCATTTTCTCTCAGATAAAATAGAACTTGGGGACAGTGACCTGAAGATAATGCTAAAGAAGCATCATGAGAAGCGGAAACATCAGCCAGTAAGATGGGGATGGACGTGGCCGCTCAGGGTTTGAATGTCTGTGGCTTGGCTATTGTGGGCGAGGAACTAGTTTCCCCACCTCTCTTGGCACATGAGTGCGTCTCGTAGTTTCTTTGTTAGTGGTACCCAAGGAGCTGAAGGCACTTACCCTTGGTTCTGTAACCAGTAGATTCCAGGACCAAGAGCTGACCTTGTACCCTTCCCTCTTTGTACTTGTCCTGTTATTTTACACACCTGAAGGGTGGTGGCACCAAACCAGAGAGTAGAGTGGAGAGAGGATACCCCCTCCAAGGCAGAAGAGCACCAGGATGGCTGGGGCCGAGCTGAGCTTTCTCTGTCCTTTTCCCTCCCTTCAGTATTGTGCAGTTCCTAGACTTTGTAACATGTCGGAGAATAAGCCTGAAGAGCACATGAGATAAGGAACACAGAAGAGCTGTGTGAAGTGTACATTTCACACCGCAGGGGCTTGAACTGGGTCCTCCCGTGCACCAATATGATGAGCAGCAGAGCTTGCTTCTGCACTTCCATGATTCAGCGTGCTGCCTGCAGGCATCATTTCTGTTAGGGACATTAGCGGTCATCATTGGTCTTTGTTCCTTTTGGCCTCCATAACTGAATTTCTGACTGTCACATGTAGGATCACCCGGACCTTTTGACAGGGGACCTGACTCTCAGTGACATCATGACCCGAGTAAATGCTGGCAAGAAGGGCTCTCTAGCAGGTAAAAAACAGAACAAAACAAAACACTGTTGGTTACTTTTGAGTGGCCTTCAGTCTGCTGGTAAATGTTACAAGACTGCCCATGTATGGCTAATGTCCGTGAAACTAGTGTCTCCTTTATGCTAGTCACCTTTGTTTGGTTACTGTCTTTATAAATTTGAAGTGAATGCAGTCTGTCAGTAGACATTAAAATTGAACCCTGAATCACTCGTTGAGTTAGGTTAAAAATCTGTATGTCCGACCAGGTGTAGTTTTGCATGCTTTTAATCCTAGCAGTCAGGAGACTGAGGCAGGAGGGTACCCAGCATTTAAGGCCAGCCTGAACTACATAGTAAGACCCTGGGTCAATGTAAAAAAACAAATCCGTATGTCCTGTTATGAAACTTTGCTGCCTTTGGTGGGTCTTGGGAAATAGTGTGCAGGTAAGACCCCTCACTTCCTGACTAGAAAATGCAGCCTGTGACATGTGTTTCTGTCACTTCCTAGCCTTATATGACTTGGCTGTCCTTAAAAAAAAAGCAAAGGAAAAGGAGGAAAGGAAGAAAAAGAAAATAAAGCTAGTCAAATCGGAGGCAGAAGACTTGGCTGAGCCTCTGAGTGGTACTGAAGGGGTTCCAGCTCTCTCGCAGGCCCCGTCTCCGCTGGCAGTACCCGCTATAAAGGAAGAGTAAGTAATCGGCGGGGACCCCAGGGACAGGCGGGCGGGCGGCGGGACACAGGGCTGTCAGTCTCTTGAGGTTGTGTGAGCTGGTGTAAGTGTCGAACCTGCCAGCGCTGCCAGTAGTGAGCTGGCGAAATGTGTCATGTGCTCCTTGCTTGTGACTGCCAGGGCTTCAGGGGCCCTGAACTAACCTACCGTGTGTTCTTACATTTCCTTCTCTCCTCAGGCCCTTAGAAGACCTCAAGCCTTGCCTTGGAATCAATGAGATATCTTCTAGTTTCTTTTCTCTTCTGTTAGAGATCTTGCTGCTGGAGAATCAGGCTAGCCTTCCTATGGTAAGATCATTGGGGAAGTCAAATGTACATCGAGGGTTTGAAATTGTCAAAAGTTTCAATGGTCTGTAGCTTTAGAAGCAGCTCTGCAGGGCCCAGGCTAACTTGCTTTGGGACTACAGCAAACCAGATAATGCATGCAACTTGCTCGGCACATCTCCAGGATCCTGATGTAGGAAAGAAATCTCACTGGCTCCTGCTTTTCCTTTCCCTCAGCTGGAAGAGCGTGTTTTGGATTGGCAGTCATCTCCAGCCAGTTCCCTCAATAGCTGGTTTTCTGCGGCCCCCAACTGGGCTGAGTTGGTGTTGCCTGCCCTGCAGTATCTTGCTGGAGAAAGCCGAGGTAAGGTTTTGTTTTTTCCTCTTTTGTCTAGCTCTTAACAGTAAATGGCAGCTATGCTCATTTGGTCCATTGTTTCTTTTTGTTCTGCCATACCCTTGATGTCTGTCCTCTTGTGTGAAATACTGAGCAGCTTGCTCAGAGCTCAGAGCTGTTGGCTGCCCTGAGCTCTGCACTTCCTGACCTTGTGGCTTATACATGTGATCTCCTTTTTACAGCTGTTCCTTCCAGTTTCTCTCCATTCGTTGAATTCAAAGAGAAAACCCAGCAGTGGAAATTGCTTGGTAAGTAATTCACATCACTCTCTACCGCCTTCCCTAGACTGCTTTTGCTTCCCAGGGACTGGCAAGAGAGGGCCTGTAGATCTGGCTTTGCTCCGTGAAGAGGTCTGAGATGTTTTGTACCCTTTCGGTGCAGTCTTCACACCCTCCCCACATAGCTCCCTAAGCTGAACCAGAATTGCCTTTCTGCTGTGTGCCAGCCTGCAGGGCTTCTTTATAAGAGTTTCAGGATTTGAGCTAATCTCACAGTGGTTTTGGATTGATTTGTAATATGGTTACTTATTTATTTATTCATCACTGAAAATGGCCCTTACTATTGAGGATATTGAACAGCCCCAAATAAGCTATTTTTAAGGAACATGGTCTTTTTGTTTTAAATAAACAAAGCCTTGCTTACAATGTTGTTAAAAATCCATCTCAAGTAAGATAGAAGTTCAGTATCGGCTTTATACTAAAATCAGCAGATACGGAACCTGTGGCTACAGAGGCCAGCTGTGTGCAGTAAAGAACACAGGTGAGGCTCTGTGTCCCTGAGGGCACGGAGAGCTGGGAGCTAAGCCCTGAGCAGCTCCATGAGAGAGGCAGCAGGTGCAGTGTGCGTGCGAGAGGGGCCTGTGGAGACTGGAGGAAGGTGGGTGACAGTTACTGGGTGTCACTGTTCCTGAAAGATTTGGTGAGAGAAAGATGAGATCTGCTGACTTAGAATTAGGGTATGTGTGAGAGACCAGGGCCTCACTCCTGCTAGCAGGTGCTCTACTACTGAGCTGCTTTCCCACTGGCTTTTAACTTTTATTTTGAGATGTGGTTTCACTAGGTTGCCCAGACTGGCCTTGAATTTGCGGTCCTCCTGCCTCAGCATTGTGAGTAGCTGGGATTATAGGTATATACCCCCATGCTTGGCTCTTCATGAATTTTTAATTAAGGATGACTCCTTATTGGTGATGAGGGTTGAAGACAGTATGAACCGAAGGTCCTCATGCTGGCTGTGCATAGTGACTGTCCGACTGGTGGCTGGAGCCCAGCATCGTCAGGGTTCTGGCATCAGGTTGTACACTAGTTCTTTTAGGATCAAGTACTAGGTATTGGAAGCCTGTGTGGACTGGGTTGTTTCTGTTACTAGTGTTCAACTTTGCCGTATGATGCAGAGCAGCCAGGCAGTAGGCAGGTGAACCGGCGGAGCTGTGTTCTGTACTGTGTTCCACAGGCAGTGGTGGGTTGCTGCCCTGTCGAATGCATCATGGACGTCTGCAGCTACAGTTGGTCAGGGCTCCTTTTCCGTGTGCTGCTGGAATGTGTCCAGCACATTGCTGTTTAAAGAGCCAGAGAATCTGGACAGCTCTATCTACAAGTTTAACTGGAGGGGGAAGAATAAGAGAGTACTTGTGGTCAGGAGAGGAAGTTTTTAGAATGGGTGAGTTGAAGTGTTGTCGGGAAGGCTGTGTGTAGAGTGGGATATTGAAGGTGCAGGGGAGCAGGGGAATGGCGTCATGGTGGACATCCAGGCTTGGCTCTGGATGGCAGGAGGCAGTGCAGAAACTGGAGCCACAGCAGTGGGCTGGTCTGTTTCCTGTGATGCTTTGGTCTGCTGCTTCTCCAGTGTAAAGGAGGCAGAGGGCTGAGGCGGGAGCGAGACCCTCTCAGGGAACATGCAGAGCAGGGTGACCAGTGACCAGTGGCAGTGTTGGGACGGGCAGGCCACTGTCTGTATCAGCTTTTCATTGTTGACCTGTCATGGTACTCTGCCTCTTTGTGTGCTTTGTTTCCTCAGGGATCCCTCAGCTGCCCAATTGGAAGTGCAGGGAATGAGTTTGAGTTTTGTTAGGTGGCAGTGACAAAGAGGGCAGAGGGGAGAGGGCAAGTGCGACTCTATGGGGAAGTGCTTTATTGGAACGATGCTCTTGGAATTAGTGAGATGGTGCAGTGTTTGTCCGGGAACTGTGACACAGCCTTACTCATATTGTTGGAGGCAGTAGGGTTTCCTGCTCTAAACTGAGTAACAGTCCATCATATTTTCTTTATCCATTCATTCACTGATGGACATGTAGGTCGTTTTTACATCTCGGGGTTCTAGTGACTTTCTTGATGGGATAGAATACCCAACACTCACAATTTAAAGGAGGAGCCGATTATTTTGATTCACAGTTTGTAGAGGTTTCCAGTCCATAGTTGGCTGGTGTCGAGGCTGGGCAGCACAGTGGAAGAGAAATAGCTCATGATGTGGCCACAGGAGGAGGGAAGGAGATGGACCCTTCCTGGCCACACCTCAGTGTCCCACCTCCTAGCACCAAGCCTCCCCTCCCGGCATCCTGTTCAGTTCTGAGCTCTTCAGTGTGTTGACCCACAGGTGAGCATTCTCGTGACCTGGTCACACCTCCAAAGCCCCTGCTAAGCAGCGAGTGATCTGCGTGTGCTTGTTTATTTCTGGGCTGTTTGGAACAGGTTTTTATGTTTGCTTGCTGTTCTAGAACCAGGGAGAAGTGCAGGACCTGAAGGCCCTGATGGGTGTAGCAGACACTTACCTCTGCTCTGTAGGACATGGCTGTGAGGAAGTGAGCAGCATCCCCGGGGTGCAGGATCAGGGAAAACAGGCTTTCATTCTAAACAAGTAGAGGAGGGTACGGGAAGGGGGTGATGAGGCTGCAGAGGAACAGACTGGCTGAGAAACGAGGTTTCCAGAAAGCAAAGTCCTGAGGGGCGAGGCGTAGAAGTGGAGGTTGCAGGATGCAGCTGGTGCTGGTGGTGCGTGTCGGCCGGTGGGGCGAAGGGAGTGTGGTTTCAGTACCTCTCGGGAAGTGCAGCTGCCTTCTCACATAGGTAGGTGTAGGTGGTGGTGTCCTGCGCTGCCTTCCAGCCTGGGCAGGAGTGTTAAGTACCCTCGTGTACCAAAAGCTGCTTTAGGAGTCTGAGCAGAGTGACATGGGAGGAGGATGCAGAATGGGGGGCTTTTGTCTCAAGGCGAAGGAGTCGAGCTCTTTTCTCCTTGGGCCTTCGGGCTGCTGTGCGGGGTGCAGGATGCCTCCTCCAGCCAGCTGACAGGCTGACTTTCCACCTGCAGTCAATCTGATGTCCTCTGTGACTCCCACCACTTTTAGAACTGCTTTTAATACAGGCCTTTTCCTTACTTGGCTCTACACTCCTGAGGGTGTGGAGAGAACGCACAGGTGACCCTGGCACACAGTGGCACTCAGTGAAGGTGCTTACCGAAGGAGTTATTTAACTAGGCGACATCCAGGAGTAGTGGTCGGACAGCCAGTGGGTGGGCATCATATTGCTACAGGGCCTGATGTAGTCTCTGGCGTGCATAGAGCAGGTAAGGAGAAAGTGAGATTCTGCATAACATCTTAGATCTTTTTGGTTTTTTTGTCTCCTCTTCCCCCAGGTCAGTCCCAGGATAATGAAAAAGAGTTAGCTGCACTGTTCCAGCTATGGCTAGAGACAAAAGACCAGGCCTTCTGTAAGGTGTGATTTTGAAATACCAACTCTTCCTCATTGGGTTACCAGAGCCCTCAAATCACTGGAAATTCTTTAGACCATTTACCTGTTAACATTTTCCTTTTCTTCAGCAAGAAAATGAAGACAGCTCAGATGCCACGACCCCTGTCCCTCGGGTGTGAGTACTGTGCCATCGTGGTGGGTGGTTTCCTGTGAAGCTGTGCTTTATAGTCTTGCCGTGGTTCTGCTGACACGTCTTAGTGTGTTAGGCTTCCTGGGCCCTTGGCGCCTAAGAGGCTGTTCATGCTCACCTACCTCAGCGTAGCTTTGGGGGAATGGGTTGGTTGGGAGATGGGACATACTCTGCCTTAACCGTGGTTATCCTGTTTTCCATGTGTGTGCCTCCTGGGATCCCATTTGAGAATGATTTATCTAGTCTGGCCATTACCGAGAAACTAGGTAATGAGGTTATATGGGTTGGTAAAGGTTAGTGACAGAACCTCCACTAGTTTATATCCCTTGACATCTAGTCTTGGGCTGTTTATATCATGTTGGAGTTTCCTGTCTGGTATGGTTCTGGGTTAGGTTTATTTTTTTGCACTACTAGGGATCAAACTCAGGACCTGGTGCATGCTAGACAAGTGCTGAACCACTGAGCTACACTCCTATTTTTGGAAGATTTTTGGAACTCCAGCACAGAGACCCAAGTGTGTCAAACATAAATATATGTGTTTACATAATAGAGAGAAGTAGTATGTTTAGAAGGCAGGAGATTGTCACTTCCCTGTCATCCATGACGCTTGAAGTCCTTTGTTCCCCTGGGCCTGAATTTTCTGCCATTAGATTGGGCTTACTTATCAGTAGTGCTGAAAATGCTAGGTAAAGGTATTTTTCTGGGTTTCTAAGAACCCAATACTAGTGGAAACATCATCAGGAATTGCTGGGTAGGAGCTGGACAGCAGAGTCTGCAGTCCTTGCGTAGTTAGAAGAACCTTCCTATGCGCTGGAGCAGGAAGAGGGCTGTGTCCCTCCAGCAGCCCTCGGAGTTCTTACGAAATTCCTTCTGTGTTTCAGAAGAACTGACTATGTGGTGCGGCCCAGCACAGGCGAGGAGAAGCGGGTGTTTCAGGAGCAGGTAAGGGATTCCTAGCAGGATTATGGGGCTTGGCACCGTAGGGCTGTGCAGAGGGAGGTGTGAGCTCACTCCCCTTGAGTCCACTCTGGGGTGGTCGACGTGCCTCAGACCTCCTGCTTGTTGGTGAGATGTCTGATTCTTGTTGGAGGCTGAAGTGTGCAGGTGAGAGTGATGTGAAGAACCATAAGTGATGAGAACCATGTTGATGATCTTTCAGCAAAATGCATTTTATTTCCTTGTGCTTTGCCAGTGGGCGCAGAAGAGCGTCCTTTTCCTGCTGAGGTTGACCTGCACTGGAGTCGTGTTTCCTTCCTGTTGTAATCTCTCCCCTCACAGATCCCCTCACTGTACGGGAGCTCCAAAGAGGAGCCCCTAGTTCTGACTCAGGAGCCTTCTCTTTCTTCTGCATAGGAGCGGTACAGATACAGCCAGCCCCACAAGGCATTCACCTTCCGCATGCACGGCTTCGAGTCAGTGGTGGGGCCAGTGAAGGGTGTGTTTGACAAGGAGACCTCCCTCAACAAGGCCCGAGAACACTCCCTGCTGCGCTCGGACCGTCCGGCCTATGTCACCATCCTGTCTCTTGGTATGTGATGCATCTATCAGAGATTTATTTTCACTCTGCAGCTTCTTTCAAGACAACTGTGTCCTGAGGCCATAAGCACCTGCCTGGCAAGTGCTAGGTTGTGAGTTCAATCCCAGATACCAGGAAAAAAAAAAAACAAACGACAGCCATGTCCTCTGCTCACAAACTCACTCACCTGCCCACCTCCCTCTCCTGGGTCAGGCTTCTTACTGCGTAGGGGCTTTGTAGTGGGAAAGATGAAGTGGAGAATCTGGTTCTAAAGATCAAAGCCACAAGGTGGTGTTTCTTCATCAAGTTAGTTAGGCTAATGTTTATGTTTATTTGGAAATTGCCCACAGGCCAGCTAAACAGTTAGGGTAAGTGATAGGGATTTTCTTCCCTAATGATTTTTAGGTGCCATGAATCCCCTTGGCAGAAAAAAACCTGTGGGTCCCTCCTTAGTACACTTTTAAAGGCATAAAAGCCTAAAGCTACAAAGGAAATCATTTATATTGAAAAAAATCTATCAAGATGTTAGAAAAAGTTTATATGCAAAAATATGTGTTTTTGTTACGATACTAAGTGGCAGGTCTTACAACTTCTATAACTTCCAAATGGGAATGAATGTAAATTATATTTTGAGTAATCCTCACTATCTGTAAAGTAAGAATGTATGAGTTGTGTTAATTAAGTCACAGGACTTCCATTACATGGTTCACAGGCTTTATTCATAATGGAAGGAAGCACTAGATTTCAGTGAAGATACCGCATTTTTCTTCCCCAAGTTTAGGGCTGCTCTGAGTGCCAGGGCATCTGCTGCCCTTTCTCCTGCCTGAGTGCAATGTGGGAAACTGCAGTGGCAGGGCGCTGGCCACCAGAGGGCGTGAGTTCCTAATGCTCTTCAGGGAGGCTGAGCAGCAGGAACCTGGGAAAGGAACCCTGGGTTGGGCTGTCAGTCCTCAGCGGAACCTGACTGACTCTTGGGCTTTGCTTTCTGGCACGTCAGTGCGGGATGCTGCGGCCCGGCTGCCTAACGGGGAAGGCACGCGGGCAGAGATCTGTGAGCTGCTCAAGGACTCGCAGTTTCTTGCTCCAGACGTCACCAGCACTCAGGTAAGCTGGGAAACGGCTTTGAATTGCTTGCCTCAGAGTGGATTTAAGAAAACTCACTGGGAAATACATCACTTTTTTCTTTTGGGCTGAAGCGCAAATCTAGGGCCGTACACTCACCACCACAAGCGCTAATGTAACTTTTTTTTCAACATGGGGAGAAGAATTTGAGATGGATTCTCTATGCAACCCAGGCTGGTCTTGAACTTATGACCCTCCTGCTTCATCCTCCTGAATCCTTAAATTACAAGTGTTTGTGCCTAAAACAAATTTTTAAACAACTGACAAAACTAGGTGTGTTGGCAAGTGTGTTAATCAAGGTGGAGAGGCCAGGGCGGGGTGCTCACAAGCTCACAGTTGGCCTGAGAACAGAGTGAGAACCCTGCTCAAACAAATAAAAAATAACAATGAAAAACAGAAAGAAGTGAAGGGCATCTTGAAATATACAAGTAGTGATAACCAAAGACTCGTCAACGAAGCACAAATTTGACCCCAAGCTTAGTACAGGAAAGACTGCTGCAGGTCCCGAGTCCCCATCATCCTTACAGTAGGAGCAGATCAATTTCTCAGCAGGTTCACAGCGAGTTCTGTTTGGCTAAGTGTGTTGGTGGGCCATCAGAAAGACACTGCTGGGCTGCAGAAGATCAGAGCTTTGATCAGTGATTTTTCTCTAGGGTACAAACAGCTTCTTGCAGTTGGTCCTGACTTGGCCTTTGCTTTGCCCTGCTCTGATCTTAGGTGAACACAGTCGTGAGTGGTGCCCTGGATCGCCTACATTATGAAAAAGACCCTTGTGTAAAGTATGACATTGGACGAAAGTTGTGGATCTACCTGCATCGTGACCGGAGTGAGGAGGAGTTTGGTATGTGTAGCCTCTGAGCAGCATGTCCCGGTAGACTAGGGGTGCTTCCGACTTTCCTAGCTCCATTATTTTTCCCTTTGGCATTTGGGCAAGAGATTATGGACGCAGGATCCAATCCAGCAGTGAGGCTGGCAGCAAGGCCTCAGTTTTTTATAACCCTAAGCCCCCCTCTTTAACGCTGCATGGTCAAACTCTTGCTGAAGTTACCGCTCTTGTTCACAGAGAGGATTCACCAAGCACAAGCAGCTGCAGCTAAAGCCAGGAAAGCCCTTCAGCAGAAGCCCAAGCCCCCTTCCAAGGTGGTGAGTGACCTCAATGAGCACTGCCCGAGGGGTTGGGGTGGACCAGCTGGATGCCAGCTTGGCTTTCTTAGGGCCTGTGTTCTTGAGATACCTACAGTGAATTCCTCCGTGTCTTCCTCTAGAAATCCAGTAACAAGGAGAGCTCCATGAAGGTCCTGAGCAGTGGCACTTCGGAGCAGAGCCAGATGAGTCTCAGTGACTCCAGCATGCCGCCTACCCCAGTCACACCCGTGACGCCCACCACACCAGCATTGCCTGCTACACCCATCTCCCCTCCTCCTGTGTCATCAGTGAACAAAAGTGGTCCTACTTCTGTCTCTGAACCAGCAAAGTCTAGCTCAGGGTGAGTGCCTCTGCTTTTTCTCTAGCTTTTTCCTAGAGTCCTTTGTGTTCTCCTAAGCTTTTGTTCATGGTTTTTCCCTGATTTTCCTCACAGTGTTCTTCTGGTGTCCTCGCCAACAATGCCACAGTTAGGAACGATGCTTTCCCCAGCGTCCAGCCAGACTCCACCCAGTTCTCAGGCGCCTGCCCGGGTTGTGAGCCACTCTGGCTCTGCTGGGCTGCCCCAGGTGCGAGTGGTGGCCCAGCCCAGCCTTCCTGCTGTGCCCCAGCAGCCAGCAGGGCCAGCACCGACACTGCCACAGATGCCAGCAGGACCACAGATCCGGGTGCCAGCCACTGCCACACAGACCAAAGTAGTGCCCCAGGTAAACAGGGAAGCTCAAGTTGTTAGAAACAGGGGCAGTGGACCCCCAGGTTGGCTGATGAGTCAGGAGGCATCGTCAGGAAGGAGTGGGGAAGTGAGGTGGTGGTTGCTGCTAATGAAGTTCACTAAAATAACTCCTTAATAGTAAAAGCAAGTTAGGCACTTATCTTCTTGACATCTTGGAATCAGGCCTTCTCAGCAGTTTAGCGGTTTATCCGGGATTCCAATGGCAGGGTGCTCATAGAGGTGGAATGTGGGTCCAAACCTGAGATTCTCATTCCAGCTTCCTTCCATTGTCCTTAGCCTCGCCACTGGCCGGTTGTGTGAGTTTTCAGTGTGCTGAGCCTTAGGCAATGTGAGGAGCCCCTCCTGGGGGCTGAAGCGTGGGAGACCCTGCTGCAGTACTGGTCTCCAGCTCACTGTCCAACCGAGCATTCGATCTCATGTCTTGAACTAGGCCGTCATGACCACTGTTCCTGTCAAAGCGCAGTCTACAGCAGCTACTGTGCAGCGGCCTGGCCCTGGGCAGACTGGGCTTACTGTGACAAGTCTCCCTGCCGCAGCCAGCCCTGTGAGCAAGCCAGCCACGAGTTCTCCCGGAAGCTCGGCTCCAAGTGCCTCCACAACTGCTGTCATTCAAAACGTTACAGGGCAGAACATTATCAAGCAGGTGGGTAGGCCTGACGCTTGTGTCCTGAAGCAGAGGGTCTCTGGGTGCTAGCTTCCTGAATCAGTCATATGCCTGTGGAGAGAAGATTTGTCATCTTTGACCCTTAGGATTGAGTTCCCATCCAAGACACTCTAGCCTTTGTGGATGCCCAAGAGATTTCTTCTGCTTCCTTATAATTCAGCATTTGATAGTTGAATTTCTGGATTTAAAGTTACTGCTTCATGAACTTACTTAGTTCAGTTCTTATGATCATATTTTATTGGTTTTTCAGTTTATCACCACTAAAGGTCAGCGCACTGGAACTTTCCTGGTTGTGAATGTGGAAGGATAACTATTGCGTATTAAAGAATTTTGATGCAGACTAGCATTTAGAACTGAGAGGAGTGCTTTGTGTACACCTTCATTGAACTGTTAGGTGTTGGTCTGTCTCGACGCTATGGGGAGGCACTTTACACGGCATTTTTTTTTTTTTTTTTGGTCTTTTTTTATTGGTACCAGGGATCGAACTCACGACTGCCTGCTTGCAAGGCAGGTGCTTATGCTGCTGAGCTAAATCCCCAGCCCTTTACACGCATTTTATAGGTGAGGAAATAGAGCCACACAATGATGACCTAACCTTTCTTTCAGTGACCCAGTTTCCTTCCGTGTGGCAGGCACTGTGTAAGGGTTTGAGGAGTGTGTAGTGTATTAATTAACTGAGCTCGTGCCTTTGGGAAGCTCAGGTTCTCCTAAGGCGAAGAGATAGGGCTACATCAAGAAGCAGCTCCTGTGTGGAGTGGATGAAGCTGGAAGAGGCTTGTGGGATGCTTAGAAGTGGGTTCAAAGGAGAGTAAGGTGAGAAAGCGGAGACGGTAAGGCTAGGTAATTTTTAGAGGAATTTCGCATCTGAAGAGCAGAGAACTGGGCTGGCAAGGAATGTGAGTGGGAGTGGAGTAGGGAGGAAGGTGTGGAGCAGAGCCCTTGGTACCTGGCATGTTGGCGTCTCTGCAGCACAGCACCAGAGGGACCAGAGATAGGAAGCCCTGAGCAGGGTGGGGCCTGAGCTGTGGCTCCTGGGATCGGCCTTTGGGGAGTGGGTGTTCGGGACCAGGCTGGCTCCTGCTCAAAGGTGTCGTGCTGTGCTGCTGCTTTCAGAATGGAGGCGGCCCGTCCACCAGCAGTCACGTGTGAGACAGTTGGGGAACACAAGTGTGCCGGCGTGATTATGGTGGGTAATAGTAACATTGGGATTGTGAGTAGTTTTTATTTTAAAAGTATCTTTTCAAGTTTGGAGGTATATTTGCAAGTTTTAAGTGGTACGGTGATGAATCTTGGGTTGCCAAGATAAGACTGGGTCTTACATATTTTTGCTCCAAAAGACACAGTAGAACTTGTTTTCAGGGGATGTCTTATTTTTTTTCATGTACAGCACTATATTTTTTCAAGTACAAAATGTACATTTATTCAGATGTGGTTGTGCCTTCTTCTGGAATACGATCCTAACTCTCCAAACCCTGGATTCTGGCCTAAATTTCTTGCAGCTGCGTTTCCTCTCTGATTGCTGACCTGGCCTCTCATGTCCAGGAGAAGAGCTTCCTTCTTGCTCATGTAACCTCCTCACAGTGCATTAGCAACACAGCCGTGCGTGATTCTAACCCGTGCATTCTTCCCCAAGGCATGGCCTCGCAGGCGGCTTTGCAGTGTTCACTGAGGACGTGAGACAGGAGTGGCCGCAAAAATGGTGATGGCCGAGAGTGAGGCTGTGCACAGGAACGGTGCAAAATCGCGGCACCAGAATTCAGAAAACACTTCTTTATTTCACACAGATGTATTAAGTGTGTCCAGTGCCACACAGGATGTATTGAATCAGGAAGAGTCACAGGAGACACAGCCACGTCTGTCTGTCACCTGTGCGTGGTGCCTGCATATTGTGTTTGTATCCGATGGTCACTCAGCAGTAAGGCTTGAGTTCACTTATTTGCATAGGAATTTATTATTCATAGGTGCCTGCTTGAGTATTTACAAATGTTAATTATAATTTGTACTGTCATTGAAGTGTTAATGTCCATGAGAATTATTTATGTTTAACTGTATATGAATGTTATAGCACACTCGCTGTGTGTTGTAGTGGGTGGACTGAATGCATCTGATTGGCTAGTGAAACTAACTGGGTCTTGTTCTAGAGGTATGGCTTATATTTTGAGCACCCTGACATACCATTCTAGGGCTTGTTTTCAGTTAGGTCTTATTTCTGGAAAACTGTGGTACCCTGAAGTGCTCCAGTGTAGATGTAGCTCAGTGGTGAGGTTTTAGGTTTACTCCCAGAACTTTGCCCCCTAAAGGCCCCTCACAAGATTCCAGTCTCCTACTCCTATCTCCCAGAAGCGGGGAAAGATAAACCAAGACCCATAAAGTGATTACTTCGGTTGCTGAGTAAATGATATGGGTTTGTTACATTTTTCTCTGTTGATGTGCATGTTTACCATTTTTCAAAATAAGAATTAAAGCTATGTGGAGATTTGCCGGATGCTGCTGTGTAACCCGGTTAGCGTCATGGATCCTTTTATCAGTGTACGTCTCCCCCATCCAGGTGGCTATCACTGGGCAGCTTGGTGTGAAGCCCCAGACAGGCAACAGCATTCCACTCACAGCCACTAACTTCCGTATCCAGGGTAAGGATGTGCTGCGGCTGCCTCCCTCCTCTATCACCACAGATGCTAAGGGCCAGACGGTTCTGCGAATCACTCCGGACATGATGGCCACGTTGGCCAAGTCCCAGGTTACCACTGTCAAATTGACCCAGGACCTCTTCGGGACAGGAAGTGGCACTGCAGGCAAAGGCATCTCTGCTACCCTACATGTCACCTCCAATCCTGTGCATGCTGCCGAGAGCCCTGCCAGGGCCAGCTCTGCCAGTGCGCCTGCCTCCGCCCCAGCAGGTACCACCGTGGTCAAAGTGACACCTGACCTCAAGCCGACAGAAGCCTCAAGCTCAGCTTTTCGATTGATGCCAGCCTTGGGCATGAGCGTGGCAGATCAGAAGGGAAAAAACACAGTGGCCTCGTCAGAAGCAAAACCAGCTGCCACAATCCGCATCGTGCAGGGCCTGGGTGTGATGCCTCCCAAAGCAGGCCAGACCATCACCGTTGCAGCCCATGCCAAGCCAGGGGCCTCAGTAGCCAGCGGGTCTGGAACTGTCCATTCTCCAGCAGTGTCTTTGCCTAGTATGAGCGCTGCCATGTCCAAGACTGTGGCTGTGGCTTCTGGGGCCACAAGCACCCCCATCAGCATCGGGACAGGAGCCCCCACTGTGCGGCAAGTCCCTGTCGGCACCACAGTTGTGTCCACGTCCCAGGCTGTGAGTAGCATCGGTGTTAAAAAGCAGCCCTCTGCTCAGGGAACTTCTCTGTAGAAGTGGAAATAGAAACCCTATCCGTATGGGCTCATTTGACCCAAATAGATTTGCTGACTGGGAGACTTCGTTGTTGTTTTCTTTTGAAACTTACAAAACTTACAGAAACGTAGTCATGCATGCGTTCTTATAAAATATTAATGGTGCTGGAAGCTCACGGTAAAATGTAGGATTTCTTCCATTGCCACTCCAGTTCTCTCTTCACAAGGGCTAGTCACTGTTGCTAACGTGTCGTTACCCTTCTGGTCCTTTCCCTGAGTGTTTTCATTTGTATACATATAGTTTAAAGGAAAGAAAAGAAAACAAAACCAAACCCTGAGACTTCTGAGAGCTCCTCCCAGCCATATAAAATTGCTTTTTTTTAAAATATCTTGGGAATTGTTCTAGGCTGTACTCAGATAATCCATAGAATGGATTGTACTTCAGGATACCCAGCGCACGGGACAGGCCCTCGTACGTGTGCCTGAACATGTGTGGGTATTCCTGAAGTGGAGACTGATGGCTAGGATGCATCATAAAGGTGCGTGCTCTGAGTGCTTTTGTGCTCCAGTTGCATTGGCACGCGGGCCACATCAACTCACGTGTTGGCCGGGCAGCCTGCTGCCACCTCTGGTAGCAGTCAGGCCTGGTGGGTTCAAGTGGAAAGTTTGTTAACTGTGTTCCTGCCTTTCTGGTGGAAAGCAGTTCTTTGCCAGTGTTGCTTCCTGATCCCCAACGAGGTTGAGCACCTGTTCATGTGGAGCCTGGCCTGTTCTCTAGTGATGTGAAGGCCTTGGCTAGGCTTGCAGTGTTTGGCTTTTTCACGTTGTTGAAGGCAGCGCTTTATAACTGTATATGTATGGAAATGTCTTCTAGTTTGTCTTTTTTTTTTGGCCATACTGAGCATAAAGGAAGGAGGATACACATAATAAAGTAAGCAGACCAGTAACCCTGACCATGGGTTAAAAGGACATTGTTTAGCTTTCTGTATCACACATGAAGAAGGAAAAAAGTAGGGAAACTGCTTTCCTCTCCTTGCTCTTAAATCTCCTGATACAGAAGTCTGCATTGGGGTGTTCTTGTCATGTTCAGTCTAGGCAAACACAGCTGAGAGTATTTGCAGGGGCAGGAAGTAATGGGAAGTGCCTTTTTCCTATCCAGCCACCTAGTTAAGCTAGTTGTAGTAACTGTACTGCTGATCCAGCCTGTCATAAATGCCCTTCAAGAAGGAAATAGTCATGAGTGCATCCCTGTGGAGGCAGCAGCTTGAGGTGTCTCTGCTTGCTGCCATCTGTATGTAATGGGCCAGAGATTGTGAGGCTCTCAGCAGACGTGGTGTGAGCCCCGCAGCAGTGTGCATGCCTGCTGCTTCATAGTTAGTCTCCTGGAGGGAGATGCCACCAGGTTTAATCTGCACCAGATTTCACTGTGTATAAATGTGAAACACTGGGTTTTATAGGAGTTCGGTGGTAGGGCCCTTGCCCAGCATGTCTGAATCCCTGGGTTTGTTCCTCAGCATCACACACAAAAATCCAACCAAGCAAACAAGTGTTAGAAATGAGGCAGCCTGAGAACAGGTGGTGGATGCAATGACAATCTTACTACTCCCAAAACCCCTGAGAGCCTCAGCTTTCTCTGTTTCTCCCGTCTTCCTTGTTTATGGTTTTTCTCGGGCCTGACTAGCTTTGGGGTTGCACTTTCCACTTGATCAAGTTTATTACTAGTGTCCCCAAACTAACCTCTCTCAGTTCTGGGAGAAGCAGAAAGCACCTGGAGAATGTGCTCTGTCCTCCTCCATGTGCTGCCATGTGTGCTCTGCAGTTCTCCCCCGCTGAGCCTGCATTCCTGTGAGGGCTGGTTCTGCACTTGCGCATTAACTCCTGAGCACGCTGTCCTTCTTCCTGTTGGTTTTATCACCGTTCCTGTGCTGCCAGGTACTGGGGAGCACCACGGAGTGCAGGCTGCCCTTGGGCTCAGAACCTGGAAGTGTGCATGAGTGAACACATACTTATCTTTGTGCTTCGGGAACAGGTTTTATCCTAATGAAAGCAGATAGGTGAAGCTGTCCAGTAGGTAGCGTAAAAGGTCACCGGACACCCGAATGGCATGTGAACTGCTTTCTTAGGCTGTCTAAGTCTAAATTCCTGGTAGGAACAGGGGCTAAAAGCAGCCATAGAGCTGGCTGCTCCCTTCTCGTCCTCTCAGGGTGACATTTGGTTTCTCTCATCTCTTGCTATGCCATCAAAACTGGTTGCTCTTTCTTTGTAGGGGAAGCTGCCTACCCGGATCACAGTGCCGCTGTCGGTGATTAGCCAGCCAATGAAGGGCAAGAGCGTGGTCACGGCCCCCATCATCAAAGGCAACCTTGGAGCCAAGTGAGTGCTGCTTGCAGTGAAGGACCCAACTCAGCAGGGCCTGGGGGTGCTTCTAACACCCGACCTTCTCACAGAATGGAAATTTGGCTGTGTTCCTCCCCCCACCCTGCCGTCTCTTTCTCTTTGAGCTCATTAGTAATCTTTATTGAACGTCTGTTACCATTCAAGCTGACATGGTAGAGTAGGGGAGGAATTATTAAAAAAGTAATACATTCAGTGGTAGAAAAGCAAAGGAGAAGGAGCTTGGGAGGTGCAGGACTGGTGATGTGGGCTTTGGTTGGACTAAGGAGCCTCCCCTCGGACAGGTGACAGTTTCCTGTGTCCCTGACTTAGAAACAAAGAGCATGGTGAGATGAGTCCAGCGGTCTCAAGCGTGTGTGAAGAAGCCATTGGGCAGGGGCTCTTTCTCTTCTGAAGAGATAGCAGGCCCAGAACTTCTAGGCTCAAGCAGTCCTTCTGCTTCGGTCTCTTGCGTAGCTGGGGCCGCAGGTGTGTTCCACTGGGGTGAGCCAGGGAGGGGCGCCTTGTCCGGAGCACGCTTTCGGGGCCTTGCTTTACTGCTGCTTAGTAAGGCGCAGAGCCTTGGGCTATGAATACACTGGGGGCTCCTGCAGTGAGAGGCAGAGGCAGAAAGAAGATGGTCTCAATGCTGCTTCCAGTTGAACCCAGAAGGCTGGAATTTCACGAGGCACTGGCCCTCCCTGTTGACCCCAGTCATGTGCTGGGCCTGGGCTGGAGGAACACCCTGTGATGCAGTTTCCCCTACATCTGCTTTCCCTCTGCAGCCTCAGTGGCTTGGGCCGCAATATCATTCTCACAACCATGCCAGCAGGTACCAAGCTCATCGCTGGCAACAAACCTGTCAGCTTCCTCACTGCACAGCAGCTACAGCAGCTTCAGCAGCAAGGTCAGGCCACACAGGTAAGGCTGAGGCAGCGCTGCATGGTCCAGTGTTTCCTGCAGTTACTCTCAGGTCCCTAACTGGTAGGTGCATCTGCCGTCTGCCGATCAGGTCTTCTGTCTCTCCAACAGGTGCGCATCCAGACTGTTCCCGCCTCCCACCTCCAGCAGGGCACAGCAGCTGGTTCCTCCAAAGCTGTCTCCACTGTTGTGGTGACCACTGCTCCATCTCCTAAACAGGCACCTGAACAGCAATGACTGAGAGTGGCTTCCATAAGGGAGCACACCTGATCTGTTCTGGCTGGAAGGCAGGCAGCAGGGGACTGTGTCTGCCCCGAGCTGGTCTGTCTGAGGCAGGCCAGCGGGAAGAGGAAGGCGAGAATGGCCTGGGTTCTGCTGCTGTGCTCCAGGTCAAACCCCAGCTCGGGCTGACTGCCTTGCACCAGTCCAGGGGAAGGTTCCGGTAGAGTGGGGAGATCCCGGTTCCAGCATAGAAGCCAAAGTTCTCTCCTGAGAGTAGGGAAGGCTTACAGGGTGGGCAGGCAGTGAATGAGCCTCGTTGGACATGACAGCTGTATTTTTTAGCCTCTGGTCTTTATGACTTGAGGTCTTGATATGAGATTTGTGTCCAGAAAATTTTATGTAACTTATTTTTTTAAAGAATCTATCGTACATCTTTGTCAAATAGAAGCCTGGGCTCTAGGGCTGCCTGTACCCCGAGCTGATAAGTTACTCTTTTGGCTAGAATGAGAAAATAGCAAGAAGTTTGTTAAGTTGGTATAATTGCAAGGCTGTGAGGTGGGAAACTGTGAAGTGAGGTGGTGCGGGTTCCCTGAAGCAGGATTAGTTTGGCCCTGCCTCTTGAAGAGGCTTGGAACTAATCATGGTCCCTGCTTTTATGCTCCAACACGGACTGCGGAAGAGCCATTCACACGAAGCCCAGAGCCGTGGAACGGGCAGAGGAGTGACAGCAGGATGCTGCTTTTGTAGTACAGACTTGTGTGAGTTCAGACGTTTGTACGTTCTGTTTTTCTGTAGAGCAGGAGTCACGTATTAGACCACTGGCACAGGCCACCAGTTTCTGTAAACAAAACTGTCCTCATCCATTTAGATAGTATTTATGATGCCTTCAAATAGAGGGCAGAATTAATGGAGGCTATAGGGCCTGAATGGCCCTCAGACCCCTACGGTTTCTTCTGTAGCCCTTCGAGAATAAACCTGGTTGACCTCTGCTCCACAGGGTATTGGCAGAGGAGAGTGGTCAGAGGTGCAGGGTCGGGTGTGGCCTGGCAGTTCTACTGCACGAGAGGTCAGGCTGGCCTGGAAGCTGTTTCTTGCTGGCTGCTTTCCACTTTTCAGCCTGTGGGCCGCTGTAGGCAGAGCTTGGGACAAGGTCTGAGCCCTGAGTACAGGTGGCACTAGTGAATGGGTTCGTTGTGTGGCAGAGGTGGATGGGCAGACTTTTCTGCAGTGACAGGATTTCCCTATCTCAAAAATGTCCAAATTATTAAAACTTTGCCTTTAATCCATGAACCTGTAGTGATTATCTTTTGTGGGGTCAGAGGGGAGCTAAGTGGGAATGGGTGATTCGGATGGTGCTGGCCTGGAGGTGGGTGACTGGGCAGGTGGCAGAGGAGGGTTTGAGTGACTTGTTGGTTGCCCCAGCGTTCTACCATTTAATTTGGTTCTTAAATCCTGTTACATAGGGCTGGGCATGTGGCTCAGTGGTAGAGCTCTTGCACGAGGCCCTGGATTTAATCCCTAGCATCACCAAAAAAAAAAAAAAATCTGTCAAATAGATGTCGTCGTCTTCGGCTAACTGTGAAGATGTGTCTGAGTTGAAGAAGAGAACAAGATGAGAATCCGGGTTCCTGATCCTACATTCCCTTTCTGCTGCCTTCTGAGGGAGGTGGCTGGGATACTGCGGTGAGCTTTGGGGTGGTGAGGTTGGGAGGTAGAAAGGTCCGTTCCATGGAGCAGGGATGATGAGCTAAGAGGGAACTCCTGATGGGTAGAGAAGACTGGCCTGGAATAAGCCTGGGGAGGGTGGGAGACGGGACTGAAGCGAGGGGAACGGCCTTTCACCCGAGGGCGGGAGAGCTTGTGTGTGTTTTATAGTGCTCAGATTTGCACATAATTGTTAATTTCCAGAGGCATTTTCACATAAAAGCCATGTGACTATTTCTAAACAAGACACAGAAATTTGAGGTATCCTGTCTCAGATATTGCTACAAGTTAAAAACAAACCCCTCTGAATGTGTTTAACAAAGTATCCCACACAAAAGTAGCTCTGGCATTCAGCCCAGCCCTACCTCACACCTCTGCGTGCTGAAGTCACGGGGCTGCCGGTCCTCTTGAGAACAGGAGGCCACGTGCAGCCTGCTTTAGGCCATTAGTGTGGGGCTGTTCCCAGAGATGGCACCAGTGTTGGCACACACATGCGTCTTTTGAGCAGACTCCGGGGCTCCAAGCTTTGGGGCTGTGTGCAGGGCAGTTCCTGTCGAGCTGTTGGTGGCAGTCACTGAGCAATGAAGCTTCCGATTGGCAGATGTTACTAAAATTATTCAGACCACACACTGAAGGCAGGATTCGATGACTACTTTAATAGCATATTTAAGCGTATTTATGCCGGGTCGGGCACTGCCATGATGATATCCCAAACCAGGCTGTGTGAAGGACACCAAAAGAAATTTTAATAGTTTATACTTTAGTCTTTAACTTGGAGAATACATTAAAGTATTTTGCACTTAAGAAATCTCACATGTGCATCTTTTCTGTGACAGTAAGGCAGAGAATAGGTTTACTTTGCTACCTCTGTTGCTAAGGAAAGCACACTTTGGATCACCTTTAATAATAGGTCCCCGGTACTATTTGCTTGGATGTTTGAGTTCCTGCTCAGCTGAGGAATTGAGCTAGATCCTGAAAGGGGAGTTCTATAATAATAAGTTAATAATGTTCAGCAGCTCATTCTTAACCCCTAAGCTGTGTTTCAGCTCTGGAAGTCTGACTGCTTATTCCTGTAAGTACAGTTTTCCTTCTAGAGGGTGTGCAGAGCTTTGTGTAAATGCTGCTGGACTTGCATGATGTAGGGTGGGATGGTGAGAAAGACTGGATGGTCCAGTCACTGGATGGTCCAGTCAGACTAGAGACTGGCTTTGCCATGTGGTAGCTGTGTACCTTTAACTAACCAGCATCTGGGGGACCCTGTGTGCTTAGGGTGTCGGCAATGATCAGTGCCAGGTGAGTTAGAGTGCGTCTCACATGGAGAAGCGCCGTGCACCTAGAAGGGACCCTCTGGTTTCCCTCACCTTGTGCTGACCCACTTTTCTCCACTTACATACAGAACACATCTCAGTCCCCATGACCGCTCATACCTCTGGTGCTTCCCTGGAAAGTGCCTTTGCCTTCCGGATGGCAGACTCGTCCCTTCCTTCCTCTTGTGGTTTGCACTTAGCATTCACAGAGCCCATCACTGAATATAACTGCCTGGAAATTTCGCCCTAATAGCAGTCTCAGCTCCTTTCTGAACTCATACTGGATTAATTCTTAGAGCCATTTCAGTGCTGGGGAAAAGTGTTTTAATAGATTCTTACATGTAATAAATTATAAATTATTATGTGTAATAAAATCTTCCTTTTGAAGGAATAAAGAAAAAACAGACCCAGAATCAAGACTTAAATTACTAATTCAGAATCCATAGTCTTTGCTTTCAGCTGTGTTAAAGCCCAAGCTCTATGTAACCTGACGTCGTTTTTGCTACCTTATTACCCAGATTCCTGTTTACCTCCTATGTGCCTCCTGTGTTAGGGAAGCTTTGCAAAGTCAGGACAGCAGATTCCAGCTCTCAGGTCGGCTGCTAAGTAGCTTCCTGATTAAAAAAATTACCTTTGGCCTCGTTCTGTACCTTATTAACAGTGGAACTGCAGTGTTCTGATATGATTAGTTAGATAATATTTAACAACATTTATGATACCAAAGTCTGAATAGCGTTTGTTTTTTAAAAAATACCAAAGTTAGAATTACAGTTCTAAGCCAAAGGCACTGCTGTTCACATAGCTCCTAATGTCTTTTTGACAAGAAAGTACCTACTTTGGAGAAAAAGAGGCAGATTATCAAAAGCAGCATGATGTCCTGTCGGATTCGTACCCTCTTTGGTCCAGAAAATAATTTACTAGTTTAGATTTTCAGTCTAGTTTCTGTGCATGGAGACACACAGGCTTGCTGCTTAGAGGTGGCACTTCGTTTTTCGTTATGAAGGGTATTAAACAGTCTTAAGTTATGATTCAAAAACCCAAGCAGCAAGATACACAGTTTTGTCTATGAGAGCCTCCAACTTCGTATTAAGTGAGGAGGTGCAAAGATACAGTGCTGTAGGAGCAATCCAAGGCGGGCCTCAGAGCCAGGGACAGGAGCCTTAGGCACTTAGCCTCGGGGCTCAGCGGGATGGGTGGCCCCCTCTCATTCCTCATCCGAGCCACTCAGAAGGGCAGTCTGGTACGTGTGATCGGGCTTCAGCTTCTGAATCCCAATAATCTCTCCTCCTCCAGGTCGCCTCACCCGAGTCAGAATGCTGTGATAAATCATAAGAACCAGTTAGACCAGCCAGAACAGTCTCTGGTTCCCTCACTGGAGGACCATCTATTGATCCTTCTGTGTGTCCGTATTCACTGTTGTGATTAGAGGTTTACACACCTGACTTACCAGTGTTTTCTTTTTCAGTAATAAAGGGACTCATGGTAATGAATGTTTAATCATTGAGACTAAATTCAGGTCCACTGCCACCCAGTTTGCTGTCGTTGGCCAGAGAGAACTGAGAGAAGCCTTGGCCTTAGTCTGTTCTGTTGGTCTGCGCAAGAATTTAGGTGAAGGGTGTCTGCTCTGAGTCTGGGGAAGTAAGGCAGTTCCAGGGCGGTAGAACCGTAACTCCACGTGGTAAAAGTGACCTTGTGCAGCAAGGTGCTGCCATTTACTAGGTGGGTGACCTAGGTTAATCACTCAGCCTGCTGCACACTTGGTTTCTCCTGCTGTAAAACTTTAACAGGACATCATAAAACGGAGAGGACAGAATGGGTCATATGGGCTGCAGTGCCTGGCACAGTGCATGCCTGGGAAGTAATCGTCGTTTCAGTCTCCACCCTGCTGACAAGCACTTCGAAGAGCCCTTTCTGCTCTGGCTGTCGTGGTAGATTTCTAAGGAGAGGGCAAGGCAGGCGCAGAGGTCACTGATGGGCCCAGGAGGAAGTGGCAGAACAGGGTCTATACATTGGCGCTGATTGCAGCTCAGTTTCCCCCAGTTTCACCGCAGGTTTAAAAGTTGGCTGGGACTCACATCATTAACTGCACCAAGCCTCATTACCCACACTTGAAAATGCGGCGTGGAGACCTGTAACTGTAGTGTCCTCCTCAAAGTTGGATGTGTCATTAGCACATATTAAACGTGGACCTAGGATGGAAAACCTCCCCTCAGCCATACCAGTAAACGAGAGAGTAGTTCAGGGCCACAATGCAGAGGGCAAGCAGGTAGTGCCAGCAGTAGCACATGGTGATGAACATGATGTTGTCCATGTCATTCTGGTCCCATTCAGGTGTCCCAAAAGGAGGAAAGAGCACAAATCCAATCTGGTGGGTTAAATGGAGAGATTGGTTTTGTGGTTAGTTGTGCTAAGAAGCAGCCTGGGCTTCTTCCATGGCCACCAGTGTGGCTCGCACCCTGCCTAACTCCCTCACACAGCAGAAGCTCAGGGCCTGTGTTTCATGCGGGCAGTTTAGTAAGATGGTCCCATATCAGGCAGTGGTGCTTGCCATGTAAGGTACACAGGTTCTTGTTTATGCACCAGCAGGACATTAATGGAGAAGTGGACACGAGGAGAATAAAAAGGCCATCTAAACCCATTCCTGTGCCTGTGTTTTCAGACATCATGTCACCCTGAGGACTTCCCCTGGGCATGTGCAAAGGCCCTATGGAGACCATTGGTGGGAGTATTCACCTGCCAGAACCAGGTTCCCTGGAAGATGAGGATGCTGGTTCGGAATAGTTCCAGCACAATGTTGTCCCGAAAGATCACCTCTAGGGCTATACTGATACTTGCTCCAAACAAAGCAAACAGCAGGAGTGAATGGATGTGTTTGTCCAGCGGAGGTCTGTCATGAACATGGTAGTAGAAGAGAAAACCTACAGTGAACCAAAGGACACTCATCAGAGACTTGCTTTTTTCCACTTGCAGATGATTACCCTGGGCTGTTCGACTATTGGGATTTCCTCCTATCCCTGTCTCAAGGCTAGGTTCTTTAGCATTTGGGAAGTCAGTTTATGTAACATTGCAAGGCAACAAACAGATGCATGTAATTTTGTGGGTATAAAGACTAGCAGAAAACGTAACTTCTGAGTATCTACAGAATCCATGGTAGGAGTCTGACTTTATAGTCTACAGCAGGTATTTCATTATAAGGACAGAAGCTGACTAGTACAGTGGGTCTCCTAAGATTTGTCTTGGAGGCTGGACAGTAACACTGCAGGGTGTGAGCTGTAGAGTTTTTCTTCCAAACCAAAAGGGCTACTCTCCCACTTCCCGGAGCATTGAGCCACTTCTGTGAAGGTCCTTGTGACTGCTTTATTTGTGAACGTTTGTACTCTGATCCTCATACATTGTGTATGTCTCTCTATTACCTTCAATAAAGACTGCCATCGCCAAAACCAATCTGTCCACACCCAAGGGGATGTGAGCGATGAGGAGGGTGAGCATGTCAATGATTCCTGAGACTCCGAAGAACAAGTACATGGTTGTGTGCTGCCAGTTCATTAGTTTTACCCAGTGGTTCTCATGGTAGAGGTGGAGATGGGGCCCATCAGGAACAAACTGCTCTGCCAAGATCCCTACAGAAAAACGGGCAGAAAGTGAAGAGGGAAGACCAAGTAGCTTTGAGACAAATAGGAGACAGAAAAGAAAACAAACAGCATAAACAGAGTCCAGATGCGGTGATGGTGGCCCACAGGTCGGCGCGCTTACTATGCTACCTCAGGTGCAGCTACTTCAATATAGAAAAGGTATTTGCGGGGTGATCTGTGTAGACACCTGGCTGATGTTGTTCCACTGGGGGGTTGGAGACGGGAAAAAAGCTATAGAAACAGCCACACACAGCTCCCCAGGGCGTTTAGCCAGCAGCAGAGATGAAAACAAGGCATCGTTACTCAGTGACAGTGGCTGGTACAGCTTTGGGCTGTCCTGCCAAGTGAGCAGTTAAAGTGTTGCTGGGAAGGACAGTGAGACTGAATGCAGAACCTGAACACTGATGGGAGAGGGGACTCTATCAGGGCAGACTTCAGAGAGCGCCCTTCCTTGGTCAGAGCAAGCTTGGAACTGAATTCCTCCGGAGGGCACAAAAACTGGAGGCAGACCCATACTGCATACAAGGAGAGGCGAGTCAAGCCAGCTGCAAAGAGCTGCACCTTGGGGTGGCTCTCCGGTGTCCCTTCTACTCGCATGACCTCTTCGGGAAAGGCAGAAGGTTTGCCTTCATGCTGGGTGTTCAGAATGTTGGGGAAGGGGGCCCAGAATCTTTAATTCATCTATTTCATGGGATCCAGAAAATGCATTAAAGTTTCTGTGTGTAATGGGAAGATTTCCCTAGATCAAAAAACCCATGCTTACCAATGGCTGAGAACAGAGTCTTGATCGTGGCTTCAATGAGCTCAAGACGCTGCTGAAGGTGGTCCAGTTTGTTCTTCTTCCCTCTTTGGTGAAAGTACTTCAGCGGGTACTTCACTGACCACCACAGGCCAATTATCAAGAAGAAGCTCCCCGGGAGGGCGTGGCCCTTGAAGTTTGCCATCCTCACTCTAGGACACAGAAGTTGCGGTCAGCTGTTAGCGGGCTATGTGAAGTGTATCTTTTGGCAGGAAACAGCATGTCCCTGAGGGTGTCAGAGCCTAAGCATCAAGGAAGAGCTCTCATTTTCATGAGCCTTTCTGAGCTGTTGTTGAAATCCTGCAAGTGAGAAACATGATGGAGAGCTACTGCTGCTTACAAGGCTGAGGAAGAGGTGATTGAGACAGGAGGCCTTCGTTGTGAGAGGGCCCAGGGGCCCTAAAAGGAGGCTTGGTAGAGGGAGTTGGCCTGGGCCATGAGAGAATTCAGCCTCAGCAGATACCAGATGCTGGCACCTGACCTTAAACTTCTTTTTCTTAAAAAAATGTTTTTATTGGTTCATGTTTGCGGTGCATAATGACTGCAAAACACACACTGCCCTCATCTCCTGGTTCCTTTTATTTTGTTTTTGTTTTTGTTATGTTGTTTTTTTGGGGACAGGGTCTTGCTATGCAGTTCAGGCTGGCCTCAGACTCACAGTGATCTTCCCTATCTTCCCCACCTCAACCTCTCAAGTGCTGGGATTACTAACATGCTGCCACAACCGGCTTCTGTTTTCTTTGAGACACTGTAGATCAGGCTGAATTTGAACTCACTTATGTAGTCCAAATTGGCCTTGAATTTGTGGCAACCTTCCTGCCTCAGCCTCCCCAGGATCTGTTTTATTAGTTCTGGGATTACAGGCATACACCCTCATACCTGGCCTCCCTTTTGTGAAAGATCTCCCTATCTCCTAGAGTCTATTTTTTGTCTTGCCCTTTATATTTTGGTTTTTCAAGTAAGAGGAACCATGAAATATTTAAGCTTGTAATCTCTGATTTACTTCACTTACCATCATGGTCTCAACGTGCTTCCAAATGACTCAAGTTTATCTTTATTGCAAAGTATTACTCTATATAAATCCACATCTTCATCTATTGATGGACTGCTTCCAAGATTTCGCTATTAGGAATTGTGTGGTTATAAATATGGTTATATGTGTAATACAGTGGGGTTTAAATTATTTCAGGAAGACACATAGCCAGGTTGAATGGAATTTCTATTTTTACTGTTTTAAGGACTCTCCATATTGATTTCCATAATTCTTGTATTACTTTATACTCCCACCAACAATGCAGAGGGATTCTTTCCCCCCACAGCCTTACCTGTATGTTATTTTATTTCTTGAAGATAGCCATTCTTTCTGGGATAAGATAGAATCTCAATGTTGTTTTAATTTGCGTGTTTCTCTAATGGCCAGTGAACATTTTGTTATGTATTTATTGGCCACTTGTACTTCTGGGATGTGTTGATTTTTTTTTTTATTTTAAAAAGCAAAACAGAAAAAGAAGGATAGAAATGATACAGAATTTCAACTGTTTTTTGGTGACCTAAGAGAGATTAGTAGTACAGTTATCTATGTAGCACAAAGAGATAAAGACATTTATACATTTAGCAACATAGAACCTTTTCCTTTCCCCTATCCTAGTTGTTCTGTCCTTTTGAGCACTTTCTTTCCTTTTCATTGTTACAATATCTGTTGTACATTTTGGATATTACTCTTTCAGATTTTTATTTTTTTATAGTAGGGAAACAATATATTTATAAATGTGAGTTTGATTTATTTCACTTATGACTATGGTCTCAAGTTGCCTCCATTTACCTACAAAGCCTCAAGATCATCCTTTTTATAGCTGAGTAATATTCCACTGTATAAAAATACCACATCTTTTTTATCTGTTGTGTGTTTGATGGGCATTTTGGTTGTTTCCAAGATTTACCTATTACATGTTGTGCTGCTATAAACATGGGTGCACATATATCGCTGTGGTTTTTAGTAAGAAGAGATCCCAGTTATTGATTTAGGGAATTACTTTCCACTTACTTTGAGTTTTGTTCATGAACTCTTTGTCTATCCCTATGTCTCCAAGATTTCTACTTACCTTGTCTTCCAGTAGATTTAGTGTTTCTGTTTTAATATTTAGGTCTTTGATCCATTTTGACTTTAGTTGAATGCATGGTGATAAACATGGGTCTAGTTTCAGTCTTCGGCATGTGGAAAGCCAATTTTCCCAATACTTATTTATAAAGAGGCCATCCTTCCAGTGAGATAAGGTGGCTGAGTGTGTGTCTGCATCTTCTAATTGTTCCATTGATTGTCTGTTTTTTTTTTTTTTTTTTTTTTTTTTTTGCCAGTACTGTGCTGATTTTATCACTGTAACTTTGTAGTATAATTTCAAGTTAGGGATAGTGATGTCTCCTGCCTTGCCTTTGTTGCCCATGATTGCCTTTGCTATTCTAGGTCTCTTCGGTTTCCAAATGAATTTTAGGAGTGTTTTCTCTAGATCTATGAGGTATGCCAATGGCATTTTGATCTGAATTTCATTAAATCTGTGTAACAGTTTTGAGAGTATGGCCATTTTCACAATGTTGGTTTTTCCTAACCAAAAGCAAGGAATATCTTTCCATTTTCTGACATCTTCAATCTAATTCTTAAGAGTACTATAGTTTTCAATGTATAGGTCTTTTACATCCTTTGTTATGTTGATTCCTAAGTATTTCATTGTTTTGGATGCTATTGTGAAAGGTATCATTTCCATAATTTCTCTCTCAGTAAGTTTTTTGTTTGTATATAGGAATGCTATTGATTTTTGAGTGTTGACTTTGTATCCAGCTATACTGCTGTTTGCTTATTAGCTCTAGTAGTCTTTTGATAGAGTTTTTGAGATCTTCTATGTAGAGTATCATGTCATCTGCAAATAGTGATAATTTAACTTCTTCCTTTCCTATCCTTATTTCTTTTATTTCTCTCTTGTCTATTTGCTCTGGCTAATGTTTCCAAAACTATATGGAATAGGAGCGGTGATAGTGGACATCCTTGTCTTATTCCTGATTTTAGAGTGAAAGTTTTCCGTTTTTGTCCATTTAATAAAATGTTGGCTGTTGGTTTGTCATAGATGGCTTTTATCAGATTGAAGTAGATGCCATCTATTCCAAGTTTCTGTAGGGTTTTTATCATGAACAAGTATTAAACTTTATCAAAAGCTTTTTTTATGTCTATTGAGATGATCATGTGATTTTTGTCTTTGGTTCTGTTGATGTGGTGTATTACATTTATTGATTTGTATATGTTAAACAATCCCTGCATTCTTAGGATAAATCTCACTTGGTCATGATGTATAATCTTCTTGACGATTTGCTGCATTCTATTTGCCAGTATTTTATTGAGAATTTTTGCATTGGTGTTCATTAGAGAGACTGGCCTATAGTTCTCCTTTTTGGTTAGGTCTTTCTCTAGTTTTGGTATCAGAGTAATACTTGCCTCCAGGAATGAGTTAGGAAGAATTGCTTCCCTTTCAATTTCATTGAAACGTTTGAAGAGTATTGGCATTAAATCTTCTCTAAATTTCTAAATTGATGTTTGATCTTTTGTGTCCAGTAGCATTCATGATACAAAATTAGGTGTGCATTATGTTTATAACTGTTTTCTATTGATGTTAAATTGTTCTCATAACCAATATATAGTGATCTTCTTTGTCTCTTTTGATCAGTTCTGGCTTAAAGTCAATTTTGTCTGAATATAGGATATCTATTTCTGCTTGTTTTCAGGTTCCCATTGCATGGAATATTGTTTTCCTGTCTTTTTTTCTTTTTTCTTTTGGTGCTGAGAATTGAACTTGCCAGGCAGTTACTGTGCTGCTGAGCTACATCCCCGGCCACATCCTTTCATTTTTTAGCTTATGAATTTGTGTTTGGATTAGATGTGTTTCTTGCATACAGCATATCATTGGTATTGTTTCTTGATCCATTCTCCAATCCACATGTTTTGGTTGGGAAATTAAGACCATTTAAATTGAGAGTCACCACTGAAAAATTTTGATGTATTTCTGTCACTGCATTATTTTTCTGTTGCTATTGTCTTTGTTTTCTTTTTGTTTAACTGCCACTTTCCTGATTTATATATTCCATTAGGCCTTGTGGCATTGTTGGCTTTATTGTCTCTTTCTAGGATATCTTTGGAAGTTTTTGGAGTCTAGATTTGGTGATCATGAATTTCTTAAGGTGCACATTGTCTTGGAAAGACCTTATTTCTCCATAAAGTTTGAAAGACAGTTTTGCAGGATACATAAATCTGGATGGGAAGGTTTTTTTTTTTTTCTTTTCTTTTACTTTTTTGTTTTTTTTGAGACCATTTCTCTCCATGTAGTACAGCCTGGCCTTGAGCTCACTATGGAGCTCAGGATGGCCTCAAACTCTGGGCAATCCTCCTTCCTCAGCCTCCCAAATGCTGGAATTACAGCCATGTACCACTGTGCTTACCAGAAGTTGTTTTCTTTTAGGGCTTGAAATACTTTACCCCATGTTCTTCAGCTCTTTAAGGTCTGTATTGAGAAGTCTGTTGTAATTCTAATGAGGTTATCTTTATAAGTGATGTGGTACTTTTCTCTTACAGATTTTAAGATTAGGTCCTTGTGTTGCACTTTGGGGATTTTGACTATGATATGTCTTCAAGGGGCTCTTTGCTGATTGTGGCTGTTTGGAATTTCCCCGTATTTGGAAAGTTTTCTGCTATTATTCCTATAAACTGTTTTTAAATGCCATTTGTGCTGTCTTCTGATTTTTCATCAATTCTTACTAATCCTGCATGAATCTTTGGTTTGTCTATCAGCTGCTGGGTCCATTTTTCGTATCTTGTGTTTTTAAGGTACCCAAACAGTTGGTCTCTGGCAGACGCCCTGTCTTCTACTTCTGACACTCACCTCACTTTGGTTGGTTCTGTTGCTTGTACTTTCAAAAGAATTTTTAATCTCTGGAGCTCCTGTTTGTGCTTTTTCATGAACTTTAATTCTTTGCTAATTCGTGTTTTGTACTGTTTTACCTCAGCTCTTTACAGTGTCACTTGTAAATCTGCCAATCATTTTATTAAGTCCATTATATGTTTAGTTATTCCTTCGTGGAGCTTGGTGAGCACTTAATGATTTTTTCCCCCTGTCTCTTCTGTCATCCTTTCAAAAAATTCAGTTGTGTGACTTTCTCCCCCTTGATTCCCCATGGGTCAGCTTTGTAGGAGTCAGAATTTTGGGGTTATTTTGTTGCCTTGTCTTCTCATGTTTCTGGGGGTTTTTGTGCTGAGGTTCACGGGTTGATTATAGTGGAAGACTTCGCTGCCATCAGGGAGACCTCTTTAGTTACTATCTGCGCTCCGCTATCTGCATGGCTACCTTTGCTTCTGTCCCAACATCCACCCCCCTCTGTTTATTTGGGAGAGAAGCCTGCAGAGCATCCAGCTCAGGACCCAGTTCTCCGGGCACAGGCCATTGTGCTGTTAATGCCATGAAGACAATCCGGAGATTGGCATACGGAGAGCAACTGTGCCACCTCGGCAGAGGCAATAAAGTCGGCGACAGAAATAGCATCAGTGACGAACTGTGTGTTGACATACCCTAAGAATAGGGATTTGTAATTATAGTATAAACACTCAGACCAGCCAGACACTGACACTGACATATAGTTTAGCCGCTATATACCTCATTCACAGCAGGACAGTATCCAAGGTAATAGCATGGAGTTAGTTGTGTAAAGACTCAGAAAGCTTAATAGATATGCAGGTAGCGATAAAGGAGGCGAGGAACTGGAGAATGAAAAGAGTAGGATTTGAAAAATCAATCAATGGAAAATGAGGAGAAAACAGAAAAATAAAGGGTCCTACTGAGGAGTGAAAGAAAATTAATAGTATTAGATAAAAGCAGAAAAGAACGAAGAAAAAGAGCAAAATAGTAAGGAAAAGAACTAAAAGAAGAATAAAAGGGAAAAAAGTGAGAGAAAAAAACCTAAACTTAAAAACAAAAAACACAACCATAACCAATGAAAGAAGAAAAGAAACAGTGAGTTAAAAATATTCCTCTTTTGGAATGAGTGTCTTTCCAGGTTCCACAGTCTTGGAATTCAGCAAGTCATGGTTTTCTGTGCCTATCTTTGTGGCCTCACCCCCACTGTACCATGCTCCAGAGGCCCTCGTGTCCATACGTTCCAGCCAGGCTAAGGTGTGCAGGCGCTCATGTTGGTAGAGACCCCTGGCCTCTGCTGAGTGTAGGCGGTGGGCAGGGAGCCAGGCAGTCTGCTAGACTTAAGGCCACTGCTTTCAGATTCGGTCACCTCTGCTGGTCACACTCGCCAGCCGGAGATCTCACCATGGAGACCAGGCCCACGGCCTCCTCCGTCTGAGGGTCAGCTCCTCGGGGATCTGTCTAACCTGCTCCCTATCCACCCTGTGTCCTCTGGGTGTTTCTTACCCAGGTACAATGCAGGAAACCCTGAAGTGGGATGGTTCTGCCACTGATCTTCCCCTCAGTCTCAGGAAGCCCTCCCTGAATGGCGCCTGTTTAAACCCTGTCTGTTCAGCCAGTGGGCGCTGCACTGGGTTTCTTCTCCAACTCTAGCCTGCTATGGAGTCTCTTGGAGGAAAAACCTCAGGCTGCTTTTGCAGTTTACAATGGTTGTGGGCTTTCCTGGGGGCCAGTGCTGCAGACCAGGCTATTTCTCCCTGGAGCTGTAGCCTCTGTGGGGCTCACCTTCTCCCACGGGGTGTCGGCCTTGTCCACGATCAGGTCCGTTGGTTGATGGTGCCTCTACCGCCTGGGCTGAGGGGAAACAAAACACAGAGTGGGCTTGGAGTCGGGGTGCTGCAGGCAAGGCATGGAACCCCCAGATGTGGAATTGGCGAAAGGCAAACACCACAGCAGGTACAAGTTCTTTCTGATCTTAGGCTTCCTTCTTCTAGGACTGTGAAAAATGTCCACTGTTTATAAACGACCCAGTCAGTTGTATTCTGTCACAGAAGAGAAGACAGACCACAGCGGTGATCTAAAAAAGAGCCCTAAGAACATAAAGCACCTGTGATCTACACAGCTGCTGGTTCAGACAAATACGGTGAATGTATTTTTCTGAAGTTTGTTCTCGTGGAGGGAGCAAATGGCAGAATAAAGCTGCTTGGCTCAACAAAGCTGGTGGCTGGGAAGCAGAGAGACAGGAGTAGGCCAAGGTCCCAATATCCCCTTCAGGGGTGCACACCCAGTGACCTTCCTTCTGCTAGGACATTTCCAGAAGGTCACACTACCCTGAAGAGCACCCTAGGCAAGCAGCCAAGACTTCAGTATCAGGTTGTCTGGGTACCTTGAAGTCTAAACTCACATGACAGGCTCTGCATGCCTGCTGTGGCATGTGTATTGTGGGTTATAAGCCAACAGGATTGCAATTACTAATCTAAACAATTTCATATTGCAAAGAATGAATATATGTAAAATGCTCCTAGCCTTACCATGGAGATAAATATATATATATATATATATACACATACATATGTGTGTATAAACTGTATATATAGTTTCTTAGATAGCTAGGGATACCTGGAGAAGTTATTTCAACCCTTCTGTAACTTTCTTATTTCCAGGATCTCCTGGTTGAACTTCTCACTAGTCTGATGCTTGCCCCAGGTAGGCCTGCAGCCTTAGGCTAGCCAAGCTGTTGGTTTTCCCTGCTTATTTCCAAATGTAGTCATTCCTACACTAACCAGCAAAGCTGAGGATCTCCAAGGCTTCAGTATTATCACTCTGAGTCCGGTCTTTCTGTGGCAGTGAAGCTCCTGTTGTCCTAGCCAGCTCCCTGTTAGAAGACTCAGACTGAGCAAGGGAGCAGTGGGAGTAGCCCTGGCTGTTCTAGAGGGAGATCTAGCTTTCCAAGAATAACTGCTTCTCAGTTCTTTTGTTCGCATTTGGTCAATTTCTAATTCCATGAAATGGTTGGTTTTGACAGCTTTGTCTATCTTTATATGTCTTTTTCAGTTTTTGCAGAAATTGTCTGCCTCTTAATGCTGCCATAACTGGAGGGCCCTTTTCTCATTCTTTTGAAACTCTCTTTAAATCAGTGTAAAAATATCTCTACTTTTAATGTGCAACACAGAAAAAGCCTGTTGCATTCCTTTGTTCTCCCAGCCACAAAGTGCAGAAAAACCAGCTTTGCAAATGTCTGTGAAGCTTTGCGAGGGCCAGCTGGTGCCTCCTCTTGCTTTTCCTCAGGTTTCTGAACAGTGGTAAGTAAAGAATGAGACCTTGTGTGATTCCGGTTTGTCAAGCTCCATCCTTCCCCTTCACCTGGTCTAAAATTCACAGCAGAGGATAACATGGCCTGCAGCATGTCTGCACAAAAGTCTTTTAAATTTACTGTTCTAATACACTGTACTACATGGAAGTCTGAGTACCTTGATTTGATGGAAGAAAGAGATAGAGGAGGTAATTTTTTCCACTCCCAAATTAATGGATTAGTTCATTATATTAGGTACATTATGGAATACGATTGGTAGATACAGACAGATATATCATAGGTCAGTGTTAGTACAAGGAGAAACCAAGAAACAACTTACTTTCAATAGAACAATAAAAGTTTAGACTTCTAATAATTTGGATAACCAAAGAATCTACAAAGCCCAGAAGTCCAGCTTCAAAAATGATTGAAATAAACTATTTTTTAAAGTAAATATTAAGTAAATACTTAAGTGATTTGCTTCCTGATAAATACAGTGTAGTCTTTACACACTAAAACCTTCTAATCTAATGAAAAAAACCACAAAGCATCACAAAAACTGGGGAGCTGGCTTTTATGGCAGAAGGAGGCGAAACAGCCAGTTTTCCCATTTGCGGTGACAGCGTACAAAACTGAACCAGACATTCTGCCTACTGAATAAATTATATTTTATCATCACTATGTAATACCATGTAACCACTACAAAGACTGAATTAGATCTCTATCAACTATACTGAGTGGTTTCTTATGAGTTATTGTTGGCAGTATTGTAGGCAGGGGTTACAAGGAGAACAATTAAGTACAGGACACATCATTTGTAGTACTATTTATAATGGTCACCCAGAAGCAAATATAAGAAGTGCAGGAAATATGTCTGCACACTCAAGACCTAGAAAATCCAGCCAAGGGCCTGCATTAGTTCAGCTGAAAACTTAGGGCCCATGACAGTGCCCCCCATGAGTCCAGTTGGGGGCTAGAGCCCATGACAAGAACTCGTGCAAGTCTTTTTCATGGATCTGCACAGGGAAGGTCCAAAGGTCAGTGGTGGAAGCTAGAAAGTCTGTGCCATGGGGAGAAGGATCTGTGCCAGTAGGTTGAGGATTCTGCACTGAAGCCAAGAAGCGATGCTCAGAATAAGGATCAGGGCTGCCCTGAAAAGTACCACAGCTATCCTCAGTGACAATGAGGTCAGTGGTGGAAGCTAGAAAGTCTGTGCCAGTGGGGAGAAGGATCTGTGCCAGTAGGTTGAGGGTTCTGCACTGAAGCCAAGAAGCGATGCTCAGAATAAGGATCAGGGCTGCCCTGAAAAGTACCACAACTATCCTCAGTGACAATGAGGTCCTGAGCTCCTCCAACAATGAGAACAGCTGAGCTCATATCAGAGGAGTCAGCATGACAAGCTCCTCCAGGAGAACCAACAGCTCCAAAAGAACCAGCAGCTCCAAACAACACCAACAACAGCAACAGCACCACTCTTCCTCTCCAGGGCTCCTTTTCATGTTGGCAACAGTCCTCAGGCAGGCCCTCTACACTCAGCACCATGCTGATTCAGTTCAGCTGGTGTTTAAGTTGACCATCAGTTTTCAACCCACCACACAGAGACAAGCAAGATAAACAAGACTACTGCGACTCCACTTTGTGAACTAATAATATGCCCCGTTTTCATACTCGTCTATGGGGTTATACACATGTATATGTGACATATGAACAAAAAAGCAATATGGAGGATTATCAGAGGTATTTAATGGTAATCACTGGGTGTTTCTGTCTTCCAGGCACATAGTAATTGCACTTTTTGGTTTCTTTGGGATTGGGTAGGGTCTTGGTCCTGGTTCTGGCCAATGAGTTTTGAGTAGAAGTATCAGGGTATTTTAAACCTGAAGCACAAATTCAAGACTTCCCGGCAGGTATGTCCTTCTACCACAGTGATGCTGGTGTTCACAGTGGCACCTCCTCATCCTCCCTGCATCTCAGAATAAAGACACATGGAGCAAACCCCAAAGAAACCTTGATGGACCATAGCATGAGGGAGCCATTCAGTATAAGCTTTGTGTACTGTTTTGAACCAGAATTACCTAATGTATTCTGAATGGCAGAAATATGATCCAGACTAACATGTTATAGAGTAAGAGTACTTAGATTTATATTGAAAAGCTTTGTTAAATATAAGGAAGAGTTTGTGAGAATGGCAGAAATTGTGCGCCCAAATTAGTCTGCTACAGGATAGCACCAACTGGGCAATGTACAAATAACAGTTTACTGGAATGCCCTATTCCGGAGCTCGCGGTTCCGGAAGAAGAAGACAATCTGGATCCTGCTAAACATCCTATAAGGTACAGGATGGTTCCTCAAACAAAGAATTCTGCAGCCCAAAGTATCATAATGCTGCGTTTTGGAGACCCTGCTTAGTTCTGGGCCAGCTTCCTGTACTCCCTTTGTCCTGAAAGAACTAAGATTGGGCCGCCTCCCTCTCTTTGTTATTTCTGCCTTCCTTTGTTCTTCAGAGAGGTTTCTTTCACACAATGAGGGGTCTGTTATGGAGTGAAAGCCCATTTCCTCAGCAATTTTTTTTTCTTACTGCCTATACCTTTAAAAAAATAACTTAATTGTGACATAATTCACGTATACCACGTAGTTTACCAATTTAAAGTGTGAGAGTAGATGATTCTGAATATGTTCACAGTTATGCAGCCACCATCACAGCTTCAGACTCTTCCACCCATTAGTCCGTCTTTATTCCCCTAGGCCTTCACCCCAAACTCTATGCAATTGCTAATCTCTACATAGCCATAGACTTGCCTATTCATAACTGAACCCCCAACGTGTGGTATTTGGTGGCTGGATCTCTGTCTGCATGTTTTCAAGGTTCACTCACACTGTACCACATATCACTAATAGTTCCCTTTTATGGTGAGTAATATTTCATTGTATGGAATTAAACCACTTTTTTATTTTGCTAGTGCTGCTGGAATAGAGTTCCCCTCCCACACTAGGAGCCTGAAACAACAAAAATGTGTTTTTTCTGTGGTTTGGGGGACTAAAAGTCCAAAATGAAGGTGTTGGCAAGGTTAGTTTCTTGTGTGATTTCTCTCTGGCTCCTAGACAGCTATCTTCTCTCTGCATACAGTCTTCCCTCTGTTTACGTGTGTATCCAGAGCTCCTCTGCTTCTAAGAATATGAGTCATACTCACTGAGGGCCAGTCCTAAAGATCTCATTTTAATTTAATTGTCTCTTTGCTGATCCTATCTTCAAATACAGTCACATCATGTAGTTCTAGCAGGGAAGAGTTCAACCTTTGAGGTTTCAAACACAAAATTCAGCCCATGGTCCTTGCATTATGATCCCTTTAAATCTTCTCACAATGCAAAATGGGTTCAGTGCCTCCCAACAGTGCCCAAAGTCTTAACCTACTCCAGCATCAACTCTTGAGTCCAAAACCATTTGCTTGCTGGGTGTGGTGACGTACGTCTGTAGTCCCAGCCCTTGGAAGGCTGCCATGGGAGGATCACTGTGAGTTATGGTTAGAAGGAAGTGAGATCAAGGCCAGTGTGGACTACATAG